GTTTACGTTTTAGATACTTGTTACTGTAGCTTATTAAAATACTGTATTAGTAAATTATATTATACTAGCGGCCCGCCTCGGCTTCGCTTGGGTAGTAGCGCACGCGATGAAAAAAAATTATGTAATTTTTTTACACGTTGTCTTACATTATTGGAGTTTCAGTAAGGATCCCTAATTTTTTTGAAAATATAATATAGCCTATGTCACCCGGGGATAGCGTAGCTTTCCAACAGTGAAAGAATTTTTCAAATCGGTTCAGTAGTTTCGGAGCCTATTCAATACAAACAAACAAACAAACCTTTCCTCTTTATAATATTAGTATAGATTATAAGAAGTATGTCATATAGCAGTGCATGGCGATCGTAACCAATTCTGATACATTATTTTTACTAGTGGAAGGGCGTAGTCTCTCCATCTCTTCATCTGCAGCAATTAATTACAAAATTATGTAGAGTTTCGCTATCGTATCACAAAATAATCTATCTAGAATAACATTGACATTGGTGTTTCCAATTACACATATGAAATTATATTGTTTTATAGGCGATTTAAGTCACGCTAACCAAATTACACTTACATGCAAACCAGCAATTATATATATTCTACTACTGTGACACGTATTGGTAACCAACCACTTTCTACAACTATTTATTGGTTTTTATTATTTTCGTACTTACTATAGTGGCTCAGCGACCTAAAAAGGATTATTAGGCTTCAAGTTAAACGACTGACGATTAGGTGGCTAGCATAACAGCGACAAAAGTGGCTTGCAGTAACGAAGAACAAGGTTCCTCGAAATATCTTTATATTTAATACGTGAAGCAGAAGCTTTGTACCCCTATTTACGAAAATTGCGCGGACGGAGGAGTATGAAATTTCCCACACTTATAGAGAATATAGATGGAGTGCAGAAAGTTAATATTTTTTTAAATTATGCCTAAAAAATACACTAAATAAAACATTACATACACTACCATGTATCTGCCGCACACACGCATGCGTACTATTTATTTATTGTCAAACTTTTGTTCTTGACGTCTGTGGTCAAATTGAGAATAGATTAAATACTGTTTGTCTTTATTAATATTTTTGTATAGTGTAGTCTTGGCAAAATTTGTTCTCAATTGTTCAAAATTTGTTCTCATTATAATATTTCCGACGCTTCGATTACTTTACACTTTTCTCATAGTTCAAAGCTTAAACTTATACTCCTTCACTATACCGCATGATAGTATTTCAATGAAACAAACCTTAAACTTAGTAATAATACGTAATATGCTTTATGAATATGATCGAGCCGAAAAGTGATAACTTCCAACCTGTTGACCTCGGCCTCCAAAATACTGGCAGCTATAAAAGCCGTTTTGATTCCCACATTTCATCAGTTGCTTCGAAACATCATATCAATATGTTTGCCAAAGTAAGTAATACATGAAAATATGATTAATTTGTAAAGGATAATTCATTCAATGTGTATATTTAATCATTTCAAATATTCACAGATTGTTGCTTTAAGCATTGTACTAGCAGTGGCCACTGCAGGTCTCTTACCCGAACCACATTACTCGTCGGCTGCGGCCGTCTCCTCTCAGAGCATCGTCCGTCACGACCAGCCACATCTCCATGCCACCAAATATGTAGCAGCCGCTCCAGTAGCCGTCCACGCCGCTCCTGGAGCATACCACGCAGCCCCTGTCGCCTACCACTCCGCCCCCGCTCACTACTCGTCTGCTGGCGCCGTCTCCTCCCAGACCATCCTGCGTCACGACCAGCCTCACGCCACCAACTACATCGCCGCCGCTGGCCCCGTCCACTACGCTAGCCCCGTCCACTACGCTGCTCCTGAAGCCAGAGTGATCGCTCCAGCCCACAAAGTACTTGTCGCCGGCCACCATGAAGAAGAATATGTAAGTTTATTTAATAGAACATAGGTAATTATGCTTAGTATTCATTTGACATTAAAGTCCATACGTATTAATTAATATTAAATTTCGCAGGCTCACCCTAAATACGACTTCGCTTACTCCGTTGCTGACGGACACAGTGGCGACAACAAGTCTCAGCACGAGTCCCGCGACGGCGACGCTGTGCACGGCGAATACACCTTGTTGGAAGCTGACGGCTCAGTGCGCAAGGTTGAGTACACCGCTGATGACCACCACGGCTTCAATGCTGTCGTCAGCAACACCGCCCCCGCTCACCACGCAGCTCATGCCGCCCACGCACCCGTCCTTCTGGCTCATCATTAATCATTAAATTGTTGCCTAGTCAGATGTAACTAATTTAAGATGCCTATAAAATTGTAAGGAAATATTTAATAAAAACGCAAACTGACGTTCAGATTTTAATTTTTATGAATCTTTCAGGAAACGTTAAACATACTATGTATAAGTATATTCACATAGGAATTCCAAATCAAGGCACCAAATCCAAAATATGTACCGTAAATTTTCTTATATATTTCAAAAATAAAATATGCACGAACCAGATTAACTGTAGCATCTAAAATGTGCGGTGCCGATGCGCCGGCGTTCTAACTCATTGCCATTCCTTTATTTTAGTTTTTCCCTACCTATTCGCTGGTAGCCTATGGGGTAATTTAGGTACGCTATGGCTGCTAGGTGAGCTCACGGCACTCAATCTGAGAGTGTTTGCTAACAGTGGCTCTAGCAAGAACCGTGATTAGAGTAGAATCCACCAACGGACCGAGACTCACTGAGAAGATCCGACGAAAAACTCAGCGGGTTTGCCTATAGGTTAGTTCACAAGAAGATAGATATTTACAAATCGGTTCTAAACTTAGATAGTCGTAATGATGGCCATTCCTCACGTACCATGGTGCTCCCAAGTGCTACCAAGTTTACTGTGCATAAAAGACATCTTCCGACTCGTGTAGTAGATAGCCGTATCATCAGCGAAAGAGGCTAACAGGGTCACTGACGACTGGGGGTGTCGTTGATATAAAAACTAAGTAGTAGCGGAGAGAGAGAGCAGAGCCTTGCGGGACTCCTGCCGTGATTTGATGCGGTAGAGTGAGTTCCCTCTACTCGATACCGAAAAGAGCGGTTCAACAAGAAGTCTCGTATGATGAGTGCCAGACTGTCTGGCACTCCCATGTTAATAATTTAAGGCACTGTACAATACTTTATTCAACGCCTTCACGATATCGAAGAAGAGAACTCCCGTGGGGGGGGTCTGTATCTATTTAACCCTACTTAGATGTCCTCTGTGAGGCAGACTTTACTTGAGGTGAAGCGAGTACAAGAACGAAGACGGCTAAATTTATATTAATTTCCCATATAAATATAACTTCGTAAAATGTCAAGGGTCTTACGAATCTAAATAAATTATTAAGTCTCAAAACCGCAGTTGATAACATAACCGTCGATTAAATTTATCATTTCAAAATACATAATAGTGTCTGTCTCTCTAGGCGGGCTTCGGACAGTCTGCCGACCGCGAGAGGGCTGGTGGTCGTGGCGCCGACGACCGCCAGTCCGGCGTCCCGAGGGGGAGGGTGATGGGAGAGATGTGCTCCGCACTAAACGCTTCACTTTCCCCCCTTTGCCTTGTCATGAGTTCTGTCTCATGCGAAGTTTGGACGTTGGTTGTTGAGCGACAGGAGGTTTTAGTCAGTTCGACTCTGACATACCCTGCCCAGTATCCCCAGAAATCCCCAGAAAAGGGCGGAAGTCCAGCGATTTCCTCCTGACCAAAAAAAAAAAAAATGCATGCCATTATTACATTTCGTCATCATTTTAATGGAAATATCAAATAAATCTTTATATTTTTTATTGTCCAGGCTATAGTGCTGAGTAGTCAAAATCGATACCTCGCAAAGATTTCTTATTTCCTGAATTAAATCTTCAGTATTAGATGCACGTCGATTTTCATTTAATTAGCACTTTTGAATAGAAAAATAGACCGTGTCGTCTCAACCGGACGTAGCGTTAACTTGAGCTCTAGATCTAGGACTACTTAAGACATGCTGCAGTTTTCGAATGTAGTCGAAACGAATTATGTACACTCCGTAATTTATTTATACACGATGGGTTCTTACAACCTTAGACGAGATCAGGGCAAGGAGTTGGTCACCAACCACCGTCGGTCTTACTCACAAAACGGTTAAACTTATCATTTAATCAACTCGAAACATGTATGCTTCGTGACAATAACAAATAAAAAATGTCTCAACCTTCAACTCGAAATGCATGACTGCTTTGCGGTAGAAACAAGCAGATGGTGAAAATGCAGCTCCTTCGCTGTATATTTTTGTTGCCTTTGTAGGCAAACGAGCCGGTGCCGAATGGTCAGTGATTACCGTTGGTTATGGACGTCAGCAATAACATGAAAGCTCCGGTCACCATCCTCATCGAACCCATCGCTCGCGACGAAGGGCTCGACGAGCGAATTAACCCATAGACACAGCCCACTGAGTTTCTCGCCGGATTTTCTCAGTGGGTCGCGCTTCCGATCCGGTGGTAGATTCTGTAAAGCACTGCTCTTGCTAGGGTCAGTGTTAGCATCACTCCGGTTTGAGCCCCGTGAGCTCACCTACTAGTTAAGGTTACGCTGAAATAGCCTCTCAAGGATATCTATCAGCTTAGGTAGGGAAAAAAAACCTGAAATTCGTTCATGATTACGTTCTAAGTACGTACTTTCATAGAAACATAGATAATTTGTTTTAAAGGATTTAAACCGTCATACTCGCATAAAAAGTCGAACCGTTTGATAAGAATATAGCGGCCGTCTTATTATTCCACTGTGGCTTAGGTGGAACCGAGCTGCTGTTTACAGCACCAAAATAATATAAGAACATTTTACAAAAACATTATTTTACTTTTGTTTTTTTAGTATTATAAAGAACAAACAAAAAATTTATCAAATTGCATTGTTTATTAATATGTACATTTAATTAAATTATTTATTTACAGATTCTTAAACTAGAATCAAAATTGTAGTTAAATCAAAAAGTACTACACTAATTTCTAGTTGAGAAATCAATGATGAGCCAGGAGGACGGGTGCGTGGGCAACATGAGCTGCGTGGTGAGCGGGGGCGGTGTTGCTGACGATAGCGTTGAAGCCGTGGTGGTCGTCAGCGGTGTACTCAACCTTGCGCACTGAACCGTCAGCTTCAACCAGAGTGTACTCGCCGTGCACAGCGTCGCCGTCGCGGGACTCGTGCTGGGACTTGTTGTCGCCGCTGTGTCCGTCAGCAACAGAGTAGGCGAAGTCGTATTTGGGGTGAGCCTGTCAAATTGAACGCAAATGTTAGAACATCAGTCTTCTAATAGTTAAGTGGTTGAAATCGATCACTAATGTATTTAATTTTAGCATTGTACTTACGTATTCCTCTTCATGGTGAGCAGACACAAGCACTTTGTGGGCGGGAGCGATCACCTTAGCGACAGGAGCGGCGTAGTGGACGGGGCTAGCGTAGTGGACGGGAGCAGCGGCGGCGATGTAGTTGGTGGCGTGAGGCTGGTCGTGACGCAGGATTGTCTGGGAGGAGACGGCGCCAGCAGACGAGTAGTGAGCGGGGGCGGAGTGGTAGGCGACAGGGGCTGCGTGGTATGCCACAGGAGCGGCGTGGACGGCTACTGGAGCGGCTGCTACATATTTGGTGGCATGGAGCTGTGGCTGGTCGTGACGGACGATGCTCTGAGAAGAGACAGCCGCAGCTGAAGAATAGTGCGGCTCCGGCAGGAGACCTGCTGCACTCACTGCCAGCACAGCGCTCAAGGCTACGATCTGGAATAAATTTGTTTTATTTCTAAATACACATTTAATTATACAATAATAGAAAAGTGGCGCAATTCAAAACATGCAGTTATTAAGGACTTGCATATTTCGTAACTCACTTTAGAGAACATGGTGTTACGATAAGCTGAGATACAACTGATACGGTATGTGTGTAAAGAACTACTTATATACTCGACATTCGAGCTTTGGGTGAGACAAGGTCGACAGGTCAAGTAGCAACGTCATTATTAACTGGATGGCTTTCTTTTCAAGTTTTTAATTTGAATACCAAGAGTGTCATGTTATTTCAAAAAACATTTTGATTGGCTTGTATTATAATTATTGGTATTTACACTATTAATATAAATTCGAGCCTCGTTTTGATGCTGCGGTCTGAATATTTTGGAATGTATTGTTGTACCTCTGTGTATTTCTTTGGTAGGTACTTGTTATTTATTCCAGAAACTTCCTCTGAAAAACCATATTAGTTAAAATACTTAATTTCTATATTTTTGGAATATTAATGCAACAGCATGGCTTTTATGGGACAAACACTTAACCGATGCTTCCACGTTACTCATAATTATATACCTTTAATTAAATTATTTACTAATTACTTTATTAATTACCTTTATTAATTAACAGTATTATTATACAGGTGTATAATACAGGTGAATGTGGAACAAATAATATTTAAAATAAAATATAAAAAAAAAACAATTTTACAAATTCATTACAAAGATTAATATAATTATTCTGCTATTTTATTATTTTCGAACAAACTGCTTTTTTCGGTCACCAATGAAATGATCCTACCCGGCATCTGGTCCAAATAAAACTATCTTCTGAATAAATGTTTTATATTTACACACCACTGATAGTGTGTCTGTCGAAGTAGATATTTATCATGAAAATTATAGATAAAATAAAATAAGTATGCACGTTTTTTTTTTGTAGCGGAGTGGCTTTTACGAATCCCGTATAAATTGATACCACTTCTCTGTCCGCATCAGAACCAATCAGGTGTTCGAGTTCTAAACGTAAGGTAGCTGTTACTTTTAGAACTCGAACTACTGCGCTCACTGGACTCTCTCTCTGTTGCGAACGCCCTGAGAGAAGCCGAAAACCGAAGCAAATCGAAGCTGAGGGTACAAAGAGCCACGAAGGGCTTTCAAGGGCACGACCTTCAGCAATGAAGTATTCGACTAAGAAGAAGAGTTACTTCAAAGCAATTACACTATTAAGACTTCGAACTCGTGAATAAAATTGGCGTCACTAATGAATAGTGGTTAAATTCCACTAAATGTTCAACAAGTAAGCCCAAAATCCCCAAAATCCTAATCTATTTAGTTTCCCAAACCTGAGTGCATGATAAGCCGTTTACGTCTACTACCATTTAGAGGTTACCTTCTGAAAATACAACCTATCTATTCTATTTTCCATTATTTATGCAATGATGAATGTGTTTATTGTAGATTCATAACAACTTTTTTTAAACCTGGTCATTCCTTACAATTGAATACTCTACTTAAACGATTTGGAAAAAAGTGGTTAAGAAATTGTCCAAAATATTGTGTAAATTCATCATCCATTCATTCTTCATGCTCCAAATCATTTTCAATTAATGTGACTTGACTGAGCCCCTGACTTTGCTGACGCCCATGAGCGACGGTAACCACTTACCTGGGTAGCTAGACGGGCCTATGCTCGTCTAACTACAGAGGCAATAAAAAAATGCTCAAAGGTTACCAAAACCCATCAAAATTACAAAGTAAATTCAGCGGCACACTTCAGCTGTCCTACCATTGAAATCAAAACGCATTACTGCTTCGCTTTTTTTATTTATTTATTTATTGAATAAAAATAATCCATTAATTTACATACACATTTAAATCAAAATTAATTGATTTACACTACACCACGTTTATCCGTCACCGTGGAAATCATTCGGAAAGATTTGTTACGTTAGTATTCATTTGAAATTTAGTGCCGTCCTGTGGCATTTTAACACTGATATGGTCACATCGTTCTATACGGATACCCCAGGCGTTTTATCTTTTAGGGCGCGACGATTTGATCTATCAATTTTGTCCTATACATTTCGCTTAAGCACAGTGCTGACATGATTCCCGTTTCTTACCACCGCACGCCTTCCAGTCAAACTATGTCATCACCTTCCACGCAGCACACTGAAGTCTAACACATAATAACAAAAATCGTATTTAATTTTAGCTTTATTTAGTTGGTTTTAAATTCTACCTAACGACGACTGACTCGGATGACCTATCGATAATCTCGGATTTTTATCCTAAATGTTGCAACTCTGTCTGCCATTGTCAATAATCATTCGATAATTTTCTTTGTATTTTAGGGATTGTAAAGCTTAATAATAGGAATATAAATAAAAAATTCAAAGATTAGTTTTATTGCCATTGTTGACAAATGAGTATAGATCCCATCTGATTGTGAGTCCCTAATGGAAGTAATTAGTATTATGAGCATAGCCACTCTGTTGCATGAAAATGTGTTAAAGTACTGAAAAATCAATCTAAATGCTAAGCGTTAATACTCAAAGTAGCACAATAGTTAATTTTTTATTTATAATATTAGAGGTTAAAGTGTGAAATTTCCGATTTGTACTGAAAATTTGAAATTGTTTTTTATTTTTATTTAACATATTTATTTAATCAAAATATCTACCATTATTATCTATACATTACTGCCATCTAATAAGAAAATCATTTATGCTTTTGCGATAGAACTCTGGTGATCTTCTAAAAACTGTGTGAAAGCATTTTGTACTTGCCTCCTGGGAAGAAAACTTTTATCACGTAGAAAATTGTCCAAATCACGAAAAAAATGGTAGTCCGTTGGAGCAAGGTCTGGCGAATACGGAGGATGACGAATGATTTCTAATTGCAGTTTCAGACGCAAATGAGTCAATATTGTTGGTAAGTTTTAAACCATGCCGCTAATTCCTGGGTAGTTTGGCTCGGATCGGCTTCCACCATCTCTTTCATTGTTATTCACATGTGTGGGCGGTCTTCCACGTGGTTCGTTCTTCAAATCATAATTTCCATCAGGAAAGCGCTTAAACCAAAATTGCACGGTGCGTTCATTAGCAGTCCCTTCTCCAAACGCAACATTGATAATGCGAGCTGTTTCTGCAGCGTTGGTTCCGCGTCGGAAATCGTAATCAAAAATCACACGAATTTTCGAAGTATCCCTCTTACTTGTCTGAGCTGAATAAAAAAAGCAATTATTAATCGATAATCGAATGTTGCACTTTTTTTTAAAGAAGAACCTCGTAGGTACCATTTGAAAAAAAGTTGAAGTTTCTATGTCAATTCGAAGTACCTATTACAAAACGATAATTTCATACTTTAACCCCTATTGTAATAATGCTAACCTGCGATAGGGGACATTGTGAGCCCGCACATGTAGTTACCGTCATCTTACCTATTCGGGAACCACTTAACATAATGTGGGTCGTATAATGTTCAGGCATTAATGCAGCAACTAAAATTTAAAACATTTCTATCTTTTTCTAGTTATTGAGCTATCAACAAGCATTTTAGCTATTTCGAAGGATTAAAAATAAAACTTTTTGGCGACTGGCCATTAGTATTGTCTTTGAGATGTTCGGTTTTTAACGTAATTATAAATTCCTTAACTTTTCAAATCTCATTCCTATTGATTTACGTTCTTCTTCCACACGTTATCCATAATATCCAAAATTATGTTAAGAAATCTTAAAATATTAATAAATACAAAATTTATAGAAAATCATTTTTTATTTTCATAATTTTATAAAAACTTTTTACAAGAATAGTAGGCTAAATTTTTGTTTTTGGACTAGTTTAGAATCAATGATGAGCTAGAAGGACCGGTGTGTGGGCGGCATGAGCCACATGATGAGCGGGGGCAGAGTTACTGACGACAGCGTTAAAGCCGTGGTGGTCGTCAGCGGTGTACTCAACTTTGCGCACTGAACCGTCAGCTTCAAGGAGAGTGTACTCGCCGTGCACAGCGTCACCGTCGCGGGACTCGTGCTGGGACTTGTTGTCACCGCTGTGTCCGTCAGCAACAGAGTAGGCGAAGTCGTATTTGGGGTGAGCCTGTCAAATTGAACGCAAATGTTAGAACATTCGTCTTCTAATAGTAGACCTACCAGAGGAATCATTTATTAACCTAATTTATTTTAGCATTGTACTTACGTATTCCTCTTCATGGTGAGCAGATACAAGCACTTTGTGGGCGGGAGTGATCACTTTAGCGACAGGAGCGGCGTAGTGGACGGGGCTAGCGTAGTGGACGGGAGCAGCGGCGGCGATGTAGTTGGTGGCGTGAGGCTGGTCGTGACGCAGGATGGTCTGGGAGGAGACGGCGCCAGCAGACGAGTAGTGAGCGGGGGCGGAGTGGTAGGCGACAGGAGCTGCGTGGTATGCCACAGGAGCGGCGTGGACGGCTACTGGAGCGGCGGCTACATATTTGGTGCCATGGAGCTGTGGTTGGTCGTGACGGACGATGCTCTGAGAGGAGACAGCAGCAGCCGAAGAATAGTGCGGCTCAGGCAAGAGACCTGCAGCACTCACTGCCAGCACAGCACTCAGGGCTACGATCTAAAATAAATTACATAATTTTTTTATGTTTGGATTCATCATATACCATTTTATCCGAATTCCTTTATTTAAATTAACCTATTGATTCACTCACTTTAGAGAACATGTTACTATGATAACGTACTGACACAACTGATACAGTAGGTTTGTACAGAACCACTTATATACTGCGCGGTAGAGTCTTTAGGCGATACAAGGCCGACAGGTCATGTATCAAAGTCAACATTTACTGGGTATACTTTCTTTTGAGTTAAAATCAGCACCACAAGAAATACGAAGATGAAAAGAAAGGTTTTTATAAAACTTTTTTAATTGATTCCATGTGTGGTAAATATGCTTCGAAAAAAGATATTCGATTTGTGTCTTTTCTTTCGATTTCTTTTTGGTGACCTGTTCTTGACCATTCACTCGATTTTTTCTCCAGTATTTCTAATGACCACCAAGAATTCCTTATTGCTTCGATGAATGAACGAGTTTATCACTAGCTTTTAACTTTGCGGCTGTTACCGGAACCTCTAGGCATTACAAGCTCGTAATATGTTCTACCACCAGTAATTTAACGAAATAATTTTTCGGTTTCGATTATCGTTATTATATGACATTATTCTTTCAATAAGGAAATTTTTCATGACAATGTGTTAAGCGTATTAAATGTTTCATTAGAAAAATTTGTACCTGTCTACAGGATTTCAACACTTTTTGGAACGAAGTTCCTTATCGCGCATTGTGAAAGGGGGCTAGACGGAAAAAATTCTTACGAAAAGTTGTCACGACACTTTTTGCTATAGTAAGCTATTGTAAGCTGTGCGGCGTCGCATGTTTCTCTGTCTGTCTGTCTGTCTCTCTCTCTCTTTCTTCATACCTCGAATAGAACTTTAAATTAATATTTTTATAATTGGGAACTTCGTTCCTATCCGGTGTCCNCTTTCACAGGCTGATCGACACCTACCCGCTATTAACCAATGTTAAGAATAAAAGTGTCAATCAACTCACCTGTTCCCGGGTCCTGCGTTACGCTGCTCGGAATGTCTCCAACCCGAAGCAGCACCGCTAGATAAAACACTCGCACTTTGGGCACACACTGACTGCACAGCACAACACAGCAAGGGGCCACTTAGCCTGGTGTCCCGGGCGCTTCACGGCAGAAATAGGCAGGGCGGTGGTACCTACCCGTGCTGACTCACAAGAGGTCCTACCACCAGTAATTACGCAAATTATAATTTTGCGGGTTTGATTTTTATATACAATACAATTGAGACTGAGAAGCCATATATCAAGATGAGTCACTGCGTCACGTTGTGATGTCTGTAAGCTATCATTAAGCACTCTGTGGGCCGTGAGGTCGTTTACTCCATTATGCATTAAACTAAGATCTCATGATGAGCATATACCCCTGCAATATAGTAATTGCAGCTTAGGTTAACCATATAATAAAATTGAGACAACGAACTCAAAATTTGTTTTAAGGTACACATACGGGCGTTTGCTTCTATAGGTTCTGATATTCAATAAAAATCAGACACAAACAAATGAGTAAACTGCAAAATTATTCATGATAATTAGGTTGGAAAGAACGAAAATTGATTAACGAACAACGCCCGATGTGCAGCTTTAGTTAGATTAGGAAATTGGTGTCGAATTGGCTATGAAAGTACCATGGTACGTGAGGTATTTAAGTGTTACTATCGTTATCGTTGCCGTCACTACCAACAACTCGTTTGGTAGTAACGGCAACCTGTTTCACACAAACGCTAATTAATCACCTTCAATGTCCTAGACAAAAAATCCTGATGGGCCTAATTTATCCACTTTTGATTTTGTTGGATGCACTCTCTCTACTCTACTCTTTTCTCACTGCACTCTTCTGTACTCACTGTACGAACACGTCGCAAAGTATAATGTGCCACCACTTTTTATTGCCGTTTTAGGCAGCCGACTATGCAATTAGGTCCATTTCGTGGTGAGTGATTACCGCCGCTCATGAAGGTCTTCAACACCGAGGGCATAGCCGAGCTACTGCCCAAAAAAGCATCATCTGCCTGTGCATCAACCCCCTGAGTTTCTTGCCAGATCTTTCCGGTGATTTCAAGATTGCATTAAAGTTGCCAGTTTATTTAAGATATAAGTTTATGTTTTTGAAGTCCTCCTAAAGGATAAGACGCCCGGTGCATTACTATCAAGGAATACAAACAATAGCGTCGGTGTTCGAATCCTACTAGCAGGTACAAATTTTTTAAATGAAATATGTACGTTCTTAACAAATGTTCATAAACGACTTTCAGATCAAGAAATAATATCGTGTAATACAAATAAAAAAATATACAATTTGCATAATTACTGGGGGTAGGGCGTGTTGTGAGCCCGCAGGGGTAGATACCACACCTTGCCTATTTCTGCTGTATAGCAGTAATGCATTTCGCTTTGAAGGATGCTGCAGCCCTTGTGCTATAAAGTTGAGACTTAAGACTTATGTCTCAAATTGGGTGGTCACATTTACGTTGTAATCATTGGGCTCCGCTAACCACTTTACACCAGGTGGGCCATGGGCCATCTAAGCATCTAAGCCATGAGGAGTCTCAAGCCAGATTTTTGACGTGCCACAACAACAATGGTACATAATATATGTAGATTTATACTTGTTATTGGCACTTCAGGGAAAGCTATCGAAATAAAACAATAATTTAAGGCGGAGATAGAAAATTAGTAAATGCCTTATTTCCAAAAAGCATTCCCTAACTGTTCTGATGAATTTTCGAGATGATCTCCCCATCGTCTTTTTATCATCGCATTTCCTGCCAACAAAGCAGAGCTTATGCATACATCGACGGCGCATTTCTAGAGATCTTAGCCAAGCCAAGCCAAGTACTATAGGGCTTTGGAGTCAGCTCCACTCTCGTCGGAAGCCCTCTCGTCGTGGCTACCAGTTACCACAAACCCGATCCTGCGGACCGAATGGTAAACAATCGACATCGAGTCATTTTGGATCCTCCCGCCCACTAACGATGATTTTAGGTATCTCAAACACCGGTCACCGTTTTCGTCGAACTCGCCGCTTGCAACGAAGGGCTCGACGAGTAAATTAACCCATAGACACAACTCACTGAGTTTCTCGCCAGATCTTCTCAGTGGGTCGCGCTTCCGATCCGGTGGTAGATTCTACGAAGCACTGCTCTTGCTAGGGGTAGTGTTAGCAACATCCTCAGGTTATAGACCTGCGAACTCAACTACTCGTTTTGCAAATCTAGCATAACCCCGGGCATTATCATTCTAGGGTCTGCTGTGACCCCAACAGACACATCAGAAAAAGAAACGAATAATTCGATCCCACGTCTTTAAGTTGGTACATCGAAGCGAACGAATACACACACGCCAGCTTTACGCAGGAAGTTGCGTTGCGTAGCCGGGTTACGCGGTATATATCATCCGAAGCAAGTACCGGTGTCTCCGCAAGAAAAGTGGAGCTGGTTACGCCGTCTCAAGGTAATATACAGCGTCAAAATTGCTTTGTAAGACCCTAATATTGCTGAAATCCACATTAAATGTGAAAGGGCGATCCGTCGTCAAAACCTTTTTTAATTTTCTAATTTTTATTTTTTGTCCATGTCTTTTTTGTCCATGCCATTTTTATCCATATTTTTAGGGTCAAGAAATCAATAGCAAGTGAAGAACCAATTATCTACAGTGAGGGCTATGAAGTAACGGCCAATCAGGCAATCAATTATTATATATATTCGCCCCGGCTTGTAGGGTTAGCGCATTTGTTTTAAATAAAAACTTTCAATTAGAGTAATTTAAAATTAAATTTTAACTGTACTTTTACTGTGTGGTGGTAAAAGAGGTGGCGGTAGTGAAAAATCTGTAACTCAAATGAAAATCTCAATTAATTTAAAATTAGATTTTAAATTAATTGAGATTTTCATTTGAGTTACAGTCTCCCGCAGTAACAGTTTTGCCATGACGTCATCTGCCCATCATGTCATACACATGAATAAAGCATTATGCAATTTTCGAATCAATTATTTTAAATGATACGTGGTGTTATCAAATCTTACTAAAAGGTGCCATTTAAATTAGAAGTGAAAAAAAAACATAAAATTTAACATTATGCAATATTTTAATTCATAAATAATTTACTAAGAACGTAGTAGTCTTTAATTTTAGTGACTAGTGAATCAATGATGAGCCAAGAGGACAGGTGCGTGGGCAGCATGAGCTACGTGGTGAGCGGGGGCGGTGTTGCTGACGATAGCGTTGAAGCCGTGGTGGTCGTCAGCGGTGTACTCAACCTTGCGCACTGAACCGTCAGCTTCAAGCAGAGTGTACTCGCCGTGCACAGCGTCGCCGTCGCGGGACTCGTGCTGGGACTTGTTGTCGCCGCTGTGTCCGTCAGCAACAGAGTAGGCGAAGTCGTATTTGGGGTGAGCCTGTCAAATTGAACGCAAATGTTAGAACATCAGTCTTCTAATAGTAAACCTGCCCGAGGAATCGCTTCTTAACCTACTTTATTTTAGCATTGTACTTACGTATTCCTCTTCATGGTGAGCAGATACAAGCACTTTGTGGGCGGGAGCAATCACTTTAGCAACAGGAGCGGCGTAGTGGACGGGGCTAGCGTAGTGGACGGGAGCAGCGGCGGCAATGTAGTTGGTGGCGTGAGGCTGGTCGTGACGCAGGATGGTCTGGGAGGAGACGGCGCCAGCAGACGAGTAGTGAGCGGGGGCGGAGTGGTAGGCGACAGGGGCTGCGTGGTATGCCACAGGAGCGGCGTGGACGGCTACTGGAGCGGCTGCTACATATTTGGTGGCATGGAGCTGTGGCTGGTCGTGACGGACGATGCTCTGAGAGGAGACAGCTGCAGCTGAAGAGTAGTGCGGCTCGGGCAGGAGACCTGCAGCACTCACTGCCAGCACAGCGCTCAAAGCAACGATCTAAAATAATGTTATTAAAATTAAACATTAATTAAAGATATACTAACTGATCTTAAGGCTTACTGAGTTTTTCAAGTCGCAAAAGTTATAAATACATAGTTTTAAGGCTCAATGCACTCGAATACTAAGACGTTTCAGTCTTCCTTTCCTATAAAAATTGAAGAGCTTTTTAAACACTTAATTGACGAATAATTAAGAAACATACATGTCTACTACTTCTTACATATTTTTTTTTACTTATTAAATTCTTAACTCACTTTAGAGAACATGTTGTTCGGGTAAGTGGAGATATAACTGATGCATTGCAATGCTTCAAAACTGCTTATATACTCAGCTGTCGGACTTTTGGCCAGACAAGGTCGACGGGTCACGATCAGCCTTAATATTAACCTGAGACTTTCTTTGCTCATAAACAAAACCATTGCTAATTTCTATGTAGTTGCCATATATGTTAGCCATTGTTAAATAATAAGTTTCACGTTTCATCACAATTAGTTTGTTTAAATGTGTTTTTAATTATCTTCATTAAGTAAATACCATTAAAAAGACATTGCTCTTTACAAAGACAAATATCTGGATTTGTTCGAAAAAGGCAGTCAAAGAAAACTTCCAGAAGCATACATTTCAAGATAATTAACATAATATTGATATGAAGACTCAATTATGCTCTCTGCTGCATTTGCATAATTTATGACCAAAAGCTGTGAAAACGGTACGGTCTTTGACCTCATAAAATTATATAATGAAGATGATTCACTAACTCGAGTGCGAAGACGATCTCGTAACGGTATCGTACGTTGGTCGAGATCAGGTTTAGAACAGGTTTTGAGAAGATGTAAACATTAGTAGCAATCAAGTTCATCTACGGATGTCTTTCATATTCTTATATCTACTTCAAAGCTGTCGTGCTACATTCTATTAATTCATTGGCAGTAACATTGGTTTTATTCATTTTTAATTTATAGTTAATTACTTAATATTCTTATTCTTCTTTTTTCCGTACCTATGCTGATAGCCCTGAGAGGCTATTTCAGCTTCTCCTTGACGTGTAGGTGAGCTCATGGACCTCAAACTGGAGTGTTGCTAACACTGGCCCTAGCAAGAGCAATGCTTTGCTGAATCTACCACTGGATCGGAAACGCGACCCACTGAGAAGAGTTTCTTCATTATACTCACAGAACAACCAAAAAAGTTTTTCGACTCCTGCGTGTGTTAATTAACACGTGGGATTAGAATTTGAAAGAGAACATTTACTGAAGACAATAAATGATACCTACATTATTCCTTTTAATAATAAAACGCCGTATTTTGTCTTTGTTGCTAGTTAGTTCTGTTAAAACACAAAAGTAATAGGTACATTTCGCAAACGTTTTTATGAATGGGTGTTTTTCACTAAACTCCGTAAATAGCTACAACGATTTCAATGACTCTTATGTATGTATGTTTAGTGATTCTCTGAATGGTTTAGATTTTTAATTATTATAGATCCTAGAAGTTACTCTCCAACTTGGTCAAACTTGTTTTCGGGGTAGAAAATCGTCTGCCGGTCGTACTAGTATTAAAATAAATCTTTTTTAGGCTTTTCTTAACAGAGACGGAATACAATTATGTAGAACAGTCCTTTATAACTATAGTAGAATATCACAATCAAGAACAATATGTATTTTAAGATACATTATCATCATCATCATCTTAGGCCTTACAGCCCAGGGTGGGCATTAGCCTGGTCCAGTATGTCTCTCCAGACTGCTCTCCTCAGGGCTTTCCTCTTCCAGTTCTTGACGCCGATAGTTTTGATAAGATACATTATGAAACAATCTAAATTACTACAGGTTCGGTTGGTCAAGGATAAAAAAAAACGTTAAAACCTTTATTTTTCGATAAATTATTTTGTAAGAATTATACTGTGGTCATTAATATGCCTATCAAATCAGCATAAAAGAACAAAACGTGTTCGTAAAACAATAAACCGATAATAGAACGTCCACATCAAGTTCTAAAATTTCGTTCACATTTGGGGTCACGGACACCGAGTCAAGCTCCGAACTGGTTCTGCAAAGCTCTGCTGATCAGCTGATTCCCCGTAGGCATAATGTATTATTGTTGTGCTTACAGTATATGGTTTAAGTTACGAGAATTCTTCTTCTTCTCCATGCTCGGTATACCACTTACACAACCACCACGGACACAAGCCACCAGGCCTCCAGAATGGGAGACCTTCTCACAATACACGCCGTATCAGGAATAACTGCTTTCTGTACAAGGCCCTAGCCCAGCTGGATAACGATAGTTTCTTAAGGTGTTGGTCGAAATTTACCGCTATTAAATCGTGCACCGACCGATACAACTATAAGTCAATATAAAAAATGATAATTAATTTTTTGTACGTTTTTTAAGGTTTTGTATAATTGTCGTCGCGTTTTCTTGTGCATTAAGACACCACAATTGTACTGGAGGTCAATCCCACACAACCAATGTGTCAAAACATTTTGCCTACATGATTCTACATAGTTAGTACAAGTAAAATTACTTTTTACCAATATTATTAACATACAGATACAGTTTAGTATAGCCCTATAAATGCTTATTTATGTTTTAGTGTTTTCGATAAAACTTTTAAATATTTTTTAGAACACCAGAGAATCTGTACCAGATACCACAAGCTACTACCATTAATTTCCCATGATATATAAATAGTAAAACCCACAACTTTACACATAAATTATGTCCCTAGCTGTGATCATTATATGTATCAGAGTAGTCCACGTGAGTCCACACAGTGACCGACACAGATCCGTAGTAATGTCTTGCCTAATTCTGAATAATGATTACTGATCATGCACCCTGGTCTGTAGGATAGAATAATATATATATATTTTTTTTATGATTAAAATTGCTGCTTTCCTGGAGGCCTTTCCAATTTCGCCAGGACATGTGGGCGAGCAAAGGCTCAGCCCGGAGGGGTGGAATTTGATAACAATTGCCCGAGCGCCTCTAAATAAGACCTAGCAACTCAAGAGCAGCTGCTTCGCGAATGGATCCACTACCAGATCGGAACCGCGACCCGCTGAGAAGATCCGGCGAGAAACTCAGCGGGCTGATCAATGGGTTAGGTTTCACTTCGAACTCTTTACCGAGTTCGATGAGTGGAGTTAATACTTATTCTAATCCAGTTGTAGTGGCATCAATCAAATAATAAAACATAAAATCTTAATCTTGCGACTAGAAAATACCGCTAATCAAATTGCGCTTTCAGACGTTCACTCCTCATACTGCTGGAAGATCGGCGGGATTTCTTCTATTTTATTACCACTGAAATTCACCCTAGAAACCGTTCATATTCTATATTGAAAGCAACTAAAATAAATAGTGGCTTGTGGAGATTATTAAGCGGTAGACAGCGGCTTGGCTCTGCCCCGGGCATTACTGAAGTCCATGGGCGACAGTAACCACTCACCATCAGGTGGGCCGAATGCTCGTGTGCCTACAAGGGTAACAAAAAAAATGATTCTTGATTATTAAGACTCAGCATTAAAGTAGAAGATATAAATCTTGAATTGTTTTAGGCACACACATGCTTCACAAACACCTCAGGTATGAGAATGTACTCGTACATTGTGTAATAAAACAAAAAGTGCTAAATATATGAAACTGATTTTCCGAAATATAGGATTCTTACATAAACATTTGTTAAAATCAAGTGAGACCAACTACAAATAAGTGATAAAAATGACCGTTTTTTGCTTTAATCGACTAAAACTATGCACCGATGACGTGTTCTTCGAGAAACAATCGATTGAAATGAGGTAATGCATAACACTTAAATGAAAACATCTGTACAGCATTTCTAACAATGCGCTCTCATTCGGTGTAGTGAATACGACTGACACGCTTTATTAAAAAAAATGTGAAAGGTTTGAGCCCATCGGCTTTATTCAGGACACACGCACCGACAAATTACATTCTCAACGCTTTAAATAAACTAATCATAAATATTGCATAATAAGTGATTTCTCTCTGTGATTAGTCGACGTATATAAGTGTAGCAATTTGCATCCGGTTTCAAACACTTCCGATGGCGAGTGCTGACAGCGTCTTCGGCAACATGATGCTTAGAGTAAGTTTTACGCTGCAGTGATTTGTGTTTTACCAATAAGTTAATTTATTTTATTATCGTGTATAATGCCCACTAAGTTTCTCGCCGGATCTTCTCAGTGGGTCGCGTTTCCGATCCGGTGGTAGATTCTTCGAAGCACTGCTCTTGCTAGGGCCAGTGTTAGCAACACTATCAGTTTGAGCTCCGTGAGCTCACCTACACATTAGAGTAAAGCTGAAATAGCCTCTCAAGGCTATCAGCATAGGAATGAAAAAATTTTAAGTGTATAATGCCCAAATTTATATATGAAATATTTATCTTACATTATTTGCTTCCAGATAATTATTGCAGCAGCTATCTTAGCCCTCAGCTTGGCGGAAATTCAGAATCAGTCACAAGAGTCTTCGAAACAAGCGATTTCATCCCAAAGTTTCACCCGAAAAGATGTCCCTATATCTTATAAATTTACAGCTATCCACGCAGATCCTGCTGTAAGACCAATCACTGAACCTACCCAAGGACATCACAGGCAATATGCACCAATTCAATATGCACCGTTACACCCAGGACTGCAAAAAAACTTTCTTCCAAATCGACACATTGCGTTGACAGGAACTAACGCCCAAACGAACTTTGAATGGAATGGAAATGACCGTAGCAGACAAATTAATAATTCTCCAGAAACCAATATAAATAAACAGCATTTGGAACCAAAAAATCTTCATACAACAGCACACAATGTTCAATTTGAGAAACATGAAAATTTTGTTCCGGGACATAATGTCGAAGTATTGCAATCCGTGGACAGTAATCCTGTTCATAATACTGTGTACAGAAGTTCCAGTGATGATATTGAAAAATCGCCATTAAATAAGGTACAAATTTTTATTGAATTCTTTACGAATTGTTATAAATACCACTGTACTGTGAGCACACCGCAACATATCTGTTTTAATTTTTTCAAAGCAATTTCATTCGCTCAATGATTGTCTAAAAAACATCACTTTTAATGATATGATTTTAAAAACGATACTGTTTGCGCAAATGTTGACTTTTGAATTATAACCTAAATAGGTTTTCCTTTGGTGTGCAATAATAGTTTGCTAATAGGAATCTGGTGATGTATTTTTAAAGTTTCGAAATATTCTTTGTGTAAATTGAACGCCTAAAAATTTTTAATTTACATCTAAATCAAGTTAGAAAATCAGACGAAAAGACATGTAATACATTTTTTTAACAAATTTTCAGATCAATTACTTAAGACAGTACATTGTTCACCAACATCCTGGAATTGAAATGCAAACGGTAACTCAACCTACAAAAGGCTATGAATTGGATATTAGCACTCCCAGCCAAAATTCTGCGTTATACACACTGCTCGGTAAACACTATTCCAGGCCGAATATTTATAGGTAAGTTAAAATTCAATCAACCTTTTAGAAATCCATTTTATTATTGACTATTAATTCATTGATAAAAGTAATTACTCCATGTCTATCAAAATTTCCCTTTATGGGGGAATGAATTTTTTTATTGCCTTTGTAGGCAGACGAGCATAAGGCCCACTTGAAGTGCACTAAAAAAAAAAAGGAAAAAAAAAAAAAAAACTTGATATTAAGTGGTTTCCGTCGCTCATGGATGTCAACAATTCCAGGGCAGAGCCAAGCCTCTACCTACCATTGAGCGTGAGTATTTAATAAATGAATAAATAAAGCCTCGTTGTAGAAGGAAACAACAGTCTGCCTTTTTGTTTTACAAGAAACAACCATAATCACTAAGCTGTTACTAGTTTGGGCTTCAGGTTAGATAGAGCCTTCAGCAATTTCTCGGCCAAAAAATCTATATTTCGAAATTAAACTTGCAAAAATGAGGTTAAAATGCTAAAGATGTTACCATGTTCACTTTCACTTTTTTTTTTTTTCATTAAAATATGGATTTTTGTTTGACGCTAATTAGATTTGCATGCTTAAATTTCAGACTGAACGAATCTCCACAGCAGCACATACCGGCGCCACATCCAAAAAATCACAAACTACATTTGAACGTCGCTCGTATTTACGGATTCTCCCAGCCAATTGCTAAAGCGTTGCAAACAAATTTAATATACCCGAGTCATACATATGCTATACCTTCAAATAGTCAACTTAGGGACATGAACAAAAAAACGCTACTTTTCCCTGTAATCAATCAAAACCAACGCTACCTTGTCAGAACTGCATAATCTTGCTTAACTTAATTATAAATGTACCCTCTGTAAATAGTTCAATATTTTATAGAAATCACTTAGACATTAGAATTACAATTTATTTATTGGTTTTAAACGTCCATGTAATTTGAAAAACAAACCCTTGATTACTTCTTAATTTAAAATCCTTTTGGAATTATAATTGCAATAGGACGTTGAATATTAAAACTAGTATTAGGCAATTACAGCTATTTCTAAACTATGAACGAAAGTGACCCAATATGCGGGACCAGTTCTGTCAACTACAAATAATATTATGACCTAAGGCAAGGTCACCTAGTCAAGTTACTGACCAATTTTAAATCTCTAAGCCGATTAGTATATAAAGGCTGAACGAGATGTCTAATTATCATTCAATCATTGGATATTGAAGATACATAAACAAAATAATGATTTCCAAAGTAAGTGGCGCTTGAAATTTTAAGTTTAATAGTAATTGCAACGGATTCCGCAGTTTAAAATTTTATTGTTTTCCAGATTGTTGTACTGTGTGCCTTTGTGGCAGTCTCGCAGGCCGGTCTCTTGGCTGCGCCCGTGCACTACTCTCCCGCTGAGGCTGTTTCCTCCCAAAGCATCGTACGTCATGATCAGGCTCACGGCACTAAGCTTGTAGCTCCCGTTGCCAAGCTCGCCATTGCCGCACCCGTTGCATACCACGCTGCTCCAGCTCCGATCGCCTACCACGCTGCCCCCGCTCCCATCGCCTACCATGCCCCCATCGCCAAAGTGCTAGCTCACCGTGAAGACCAAGAAATCGTAAGTTCTCATCTAAAGTTTACATCTAAATAACTTTGGGTAAATAATGATCTATGAAAAACAAATTGACATTATTTTTTAATTCAGGCTTATCCAAAATACGAGTACAACTACTCAGTAGCTGACGGTCACTCCGGCGACAACAAGTCCCAACAAGAGATCCGCGATGGTGATGTTGTAAAGGGTTCATACTCCTTCCACGAAGCTGACGGCTCTATCAGAACTGTTGAGTACACCGCTGACGACCACAACGGTTTCAACGCGGTCGTCCACAACACTGCCCCTACCGCTGCCCCCACACACATCAAGGCTTTGCCTGCACTCCAATACTACCATCACTAAATTATTTAGAAATGTAGGACTGTTATAACTCTAATGACTGTTGATTATTTAATTTATTATAAAGAGGCAAATAAAGAATTTCCTAGTGAATATTATTTTGTTTGAAAACCCCATTAAAACCCACCAGGTGCTTGAAGTAGCTCAGTAGACCGACAGTCCGGATGCTATTGCTCGGAAATGGTATATATTTAAAGCTATCTTAAAAACTTCGTTAGTGACAATGAGGCGTTAATAAAATATCGTACTATTATAGCTACCACTACACATTCCATGTATTAATTTTATAATATCAAAATATAGTGGCACATCACACAGTCATAAATAAGCCAAGGACTCTTCTACTTTCAAAAATGGATCGTAGTTTGTGAAGACTACTGAAAGAAGAAAAAAATACTGTTATTACATCGCGTCGTATTGAGATAAAATATATTATACTACGAGTAGTTCAAATTTTATGTTAAGTTTCTAAACATAAAAATCTAATAAATGGATAAAAACCGCCCAAACGATCATCAATTTAGGTTCTTGATCGAAAAAAGAGAATACAATTAGTCTCATATCATTAGCCTCATTATGTTAAATGATTTTTATTTATTTTAATTACTCACAAAAACCTCAAGTTCTTAATTACTTTACGAGTCAATATATATGGGAAAAAATAATTATGGCAGATTCATCAAAAAAATCGAAAAAAATCTCTTTACACACTTAATTTAACTTAAACTTTTTTAACGGATCAAATATCTTAATCGGTAAAATTTACATTTTGTATTATTTTTCAGTAATGTAAAATAATACCGGGAATATGGTCAAAGTTTTCAATCTGTTGCTATTATGCTCACATTATGAAAATTTAAATCTATTAGTGTGACGGCTTGCACTGGAGCAACGCAAACAACATATTATTATAACGAAATGAAAATGCTCCACCGGGGGCATGATTAGCATAAATTATAAACTAATTCGGCCTCAGAAGATCCAACTGCTCAACTTGTCCACCCCAACATGTTCTTACAAGTTCAGCACATACCTACGAACCCTAAGAATGACTGTACTTCACATAGTCGCTTGAATGATTCAATAAACTTCATAGCTGAAGAAAGTAGACATGTGCCGTTCCCTTGATTCAAGTATTGGATGGAAATTTGTAAAGCACAAAAATAGGTGGTTAAGGCTATAAAGATATAATTGTCTATTTTTTATTGCTTAAGTGGGTGGATGAGCTCACGGCCCACCTGATGCTAAGTGATTACCGGAGCCAATAGACATGTACATCGTAAATGCCGCCACCTACCCTGAGACCTAAAGACATGAGTTGTAAGGTCTCAGTTTTAACAGTACAACGGCTGGCCCACCTTTCAAACCGACACGTATTACTGCTTCACGGCAGAAATATGCAGGGTGGTGGTACCAAACCGTGTGGACTCACAAGACTTCCTACCACCAGCAATTTCGCAAATTATATTTTTTCGGATTTGATTTTAATTACATGGTGTTATTCCTTCACCGTGGAAGTCAATGGTGAACATTTGTTAAGTACGTATTTCATTACAAAAATTGGTACTTGCCTGCGAGATTCGAACACCAGTGCGTTGCAAGATACGAATGCACCGGACATCGTATCCTTTAGGCCACGACGACTTCAAACATCTAACACCTCCTACGCTATGTGACAACATAGCGTAGGCAGGCAGGTACTAAATCCGGCATGAACAATCATATCCGAAACTAGCTTCGCAAAAGATACCCAGTCAGATTCCTTTAAGACATGGGTAACTTGAGTTGTTTTGGTGAAGAAATTCAAATTTTACTTGTAAAACTTAACAGACTCACTCGACAAATAAGCACATACTTAATAGACACATCTAGAGTTTTTAATTTGGCGGAAATATTTTAGTACTCTACAGAGCTAAACTAAGATATTTTTAATTTATATACCTAGTAGGTATGGACGGGTAGTTTAAAACAAAAAAAAAACACGCTGATATAGGAAACTGAGCTATCAATTAATTTCATCTTTTTCTTTATTTTTTTGAAACTGGTTTGGATACTACAGCGAAGTTATATAACTATTGGATTGCCATCGGTCCTTAGTCAAATGTTTTGAAGTCGATGGAAAAGACGTTCAAAGATTCCGTTAGACTTTACACGCATACTAAGCTAATAAAAGCGTGTTAAAAATGTTTTCTATTTACCAAACTATTACGATCATACTCTTTAATGAAAAAAAAACATTGTGTAATTATCGCAATAAAAAAACAATGTATTTAAATTCTATTTCCGTCATTGTTTGTGACCGTATAATAATATCATTTTCTTAACCGATTTAAAAATTGAGGAAATTACGAATTCAGCTGTATTTTTTTCTTTAATTAAAGAAAAAGTATGTAAGCCGATTTTGATTGATTTTAGCTACTCTTTATAATGTATATTTAATTGATTTTGGCTATATTGATGATGTATCCTTTTATTTTGTTAAAATCGTTTTTTTTTTGTTTATATTAGTATTTTATATATTATTTGAGTAGATATTTACGAACTAATTTTCTTTAAAATTCAGTTTTTTTTTTACTTCAAATGTCAATAGCAAAATAAAAGAGAAATGCAAATATATTAGGTATTGCATTTTCACTTTTACTTTGTATCTAAATCTCTGAATGAATCTTAACTGAGGTGTCAAAGTCGAATATCGGCCATTGGCTGAGCCCTATTTCATTTAAAACAACAAATTTATATACTAATAATTACTAAATCTGAATCTGTTACGATGCAGTGAACAATATAAGTGAACTGTATTTCCAATGAAATTCCGTTAATGAAAGACGACGTTCTATTAAAAAGAGTATTCAAGGTAAAATGTTTGGCAACCTTTAAATTAAATAACATAATAAATTGCACATTAATTATTTGCAAAAAAGGCACTGAATGATCAGATCAGATCAGCGACACAGGTTAAATTCGCCGAAAGGTTACGCGGTAACTCAGAGCAAGGTCGGGCCGGGCGTACCTCGTTTGACAACTTCCACCACACACTCGGTTATTATTTCTATGAGTAACCATCATATAAAAACTAGACCTCTGTATGAGCCACATCACACTCAATCATATCTGTACAAACGTACAACATGTTCTCCAAAGTAGGTTTTCAATTTATTAACTTTCAGTTTTAAATGTGTAGTGTAAAATAAGTTAATACATTTGATTTAATTTACTTGCAGATCGTAGTACTGTGCGCTTTGGTCGCGGTGTCGAAAGCTGGACTCCTGGCTGCTCCCGTGCACTACTCTCCCGCTGAAGCCGTTTCTTCCCAAAGCATTGTGCGCCATGACCAGCCTCAGCTCCACGCTGCCAAGCTCGCTGTTGCTACCCCTGTAGCCTACCACGCGGCCCCTGTAGCGTACCAGGCTGCCCCAGTTGCCTACCACGCGGCCCCTGTAGCGTACCAGGCCGCCCCAGTTGCCTACCACANACCTCTAACACTGCTATGCCCGTTATCCGTCAACTTTTTCCTGGCAAAGTTATCTCTAAGAGAGGAGACATTTCCTGGCCTCCACGTAGTCCAGATCTGACCCCGATGGATTTTTTTTTGTGGGGCTACCTTAAGGCTAAAGTATACGACACAAACCCGCGGTTAGACGTCGTTTGCAAGAGTGCCGTGATCGCAACGGATTACATTTAGGAGATGTTATTTTCAAAAAATAATTCCCGTTTTTTAAGCTTTTTATGTAAATAAAAATTTAATTCATAATGTAATTAGTTTTATTTTAATAAAAAAATTTTCATATCAAAGGACTTATGGGCCACCCTGTACAATACAATCGAGACTTCCAACTCACGTCTCAAGATGTGTGGCGACATTGAATTTATGATGTCTACGAACTCCGGTAAACAGTTGCTACTATTGGCAGAATTATCTCAAGCACCCATTTGATAACAATAAAAACGAATAGTATTGATAGATATTCAGAAAAACGAAATTCCCATAGTAACTTTGTGTTTAGAGGAAAACGAAGTGTTCTATGAATTTAGATTAAGTAGGGCTATATGTCATATCTTTCTGTGGATGTCGAATAGCCGACTAAAGAAATATTCGTAGAATGAGCAGCAACGTTTTCTGAGTGTACCAGCGTACTCCGATCGCACTCCTGTAAAGCGGAAGGGTAGGCACCACTATCATAGCTTTTTCTGTCGCGACGTAGTCATGTATTCCGGTTTGAAAAGCGTAACACATTATAATATATAACAGTATAATTGAGAACCTACGTCTCATTGTCGTTGGTGACATTTTAATGTCTATAGACTCTCTGCCAATCAATTTAATAAAATCTGCCAACACAGCCATGACTTTCTTCATCCAATTTAATAAACAATTTTAATTCCTTTAAAAAATTTTTCGCTTTCGCCATAAATGTTTCATATAGTTTGAGGTACAGATTATTTTCGCCAAAAGGTTATGCGGTAACTCAGAGCAAGGTCGGGCCGGGCGTACCTCGTTTGACAACTTCCACCACACATTCAGATATTCTTTCTATGAGTAACCATCATATAAAAACTAGACCTCTGAATGAGCCACATCACACTCAATCATATCTGTACAAACGTACAACATGTTCTCCAAAGTAGGTTTTCAATTTATTAACTTTCAGTTTTAAATGTGTAGTGTAAAATAAGTTAATAAATTTGATTTAATTTACTTGCAGATCGTAGTACTGTGCGCTTTGGTCGCGGTGTCGAAAGCTGGACTTCTGGCTGCTCCCGTGCACTACTCTCCCGCTGAAGCCGTTTCTTCCCAAAGCATTGTGCGCCATGACCAGCCTCAGCTCCACGCTGCCAAGCTCGCTGTTGCTACCCCTGTAGCCTACCACGCGGCCCCTGTAGCGTACCAGGCTGCCCCAGTTGCCTACCACGCGGCCCCTGTAGCGTACCAGGCCGCCCCAATTGCCTACCACACTTCTCCACTCCGCTACTCCTCGGCTGAATCTGTCTCGTCCCAAAACATCGTCCGTCATGACCAGCCCCAGACTATCCAATACGCCGCTCCTGTAGCCAAGTTGGCCGTCGCTGCTCCCGTAGCTTACCACGCTGCTCCCGCCCCTGTTACCTACCACGCCGCCCCTGCCGCCGTGTCTTACCACTCTGCCCCAGTAGCCAAAATTGTAGCTCACCAAGCTGAGGAAATTGTAAGCAATTCTATCGATTTATAGAATAAATTTAAACTCAACCATTTTCTAAGCACTTTTGCAAGCACAGATTTTTTAATTAAACACAATAGTAATGAGAAAAGTAGTGTCGAAAATTTAATTAAAGCTTTAACTTGTGTGAACCAATAATTTTATCAGCTTGTAATACATTTTAACAGGCCTACCCCAAGTACGAGTACAACTACTCCGTAGCTGACGGTCACTCCGGCGACAACAAGTCCCAACAAGAGGTACGCGACGGTGATGTTGTGAAGGGTTCATACTCTTTCCACGAAGCTGACGGCTCTATCAGAACTGTTGAATACACCGCTGACGACCACAGCGGCTTCAACGCGGTCGTCCACAACACCGCCCCCACAGCCGCCCCTACTCACATCAAGGCTGTGCCCGCTCTTCAGTACTACCACCACTAATTTTTTTGTGATTTAGGACTGTTGTTATGACTTACGACTAATTTATTTAATTTAAAGAAACTAATAAATGATTCTTAATGGAATTTAACTTTACTTTCTACACAACTTTAAAATCTCTATAGTGCTAGTGTGATATACGCACTCATCAATTTAACGTACAAGCGAGGACTATCGCCGATTGCAATAACAAAAACATGTCAATGAGAGACCTGAGCTATTAGGTATTTGACTATCAAGTTGCCTTTTATTATAATGAAAGTTAAAGACTTTTTTTTAAATATTTTTTGCTTATATCAACCAAATTATGAAGCCATGGCATCGATTCATTTCTGCAAGCAGAGTGGCCATTTTTTAATGCCCTTCTTCAAGAAATCACACTCACTGGAGCCAAAAAGTGCTCAAAGGCATTTTGTACTGTCTCGTGTCCGTTGTACAGTGTTTCGTCGTCGTCATGGCCTAAAGGATAAGATGTCCGGTGCATTCGTGTCTGCATGCAATGGCGCTCGAATCCCACAGGCGGGTACCAATTTTTCTAATGCAATACGTTCTTAACAAATGTTCAAATTTGGCTTCCACAGTGAAGGAATAACATCGTGTAATAAAAATCAAACTCGCAAAATTATAATTTCCGTAATTAATGGTGGTAGGACCTCTTGTGAGTCCGAACGGGTAGGTACCACCACCCTGCCTATTTCTACCGTGAAGCAGTAATGCGTTTAGATTTGAAGGTTGGGGCAGCCGTTGTAACTATACTGAGACCTTAGAACTTATATCTCAAGGTGGGTGGCGTATTTACGTTGTAGATGTCTATGAGCTCTAATAACCATTTAATAACCAGGGGAACTGTGAGCTCGTCCACCTATCATATCAATAAAATAAAAAAACTTGGGTATTCAATTTTTTCCCTGCCAAGAATTTGTCCAAATTTTTAAAAATGTAAAAGTCTATCGGCAAAACTTCCAACCCTAGCTCTTGTAGCTTAGAGACCGTCTGCTGTGCTGTATGAGGTCGAGCGTTGTCGTGTAGGGGAAGCGGGGATGAGCGATTAACCAAGGACAGTCGGAGATTCGATCGAACGATCATTGTGTCAATAATGCTAATGCCATTTGGTAAAAAGCTGTGATGAATTATACCGGCGCTAGACCACCAAACAGTGACGATTACTTTATTAGGGGCAAGTTTTCGGTATTGGGTATTGCCTAGGTCTTGAACCAGGGCTTAACCAACACGATGACCAGTTACGATTCTCTAAAATAATCCATTTTTGATCGCAAATAACAATGGGATTCACAATCCCTTTTATTCTGTGGCTTTTATAAAACGCAAGTTATACTTTAACGCTTTGGTCGTGCAGGCGATTATTCGCACTTATCAAGTTTTCTTTTCTTACCTTACCATTTGACGTAAATAGACCAGTATTGTTTTCATGCTAACGCTGAAGGCAGCTGCTAACTTAGCGGTAGATTGACTATAATCAGCCTCCACCATCGCCTTTAAATCGTCGTTATAAAATTTAATTTCCTGGCGACTACGAGGTTCATTTTTTAGATCAAAACTTCCATGTCGGAAGCGTTTAATCAATTAAAGAGTCGGGCCTTTGTGTTTCTTACTGGTTCGCTGGTAGCTTAAGGGGCAATTCATTCCAGTTTGGCGCTGACTAAAAGCCGAGCACAGTCTCAACCTGAAAGAATTTACTAACACTAGCCCTAGTAAGAGCAGTACTTTACAAAATCTACCACCGGATAAGAATCGCAACCCAATGAGAAGATCCAGCAAGAAACTAAGTGGGCAACGAGTCGTGCATTCGTTTGAAGTATTCACCACGTCATAATCGTTATCCCACAGAATCAAACCGGATCCAAGCCTTGTCAACTCACAGAACACCCTTCCATAGTAAAGTTAGGAGTAATCAGGTGTGAGGCCCATAAATTTTTAGGAAGAACATAATTATGAAGAGTATTAGTAATATTTAGAAGTGGCTGTGGTCTTATACCTGTACCTTCTAATGAAACGCCAGACAAATCATCATCAACGTCACAAAATATGGTTATTTTAGTAATAATAGACGTGTAACACATATGTCAGGATGGAATAAAGTCAAAATATTTTATTAATCTGCAACAATGATTATTTTTTCGACCGTAAGCGATTACTTTACCAGTACTAGTTAAACAGCTACAACAGCAACGCCACCGGCGACCTTGAGACATAAGATTTTAATATCCACTGACAATTCAATAACTTCAAAACATAATTTATTAATCATGGCTTTTCTCTGTCAAATAGGTATAGGTAGATTGGTGATATCCACGGAACATTACCCAAGCACAAACAGAATATATATTTTTTCATTCGTAAATTGTGTCATTAGTCGAAGTTGTTCGTTCCTTATAGACGACGTCTTTGGGGTGATTAGAATAATCGAAACGACCACAAGCAATCCAATCGCTTTATTTTCCATTAGGATTCTGCAAACACTTCTAATTGCTTCACCCATACAAATTGTATAGTTAATACATAAAAAATCGGTAAATAAAGAATTCTAAAACAAATTAATATCGTGTAGTAGAAATTAAACGTTCAGCATATGCCCTGTATATAATATACTTAAGTATACGCTCTAGTTTGAAATCTCTGATACAATACAATCGAGACTTCCAGCTCACGTCTCAAGATGTGTGGCGACATTAAATTTATGATGTCCACGAACTCCGGTAAACAGTTGCTACTATTGGCAGAATTATCTCAAGCACCCATTTGATAGCAATAAAAACGAATAGTATTGATAGATATTCAGAAAAACGAAATTCCCATAGTAACTTTGTGTTTAGAGGAAAACGAAGTGTTCTATGAATTTAGATTAAGTAGGGCTATATGTCTTATCTTTCTGTGAATGTCGAATAGCCGACTAAAAAAATATTCGTAGAATGAGCAGCAACGTTTTCTGAGTGTACCAGCGTACTCCGATCGCACTCCTGTAAAGCGGAAGGGTAGGCACCACTATCATAGCTTTTTCTGTCGCGACGTAGTCATGTATTCCGGTTTGAAAAGCGTAACACATTATAATATATAACAGTATAATTGAGAACCTACGTCTCATTGTGGTTAGTGACATTTTGATGTCTATATACTGACTTCCAATAAATTTTAAAAAATGTGTCATCACAGCCGTGACTTTCGTTATAAACAATTTTAATTTCTTTACAAAAAATTTTCGCTTTCGCCATAAATGTTTCGTATAATTTGAGATACAGGTTATTTTCGCCAAAAGGTTATGCGGTAACTCAGAGCAAGGTCGGGTCGGGCGTACCTCGTTTGACAACTTCCACCACACATTCAGTTATTCTTTCTATGAGTAGCCGTCATATAAAAACTAGATCACTGAATGAACCACATCACACTCAATCATATCTTTACAAGCATACAACATGTTGTCCAAAGTAGGTTTTCAATTTATAAATTTTTAGTTTCAAATCTAAATGCATAATACTGTCTATTAAAATATTAATTACTATTTGATTTACTTGCAGATCGTTGTACTGTGCGCTTTGGTCGCGGTGTCGAAAGCTGGACTTCTGGCTGCTCCCGTGCACTACTCTCCCGCTGAAGCCGTTTCTTCCCAAAACATCGTCCGTCATGACCAGCCCCAGACTATCCAATACGCTGCTCCTGTAGCCAAGCTGGCCGTTGCTGCTCCCGTAGCTTACCACGCTGCTCCCGCCCCTGTTACCTACCACGCCGCCCCTGCTGCCGTGTCCTACCACTCTGCCCCTGTAGCCAAAATCGTAGCTCACCAAGCTGAGGAGATTGTAAGTATTACTAGTATAAGCTTAACTAAATTTCATTGATGAAAATTTTAAAAAGGAACTTACTTCTAAATGAAATGTAATGTTAACAGGCCTACCCCAAGTACGAGTACAACTACTCAGTAGCTGATGATCACTCCGGCGACAACAAGTTCCAACAAGAGGTACGCGACGGTGATGTTGTGAAGGGTTCATACTCCTTCCACGAAGCTGATGGCTCCATCAGAACCGTTGAGTACACCGCTGACGACCACAGCGGCTTCAACGCGGTCGTCCACAACACTGCCCCCACCGCCGCCCCTACTCACATCAAGGCTGTGCCCGCTCTTCAGTACTATCACCACTAATTTTTTTTAGTGATTTAGGACTGTTGTTATAGCTTACGACTAATTTATTTAATTTAAAGAAACTAATAAATGATTCTCAACGGAGTTTATCTTTACTTTCTACACAACTTTAACATCCCTATAGTGCTGGTGTGATGTATGCGCTCACCAATTGAACTTACAAGAGAGGGCTATCACCGATTGTAATAACAAATACATGTAAATGAGAGGTCTAAGCTTTGTCTATCAAGTTGCCTTTTAATATAATGAAAATTAGTATTTTTTTATAAATATTTTTTTTTTGTATAAAAATGAATTGCTGCTCGTTAGTCTTGCTAAAACTCGAGTACGGCTGGACCGATTCGGCTAATTTTGATCTTGAATTATTTGTGGAAGTCCAAAGAAGGTTTAAAAAGTAGGTAAATATTAAAATGCTCGGAATTAAATAAAAATAATAATTTTGTTTTCCTTTTGATGTGTCCCCCGTCGGACGGATTCCTTTTGTTTGTTTTAAGCTTATTTTATACAAAAGTTGAGGTCTTTTATTTATCGATTGAGGCACTACGAAGTCTGTCTAGTCAGCTAGTTTTTCATAAATATTTTTGTTCATATCAACCAAAATATGAAACCATGGCATCGATTCCTTTCTGCAAACGGAGTGGTAATTTTTCAATGCTCTTCTTGAAGAAATCCTTGCCTAACTGGAACCTTGCCTTGGACTGGAGCCAAAAAATTTTCAAAGGCATTTTGCACCGACTCTTGGGTGTTTCATTTTTTCCCTGCCAAGAAGTTGTCCAAAATTTGAAAAATGTAAAAGTCTATCGGCGCAAAATCTGGTGAGCACGGTCGATGATGCAAAACTTAAAACCCTAGCTCTTGTAGCTTAGAGACCGTCTATTGTGCTGTATAAGGTCGAGCATTGTCATGTAGAGAAAGCGGGGATGAGCGATTAACTAAGGCCAGTCGGAGACTCGATTGATCTATCGTTGTGTCCAGTTTCTCACATCCACAGTAGTGCTGGTGCCATTTGGTAAGAAGCTGTGATGAATTATACTCGCACTAGACCACCAAACAGTGACAGTTACTTTATTGGGGGCAAGTTTTCGGTATTTGATATTGCCTAGGTCTTGAACCAGGGCTTAAGCAACACGATTACCAGTTACGATTCTCTAAAATAATCCATTTTTGATTGCAAATAACAATGGGATTCTAAATTCCTATTATTCTGTGGCTAATAAGAAACATAAGTATACCTTAACGCTTTGGTCCTGCTGGCATCATTTCGCACCCACTTATCAAGTTTTCTGTTCTTACCTTACCATTTGACGTAAATAGACCAATACCGTTTTCATGCTAACACTAAAAGCAGCTGCTAACTTAGCGGTAGATTAACCATAATCAGCCTCTACTATCGCCTTTAAATCGTCGTTAATATTTTTAGTTTTCTGGCGACTACGAGGTTCATTTTTTAGATCAAAATTTCCAGCAGTTCAATAAATAAAGAGTCAGGCCTTTTTGTTTCCTACCGATTCGCTGGTATTCCAGCTTGGCGCGGACTAGTGGGCGAGTACACAATCTCAATCTGAGAGAATTTGCTAACGCTAGCCCTAGCAAGAGCAGTGCATTACAGAATGTACAATCGAACCAGAATCGCCACCCACTGAGAAAATCCAGCAAGAAACTAAGTGGGCAACGAATCGTGCATGCATTTGTAGTATTCACCGCGTCATGATCGTTATCCCACAGAATCCAACCGGATCCGAACCTTGCCAACTCACAAAACGCTCTTCCATAGTAAAGTTAGTACTAATCATGTATGAGACCCGTAAAGTTTTAGGATGAACTTCATTATGAAGAGTATTAGTAATATTTAGAAGTGATTGTGGTCTTATACCTGTACCTTCTGATGAAACGCCAGGCATCATCATCAGCGTCAGAAAACATGGTTGTTTTGGTAATAATAGACGTATAACACATAATGTCAGGATGGAATAAAGTCAAAATATTATATTAATCTGAAACAATGATTATATCTTCGACCGTAAACGATTACTTTACCAGTACTAGTTAAACAGCTACAACAACAATGCCACCGGCGACCTTGAGATATAAGGTTTTAATCTTCACTGACAATTCAATAACTTCAAAACATAATATATTAATCACCGCTTTTCTCTGTCAAATAGGCAGATTGGTGGTATCCACAGAACCCGAGCACAAACAAATATATATTTTTTTCTTCTTTCATAATTTGTGCCATTAGTCGAATATATTAGAATATGTTAGAGGAAGTCTGAAAGTGGCACCTGTGACAGAGAAGCTGAAGAGTGCGCGTTTGGGATGGTATGGACATGTGATGAGACGAAATGAAAATGAGGTTGGTAAGAGAGTGTTAACTATGAATGTGGAAGGATATAGAGGAAGAGGTAGACCTAAGAAGAAATGGATGGATTGTGTGAAAGAGATATGGGTAAGAAGGGAGTGAGCGAAAAAATGGTATATGATAGAAGAGTATGGAAGTAGAAAACATGTTGCGCCGACCTCAGGTGACTGGGAGGAGGGCAGGATAATGATGATGATGATGATGAGTCGAAGTTGTTCATTCCTCATAGCCAACGTCTTTGGGGTGCTTAGAATAATCGAAACAACCACAAGTAATCCAATCGCCTTATTTCCTGTGAGGATTCTGCAAACACTTCTAATTGTTTTACCCATACAAATCGTATAGTTAATTCATAAAAAATCGGTAAATATAGAATTCTGCACCAAATTAATATCGTGTAGTAGAAATTAAACATTCAGCGTATTATTATGCCCTGTATACTTATAATATGCTTAAGCATACGCTCTAGTTTGAAATCTCTGATACAATACAATCGAGACTTCCAGCTCACGTCTCAAGATGTGGGGCGACATTAAATTTATGATGTCCATGAACTCCGGTAACCAGTTGTTACTATTGGTAGAAGTATCTCAAGCACCCATTTGATAACAATAAAAACGAATAGTATTGATAGATATTCAGAAAAACGAAATTCCCATTTGCGGGAACTTTATGTTTAGAGGAAAACGAGTATTCTACGAATTTAGATTAAGGAGGGCTATGTGCCATAATATCTTTCTGTGGGTGTCGAATAGCCGACTAAAGAAATAATCGTAGAATGAGCAGCAGCTTTCTCTGAGTGTACCAGCGTACTCCGATCGCACTCCTGTCAAGCGGAAGGCACCACCATCATAGCCTTTTCTGCCGCGACGTAGTCATCTATTCCGGTTCGAAAAGCGGAACACGTTATATAACAGCATAATTGAGAACCTACGTCTCATTGTGGTTGGTGACATTTTGATGTCTATAGACTCTCTTCCAAAAAAATTTAAAAAATGTGTCAGCACAGTCGTGACTTTCTTTATAAACAATTTTAATTTCTTTACAAATTTTTTTCGCTTTCGCCATAAATGTTTCATATAATTTGAGATACAGGTTATTTTCGCCAAAAGGTTATGCGGTAACTCAGAGCAAGGTCGGGTCGGGCGTACCTCGTTTGACAACTTCCACCACACATTCAGTTATTCTTTCTATGAGTAGCCGTCATATAAAAACTAGACCACGGAATGAACCACATCACACTCAATCATATCTTTACAAGCATACAACATGTTCTCCAAAGTAGGTTTTCAATTTATAAATTTTTAGTTTCAAATCTAAATGCATATTACTGTCTATTAAAATATTAATTACTATTTGATTTACTTGCAGATCGTTGTACTGTGCGCTTTGATCGCGGTGTCGAAAGCTGGACTCCTGGCTGCTCCCGTGCACTACTCTCCCGCTGAAGCCGTTTCTTCCCAAAACATCGTCCGACATGACCAGCCCCAGACTATCCAATACGCCGCTCCTGTAGCCAAGCTGGCCGTTGCTGCTCCCGTAGCTTACCACGCTGCTCCCGCCCCTGTTACCTACCACGCCGCCCCTGCTGTCGTGTCCTACCACTCTGCCCCTGTAGCCAAAATCGTAGCTCACCAAGCTGAGGAGATTGTGAGTATTACTAGTATAAGCTTAACTAAATTTCATTGATAAAAATTTTAAAAAGGAACTTACTTCTGAATGAAATGTAATGTTAACAGGCCTACCCCAAGTACGAGTACAACTACTCAGTAGCTGACGGTCACTCCGGCGACAACAAGTCCCAACAAGAAGTCCGCGATGGTGATGTAGTGAAGGGTTCATACTCCTTCCACGAAGCTGATGGCTCCATCAGAACCGTTGAGTACACCGCTGACGACCACAGCGGCTTCAACGCGGTCGTCCACAACACCGCCCCCACCGCCGCCCCTACTCACATCAAGGCTGTGCCCGCCCTCCAGTACTACCACCACTAATTGTTTAGTAATTTAGGACTGTTGTTATGATTTTCGAATAATTTATTTAATTTTAAGAAGCAAATAAACAATTTTCAATGGAATTAATTTTTATTTGCGACATAAATTTAGATCTACTCCAAAAACTTTTAAAACGATTGACGTTAAACATTCCTGCAAGTGCATTATTTTAAATGTATTAAAATCCTTGAAATCTATATATTAATACGTGAAGTATTTTGTACCCCTTTTTAAGAAAATTACGCGGACGGAAGAGTATGAAATTCTCCCTACTTATAGAGAACATAGAGAAAGAGTGCACAATGCTAATTTTTTTACAATTATGCATAAAAAATACATTACATCAATTAAAAAACAATAGGCACACTGCTATTTATTTTACACACACACGCATATTATATACTATTTTGTTTATTGTTTAATTTCTGTGATCAAATTAGTATTGTTTGTCTTTAATGTTTAATGTTTGATGTTGTTCCCTCATCAGAACGGCTCCCCCACCTTTCAAATCGAAACCCATTACTGCTTCACGACAGAAATAGGCAGGGTGATGATACCTACCCGTGCGAACTCACAAAACGTCGTACCATCAGTAATTACGCAAATTATAATTTTTCGGGTTTTATTTTTATGACACGATGTTATTCCTTCAACGTGGAAGTCAATCGCGAACATTTGTTAACTACGTATGTTTTTTTTTAATTCTTAGTCGGGTGAAGAAGCAAACGGTCCATCTGGTGTTAAGTTACGGTTACAGATGCCCATAGATAGACATCACTACCTGAATGACTCCATCCACTTTGAGACACGTAGTCAAATTCTTAACTGCACTCTATAGAACAATAGCTCCGAAGCCATTGAAACCAGAAAGCATTAGAAGTTCGTGTCAGAAATGCCACCTTTTTTTTTCGGATATGTACCCGAACCTCGTGCAAGATTACCGCGTCTAGGGGGAGCACGGGCTATGTAGGTCTTGACGGTCTGCAAATCAATTACGCAATTTATTATTTTGGTGGGTTTGATTTTTTTTGCATTATAATATTCCTTCGTCGTGAACAAATGTTAAGTGCTTATCTCATTTGAAACATTTTACTTAGAGTTAGGCGACAAAATTATATAATAACCTTCTTATTCTATACTTTTTCTTTATATCTTATACCTTTTTTTTAAAAGACTAAAAAACATGTGTTGTCGTTTTCTTTTTAATGGCTTAAATTGACAAAGAAGCATTTTATACAAAATTCTCCCGCTTTATGGCTATTCTCATGATTTATAATCCCATTAAAGGTACACTTGTAATAAATTATACATAACTAAATAGTTCAAACTTTACGATACAGAAAAGTAAAAAAATATATGAGCCCACAACGTAAATGGCTCAATATTGAGAGATGAGTTCAAAGTCTTTGTTTTATAGTACAGTGGCTGCCCCAGTCTTCAAACCAAAATGCATTACTGCTTCTTGATAGAAGTAGGCAGGGTAGTGGTACCTACCCGTGCGAATTCACAGAGTGCCCAACCCAATGCAATTGATATTAAATTTTACCAACGTCATAGAAAGATCATCAAGACAATCGCTCGTTGTGGTTTCTCCACTCTAAGCACTAACTACTGGAATGCTTAGTTTGTAGATACCTTGACATGTTAATCCTCGGAGGACGTTTTCGTAGGTGCTCAAACAGTGCTGACCTAATAACGTCAAACATTGTTATGTCTTGAAGGCCAATAGTCTCACAATTTAGGATGTTGATGTTGATAAAACTTTGGATAACCTATTCTTCGCACTGTGAATAGGTGACCAACAGAACGGGAATTGATTTCACTATTGTTGTACTCGCAAAATACCACCTTAATCATTGGCCTCAAGATACATTTTATGCATTGCTTTTTTTCTTTTCTATAGCCATTTTGAAGGATAAAACCGACTAATTCCAAATATATTAATAAAACTAAAGTTCCTCAATGGTTATCAAGTAAACAAACGAAAAATTTAACAGATCCATAAATATATGTACGTAGCAATATGACTAGACGTTTAGTCTTTAGTCCATTTATATTCACGACAGCATTTTCATGTTTTACTCGTACTGAAATAAAAACATTTCCAGATACTATAATGTTGTATATTATAGATGCAGATTTATAGATAAATAGATTTGTTATTTAAATGTTAATCAAAAACACATTATTTATTGCTACAAGCAATTTATATTATATTAATATAATAGCCAGATAGTGCACCAACTAACGATACGCGAATAAAAGCTTTCGCTTAGCATTTGACACGACACCGAACAAGGTCGTAAGTCGTCTAACTACTTCTACTTCACATGATCATGTAATCATGCAAATATCAGCAGTATATATACTGAAAGGACCTGCGATTTTTTATCATTGCATATCAAGTTGTATCGATCAATACAATATGTTCTCCAAAGTAAGTCAAAATACATTTAGTAATATTTCGTTTTTCAAAAGCTTTACCGCCTAATCACGGAATCTATTAACAGATTACAAGATTATTAATGGAAGACATAAGTGGATGAAGGGGATATGATACAATTTGTTAATTTTGAGATAACGGACAACAAGCTTTTGTTACTTGTACTATTTCTTTGTACATAACTCCTTCATCATATGCAATTTCTAATAATAGCCTTTAAGGCCGGAGTTTTAAGGTCTAATATGTTTTATAGGCACATAACACCTTCATTCAATATAAAAACTCAAAAATCTTACAAGCGGTACTTAACCACTCATGTCTTCAATGTATGTTTTGATTTTACAGATCGTAGTACTTTGTGGATTGGTGGCGGTGTCACAAGCCGGTCTTCTGGCTGCACCTGTTCATTATTCTCCCGCCGAATCAGTCTCCTCCCAGAGCATCGTGCGTCACGACCAACCCCAAGCAGCTAGAATCGCAGTAGCGGCTCCCGTCGCATACAACGCCTACCATGCCGCCCCCGTTGCCTACCAAGCCCCCATCGCTAAAGTTTTGGCTCACCGTGAAGATCAAGAAATTGTAAGACATTTAATGTTTTATGAAAGCTTCTGTTTATTCTACTACTTTTTTTCATCAACTTCTCATGTTATGTTGTTTTGACAGGCCTACCCCAAATACGAGTACAACTACTCAGTAGCTGACGGTCACTCCGGCGACAACAAGTCCCAACAAGAAGTCCGCGATGGTGATGTAGTGAAGGGCTCATACTCCTTCCACGAAGCTGACGGCTCTATCAGAACCGTTGAGTACACCGCTGACGACCACAATGGATTCAACGCGGTCGTACACAATACCGCCCCAACCTCAGCTCCTACCCTCATCAAGGCTGTACCCGCTCTCCAATACTATCATCACTAAATATATATATATATATATATTTTTACAAATAGATAAATATGTTTAACGATGACAATAATTTATTAATTGCAATATACTACAGAGTAACCAAAATTTTGTTGTTTAATTAAAAGTAGATCCTCTTTTAAATACTGTGTGTAAATATAATACATGTTTTTATAAATTTAAAACTGAACACCTATTTGGAGTCATTTATATATGACCAACTGATATCAAAGACTGTTTTAGATCGATTAAAGTACACAGTCAGAATAATTTTTTGAAGTATTGGGAAAATTGCAACGAAAGTTACGGAACATGTGTCTATTTCAATAGGTAGTATGGAAAGGTTTTTTAGTCACTGTTATCAAAACCTACCCCTCCTGACTGAACCTGTGCTCGTCCCGGTAACACTGGAAAGGCCCCCACATCACCAGTAATCCTGCCTTCCTTCCAACTCTAATAGAAAAAGGTTTTCGAATGAAAAATTAGCTTGTCACGGGAAACATAGAAATCATTTCTATTTATTTATGTATTTCATAAGTTAATGTCAACTGTGCACAAATCATTGTAGTTTTCCATTAATTTTAGTAACGTTACCTGTAACTTATTTTGGGAGTATAATTGATGAAATTGTCAATTTTTCAACATACCAAGAAGCTGTAATTTTTGGGTGCGGGGAGATTTTGAGTCTCTCTACATCTTTATTCGTACTCTAAGATATAATAAGGGCACGTTGCTAGTAGAGCAAATGACCCTTGAGGCCGAAAAGTTCTCAAGTGGTGACGGCGTAACGGAAGACTTCGCTTATGTAGGCCTCCCACAAGATGAACTGATGACCACGGGTTGAGGATCACGGGAATCCAGTGGATGGAGGCAGCACAGGACCGTTCGTTAAACGAGGCTTGGAGGAGGTTCAACCTTGGACTTCTGTAGCCTAAAAAAAAGATAGATAGATACCTTTTTTTTTCGGTTAGGGGCCCGAACCTCCTACGAGGTCCCCGCGCGCCCCTTTTGCATATGTAAGACTCAACGATCTGCATGATGCTGTGAGCAGACCGCAGGCCCAAGGATTTTAGGGCCCACCCACTAAACGACTCCCCTGCACTTTTACACCCAACGTCCGATCCCCTCCGAGGTCAGAACCCGGATGAGGTAGGGGGATTACCACGGTCAACACAACCAGAGGGCGCGGCTCACCCCAAGGACGCCCAGCTGACGGAGCCTTTGAGGCGAATCGAAGGCTTTGAAACGTCGGCCGTCTCGGCAGGGCAGCCCGTCAGGCCGCCCAGACGGTGCCGCTGGTGTTCCGAAATACCCCGCTGGACCAGAACCAGCCTGCCAGGTCGGGACGCGATACACCATCGACCGGTCGCTCTATTACTCCTCGGCAGCGCGCTAGAGTGCTGGTAGCGCGCCGCGCGGCCTCTACCCCCTCAGGTCGCCCCTTGACCTTCACCGGGGAGAGGCATAGATAGATACCTAATAAACACTATCTATTATAAGTATATTTAACATTTTAAAATATGGAATCAATATTCCCAATTTCAGTACACGCTTTAAAAATTTTGCAAATGAAATTTTATCAGCTTGACCACGTTCAAAAGCGAAGAATGTGTTACGTGACTCCGAGCCTAAAAAATGTTGTACGCTGCCTACTTGAAAAGTCTGGAAACTTTTATTCTTAAAGACAGTTCTATATAACTCTTATGAAACAACAAAATAACTTATGAAATTTTAATATTAAATTCTAGTCTTAATGGTAATTAAGTAAAGTGAGGTAGTCTATTCAACTCAGGGAGAAAAAATGGTGGACTTGTTTACTGAAAGTAAAGCGTCCTGTGAGCCTACGCGGACAGGTACCTCCGCTCTGCCGTGGGGCTATTAACGAACGGCTTCAAACTGAAATGCATTATTATGCATTTCAGTTTGAAGAGTGGTGCAGCCGTTTTACTATACAAATGTGATTTAGAAATCATATCTACGGCGGCATTTACAATATTGATTGTTATGTGCTCCGGAATTCAGCTAACAAAGGGTGAATTGCTCGTTTCATATTTTTGAGTTCGGTTGCGTTGTTGGTTGTGTTATAATTTTAAAGGTAAGGTAGATGTTAAATATGGAAGTAGAAAAGCACACTCAATTTTACTGTGCTAAGAAAATTCTCCAAAATCCTATAAAAGTTAGTCTATGTAATCTGTGGCTGGATTAAATTGACACGATGAAAGTGGAATTATAGAGATAATAAAAAATGTTAAAACAGCTGACGTGATATTTAAAAATTTTTTGATTGATTCATAAGCAAGCCATACCCAAAAGCGAATAAATGTTGTATAAGGTGAATAAGGGATTAACTGGAGAGCAGGCAGCTCTTCAAGCACCAGTCACCGTACTTGTCGAACTTGAACTATAATAATAATAATAATAATAAATTATTATTATTATTATTATAGTTCAAGTTTGTCGTGTAGCTGAGGTTAAGTCTCCAAATTTAACCCAGACAGCCTATCGACCCCCTACTAAACCACAATGGCAGTGCAGAATTGAGAAGCGAATTGATAGGGCCAGGATTCTTATAGCAAAGCTTATGTGCTTCCAGAAAGGAAATACTCGTCCACGGGTTATGTGTTTCGTCGATCAGGCTTTTGCCGGAACTGNGCCAAGAGGCAGCCGGGGACATGGCAACCAGCGACCGGAAGGGAGTGCCCTCCGGTTCACTTCTCATCCACGTGGGGTCTACCATTACTGACAGACCCACACGTCTGACCACGACGTGGCCACGCCGGCGTACCGGTACCCTCCTCTGGAGGGCCTTCCCCTTTAGCAGCCAAAGAGCTGCCGGGGACATGGCCTAGCGTCCAAGAGGTCTCCAGAAGGGAGCCCTCTCCCGCTTCACGCACCCTTTGTCCAGCAAAGGTGGGAAAAGGGAACACCGTGTGCAGTCTTCTTAGTTCGCGGCACCCCTGTGCAGACAACGCTGCTCCACGGTATCGGGGTGCACACTTAAGCCCCACCGCCGCGACAAGGCGAGACCACGTTGTGTGGGGAGTTTTAAGGTCTAATATGTTTTATAGGCACATAACACCTTCATTCAATATAAAAAATCAAAAATCTTATATACAAGCGGTACTTAACCACTCATGTCTTCAATGTATGTTTTGATTTGACAGATCGTAGTACTTTGTGGATTGGTGGCGGTGTCACAAGCCGGTCTTCTGGCTGCACCCGTTCATTATTCTCCCGCCGAATCAGTCTCCTCCCAGAGCATCGTGCGTCACGACCAACCCCAAGCAGCTAGAATCGCAGTAGCGGCTCCCGTCGCATACAACGCCTACCATGCCGCCCCCGTTGCCTACCAAGCCCCCATCGCTAAAGTTTTGGCTCACCGTGAAGATCAAGAAATTGTAAGACATTTAATGTTTTATGAACGCTTCTGCTTATTCTACTACTTTTTCATCAATTTCTCATGTTATGTTGTTTTGACAGGCCTACCCCAAATACGAGTACAACTACTCAGTAGCTGACGGTCACTCCGGCGACAACAAGTCCCAACAAGAAGTTCGCGATGGTGATGTAGTGAAGGGCTCATACTCCTTCCACGAAGCTGACGGCTCCATCAGAACTGTTGAATATACCGCTGACGACCACAATGGATTCAACGCGGTCGTACACAATACCGCCCCAACCTCAGCCCCTACTCTCATCAAGGCTGTACCCGCTCTCCAATACTATCATCACTAAATATATCTATTTTTACAAATAGATAAATATGTTTAAAGATGACAATAATTTATTAATTGCAATATAATACAGAGTAACCAAAATTTTGTTGTTTAATTTAAAGTAGATCCTCTTTTAAATAATACATAATAGCCAATGTTTTTATAAATTTAAAACTGAACACCTATTTATACTTGGAGTCATTTATATAAGACCGACTGATATCAAAGACTGATTTAGATCGATTAAGCTAGACAGTCAGAATAATTTTTTGAAGTGTTCAAAATTGTTGGGAAAATTGCAACGAAAGTTACGGAACATGTGTCTATTTCAATAGGTAGTATGGATAGGTTTTTAACCACTGTTATCAAAACCTACCACTCCTGACTGAGCCTGTGCTCGTCCTGGTAACACTGGATAGGCCTCCACGTCAACAGTAATCCTGCCTTCCTTCCACCTCTAATAGAAAATGGTAAATAGTTTTGGAATGAAAAAAGGGCTTGTCACGCAAAACATAGAACTCACTTCTACTTATTTATGTATTTCATAAATTAATGTTAACTATGCACAAATTATTGTAGTCTCCCATTAATTTTAGTAACGTTTTCCTATGACTTATTCTGGGAGTATAATTGATGAGATTGTCATTTTATTCTAAACATACAAAGAAGTTCTAGTTTACGGGAGCGGTGAGATTTTGGGTTTCTCGACATCTTTATTTATTCTTTATTCACCCTTGGCTAGGTGGTGCGATGACCTCCGCACGGTGGCCGGCAAGAAGTGGATGAGGAGAGCCGCAGACCGTGCTCAGTGGTGTGGATTGGGAGAGGCCTATGTCCAGCAGTGGACGTCTGTGGGCTGTTGATGATGATGATGATGATGATTATTCATACGGAGTACTCTAAGATATAATGGAGTTGATACTGTCGTCTCCGTTGTTTCATCATGCCACTTGATACCAGTGTAAAGTCTTTCCCTTGAGAGCTATGCACACAACTCAAGAAGCATTACTCTATGCAGTTTCTCTTTCAGATCCCATCCAGTGCTCTAAAATTATGATTTTCTGCAACGAAGGTTCGAAAGAAAACCTGTCAAGGGGAGCAGCAGTACAATTCCACTCCTGGCATTGCACCTCAGCAGTGCGGCATTAGATAATATGAAATAGTAAGCCCACATACCCAACATATTTCTAATATATTTACTGGTGGTAGGACCTCTTGTGAGTCCGCGCGGGTAGGTGCCACCACCCTACCTATTTCTACCGTGAAGCAGTAATGCGTTTCGGTTTGAAGGGTGAGGCAGCCGTTGTAACTATACTTGGGACCTTAGAACTTTATCTCAAGGTGGGTGGCGCATTTTACATTGTGGATGCCTATGTGCTCCGGAAACCAGCTTACAAAGAGTAGATTGCTCGTTTCATATTTTTTAGTTCAGTTGCGTTGTTGGTTATTGTGTTATAGTTATGAATGTAATGTAGATGCTAAGTATGGAAGTAAAAAAGCACACACAATTTTACTGTGCTAAAAAAATTGACAAAAATCCTATAAAAGTTAGTTTATGCAAGCTGTGGCTGGATTAAATGACGTGATAAAAGGATGGAACAGCCGAATTGAACTTTGACCTCATGGCTTACTGGTGGTAGGACCTCTAGAGTCCGCACGGGTAGGTACCACCACCCCGCCTATTTCTGCCATGAAGCAGTAATGCGTTTCGGTTTGAAGGGTGGGGCAGCCGTTACAACTATACTGAGACCTTAGAACTTATATCTCAAGGTGGGTGGCGCATTTACGTTGTAGATGTAGTAGCTCTAGTAAGCACTTAACACCAGGTGGGCTGTGAGCTCGTCCACCCATATAAGCAATAAAAAAATTGTCTCAAGGTGGATGGGCCGTGAAAAAATGTATCTTTGTTGAAGTAGTAGTAGTATCTTTATTAATGAGTCTTCTTAGTAGGCAATCTCTTTAATATAAAAAGCCACTGATTACAATGAACGGATTGCTTTGATAATATTTATAATTAACTAGCTGACCCGGCAGACTTCGTAGTGCCTAAATCGATAAATAAAAGACCTAAGCTTTTGTATAAAATAAACTTAAAACAAACAAAAGGAATTCGTTCGACGGGGGACACATCACAGCAAAAACCAAATTGTTATTTTTATTTAATTCCGAGGATTATCTACCTTTTAAACCTTCTCTAGACTTCCACAAATAAGTTAAGACCAAAATTTGCTAAATCGCTCCAGCCGTTCTCGAGTTTTAGCGAGACTAACGAACAGCAATTCATTTTTATATATAAGTATATAGATAATAAAAACTGATATCCAATATCCATCGATAAAATGGTTCTATCTACTCCTATTTCATATTTATATTACTTTTAAAAAAATTAGTATAATAAAAATCAAGGAAATACGAAATTATGTAAGGGTACTACAAAAATGACCCATCTTAAACGCATTAATTCTTAATTAATACTTTTAAAAATGTTTATCTCTCGCGCCGTCAATTTTACTTTACCAAAGCAATGTAAAATATTCGTGAAGCAAAAAAATCATTTTAAGCTTTATTGAATAGAACCACCCCGCTTTAAGGTGTCGCAATAAATTAGTGAATGGATTGATTCGCGAAACTATGTGACAAGGAACAAGGTCACCATAAGCTGTCTTGACAACTTCCACTCCTTTTACTACACATACGAGTTCATGAACGCGTAAGTATAAAAACGAAACATGGAATCTCATAAGCATCATTCAACAGTTGATCATTTCACAGAAAGAATCAAAATGTTTTCCAAAGTAAGATTTTTAATAAATAACTAGTATAATCATTACTAGTAAATGTAAATTTCACTTGAGCTCAAAAGATGGTTCTGTGAAATTAGTTTGATAAATTTATTTCAGCTTATTAGAAATACTAAGACTTCAAGAATATGCTTAATGGTCTCTAAATTGCCATTTTTTTTCATTTTTCAGGTAATAGTACTGTGCGCGTTTGTGGCGGTTTCCCAAGCTGGTCTCCTGGCGGAACCAGTCCACTACTCATCTGCTGGGGCAGTTTCGTCCCAGAGCATCGTACGCCATGACGAAAGCCACGGTGCTCATTATGCCGCTGCGGCTCCTGTAGCTTACCACGCTACCCCTGTGGCTTACCACGCTGCCCCTGTGGCTTACCATGCTGCTCCAGTCCACTATTCGTCTGCCGAGTCCGTCTCTTCCCAGAACATCATCCGTCATGATCAGCCCCAGACTATCAATTACGCTGCTCCCGTAGCCAAGTTAGCCGTCGCTACACCCGTCACCTACCACGCTGCCCCTGCCCCTGTTACCTACCACGCCGCCCCTGCTGCCGTGTCCTACCACTCTGCCCCAGTAGCCAAAATCGTAGCTCATCAAGCTGAGGAGATTGTAAGTATTTGATGAACATAATTTAATACATCCAAGTAAATTTAAGGTGCACTTAAAAAAAACTAGCATGGATACAACACATTCAATTGTTTAAATTACATTGTACGTCACGGATTTGTTGATGCTCTTTCTGTTATTGATTTTCTGCCAAAAATCACCTGTTGTGAATGTAAAGTATTGCAAAGAAAGGAAGAAAAGTTCAGTAAAGAGATCAGATGTAGATTGAACTTCAGACTTAATTTGCTAACATTTTGTACTTTCCAGGCCTACCCCAAATACGAGTACAACTACTCAGTAGCTGACGGTCACTCCGGCGACAACAAGTCCCAACAAGAAGTCCGCGACGGTGACGCAGTGAAGGGCTCATACTCCTTCCACGAAGCTGACGGCTCCATCAGAACCGTTGAGTACACCGCTGATGCACACAACGGCTTCAACGCTGTCGTCCACAACACCGCCCCCACCGCCGCCCCCACACACATCAAGGCTGTACCTGCCCTCCAATACTACCATCATTAAATATTCAATTAAATAATTCAATCTTATTAGAAAACACTAGATAGTATTGAAAGTTATTTAATAAAATAAATAATCACCAAATACGTAAACATTGTTTCTTTTTTTTTTCATTTATTTCTTCCAGTAAACAGTTGAAATGATTTCAGAATTACTCGATATGGGTAAGCGACCCCTCTTTATTCCAAAACTACCATTCCCCCAACTATACGTTCCTTATAGCCCCCTATCTTCAATCTATTGGATTAGTTAAATGTCTCTGATACTTCCTGCGATAACTTAAGCACAAATTGCCTTTTTGTTAACACTTAACTTTGATATATGCTTAGCATTAGTTGAACAGTGAATTCGTCTACCCTAAGCTCCGAAGATATGGTAAACATAAAATCAAGATGCATTCTCAAAAAATCTATTCTTGAAGTCTTGAAATCTTTGAAGTCTTCCTTGTCCTGGAGAAACTGGAAAGGCCGCCGACAAAAAATACATTAAAAATTTAAAAAAACCTACGATTTTTTTTTATATGTATATATGAGATCCCTCTCATTACATGAGATCCCTCTCGGTTACTCCCATAATAGTGTAGATCAAAGGCCTGAATGTGCTTAAGTTTAAATACATAAGATTTTTAATTTACAATAGAATAGTTCGTATTGTTAATCTAAGATAACAAAATATCTTTTCGAATCAAGAAATTTAGTGAACGCACAATATTATCTTCGATTTATACGAAGTGATAAAGTCGCTCTTTCTCTTTTATTATAGCAACGTACGAGTCGGCTTTGTATTATTAACTTCATTAGGCGTTATTAATTACGTAACATTAAACTCATCTGAAATTTATTAGGTGATACTTTATTAAAACGATATTTGCGATTTATTATCGAATTTTTTTAGTTCTTATTTTATTATTCCCGACTTTTCGTATACTTTACGTCGATTAAGTGTAAAATTAGTTTTAATTCAGTCTACAACTCATGAAAACTGAAGATAAAGTAACGCTTATTTAATGCAACTTATCAACTTTTCTAATGTTTTTAGTCGTGTCGATGGGAAAGCGGCCTCTCCGCCGCCTATTGAGGCTAGAGCCTTATCGCTAATGCTACAACTTAGTGCTTAGCATTAACTAGAATCCACAGATTTCTCAACCTAAATGTTAAGCTTAGGGTGTCAACCTCAAAACTCCAACTCTATTAAAACAACAACTGTCCAGGCCTTCAATCATTGATTGACTACTAGGCTGATTTTTGCACAACAATCACTGCTGTTAAGTTTAACCCTTTGCGGTCCTACCATTAATACAATGTAAGACCATATGTCCGATACGGGTGGACACGGAACTCAAAGAATTAAAAAAAAAGAACATATTAAAAAGATTTTTACTTGTCATTTGTTTCTATTCAATAAAAAACACTAAAATCTGTAACTCCGTATCCGTTTACATAAAGCTCGAAGAGGAAAAAATACGTCTTTGTTGATCATAGAGATGATACGATAAAGTGCAGTAAAAATTTATTTCGTTAATAAAACGTAGATATGTCTGGTTAACATTTTAATTTAAAAACAAGCTAACAGACTATGTACCAAATTAAAACATTATCAGCGTACTTATTATACAAAATTACTTTTAATAGACATAAGTCTGTCGTTATTCCAGTTCAGAATTCTTGCAGCAATTTTTTTGTTACGGATAACAATTTGACGATGCCCAATGGGCCAAGACAGATACAGAAGCAGTCAAGCAATCAAATCAAGATAAGCGAGTATATTGTTCAAAGATATATCTCAGTAGAGTCATAATACTCCTTAAAATGTGTTTTTATCTAATCCACGTTAAGCTTTCGCTAGGAAGTCGAACAATAGGACCTGCTACAATAGCGAAGCTCTAACATTTTTTTATATAATAACCATCGAAAAAGTATAAAATGGATTATATTCTTTCATTTTGTCAACAGTCTCTCATTACATTCAGCAGACGGCAGTTCATCCCATAAACCGGAAGATGTATTCTCAGGTAATATTAAGTTTAGTATTAAAAATTAATAGCTTCCGATCGTTAGGTTATAAATTGGAAAGCTTTCCGAGGATAGGGCTGCTTTTTATACAAAAGAAGACGACGAAATATAAACGTCTTTTTCTAATTTTTCCTATAATAATACTTTCGAAAAGATACTTAATCGACTTCAAGTGTTAAAATTATATTTATTAAAAGGTTTCAACTTTCTTTCTATCGAGTACAATGCTCATAATAATAGCTTATTATAACGTACAACACACAAAATCGAATACATTTAAGAAACCGTTTTCACTAATGCCTCCTTTAAAACTGTTTAATTTCAGTTAGTTTTATTAATTTGCTTCGTCGGTGGCATAAAGACAGTTTTCGTCGATCCCAACGAAGGACCATATGCAGGACAAGATGGTGCATGGAAAACAGTGAAAACTTATCATCCGCCGAGTCCAATCTATAAATACGAAACCTACGTAAGTTATTCAATTGTTCTGGTATGTCAAATCAGTATTTAAAACCGTTTTCTACTACGTATCAATTTAAAAAGACGATGTTTATATTGTATATTCTTTTTGTATGCAATAATTGAATACAATTTTTGTATAATAATCTGTGCTTTTTTTGTATTTCTTTCAACAAGTAAAATTGCCGAACATTTTAACAAGGAGCTCTCGTATAAATTCAATTTAAGCAAAATATTTGAATGGAGCGCCAACCGTTAAAAAAAAAGACTTCTACTTAAAAACTTATGTCTCAAGGTGGGGGTCGGCATTCTTTTTATGAAATTTATAGGCTCCAACAACCACAAACAATAAGCGAGCTTTGAGGGTGTCCACTGGGCTAGAACACAAAAAAATACATTATCACATACATGAATTAATAATTATAGATATAATACCCATTGATCACTCAATGATCGGGATTCTTATCATATTCACTGACACCTCGAAATCTAGATTTATTTGTGTTTTACACTTTCTTTCTCAAGTCGCCATTGACTTTTTAAAAAAGCTTTAAGAACAACAAACAAATAATAGACAAACGCCGAAACAAATGGTACTCAACTGGTCCTTTTTTGCTATTTTCTTATGTGTATAATAAATAGTTTAAAGCAATGGAATGCTATTAATAACTAAATTAATTTTCATTGATTCTATTGCAGAGGTATCCGAAATATGAATTCGAATATTCAGTGTCAGACAAAAAGACTGGGGATCACAAAACTCATCGTGAGTCGCGTGACGGAGATCGTGTTCGTGGTGAATACAGCCTTGTCGAACCTGATGGTTCGCTGCGGAAGGTGGAATACGATGCTGATGACCATAACGGGTAATTATTTATATGTTATTTTGTAGTTTTATCAATTTTTATTGTTATAGGAAATTTAACACCGTTTTAATTCACGATTCCTTAAAATCCATTAACATCGGTAACAACTAATGACACTTGGGCATTATATCTAAAATTCTTTAAAACTCCCGAGCACAGATATCTAGAAAATATAAAACTGAAACACAAAAGGGGCTCATCTTTAGACTATTGCACGTGAATAAGTTGGCGCTAAAATATGTACAATGAACAAAGGAATTGACTCAAAGTAAAATCATATTTTATTCTAGTTTCAGCGCTGTTGTAAGTAAAGGTGTACATAAGCACGGTGACCACGCATACTCAGTTTTTGGTCACACCAGACACTTTTACCCTATCGGACATGGCATCAAGATCAATCACTATTTCCCAGAAAAGAACACCGCAAAAGACGTTAGCTTTGATAACACTGATAAAGGAAAGCCTGTTCAAGAAAATGTACAGGATTCCGTTGGTTTTCAAAAGAGTGCCACTAAGACTGATGTTGAAACATCAGATAAAGAAATTACTTTAAAACCAGAAAATGCTGAAAATGTTGGAAAATCAAATGCCGAGAGACTTATTCAAAAGGATTTAGTCGCAGTGGTCGATTCGACAACTCCTTTGATTATTGAAAATGAGAAATCACTTGAAGGAAGCACAGAAGAGATCAATACTGTAACAACTGAAACTTCCGTAACTGATGCTATGAGAGGCGAAGAGATAATAAAAAAAGATGACCCCAGTCCCGACAACGAAGTAGCTTCGTCACACTACCATATGTTTTATTACGTTTATTGAGTGTTTTATGTAAAGTCGAAAATTTCGGATAGTTTCTAAGTCACTATAATAATTTAACTATGCTAAGCAAATAAATGAGAATAAATGTAATATATGAATTGGACTTACGAACTCTTTAAAAAGCTCCACCTTTGCTTTATACCAAGAAACTTTCGCTTTTAAATTGAACGTTTTTTAAGTCTTAACATGTACACACAAGATGGCATTACCGCGACAGTAAAAGTTAAAAATACATGTACAGATGGCGTAGGTTGCATTGTATATTTAGATTGTATATTGTATATCATTATGATTGCGTGAAGTATTTCTTTGGAATTCTACTTTTTTTTAAAATCAAGCACAGAAATAATTTACACCTAAATAACAGGCTGTCAATAACAATAATTGTCATTAGATATAGCTTGGGTGCTTTTAGCTCTTAAATTATCATTGAAGAATAGATAACTTCACGGCCCACGTGGTGTTAAATAGTTACCGGAGTCCGTAAACGTTAAAAACGTAAATGCCGCCATCCGTCTTGATTAGATTGCATGAAATTAATTAAACTGAAGATCACATAAACTGACCTCATTGAAATACAGCCTACTGTTTTCGGTTAGATCAAAACCCGCTGTAAATAGTACAATTTGGGATACCAAAATCAGTACATGAAATTATAAGGGGATCGACATAGAAAATAATAGGCGCAGAAGATAAAATATTTGAAAAAAAAGCCACACCTGTTTGAAGATGAGAATTTAAGTCCTATGGAATGGGAACGCCGTCGTCCGCCTTGAGAGATAGGATCGTAGTTTTAATAGTTTTTATGTGTATTATGGATTTCCCGTCTTTGAAATTGGAGTTTATGACTAATTCGCAGCAGAAACAGGCAGGATGGTAGTACCTACTGGTACTAACTTACATTACCGCTAGTAAAGTCAGTTGGATGATCCCAGTACGCTAGTATAATAGTCAGTAAACGTTGCTCTATCCAAATGTCTCTAGTGAGACCTCTTGTGAGTCCGCACGAGTAGGTACCACCACCTTGTCTTTTTCTGCCGTGAGGCAGTGGCAGCCGTGCAGTCGTGCAGCCGTTGTAACTATAGTGAGACGTTACAACTTATATCTCAAGGTGGGCGGCGGCATTTACGTTGTAGATGTCTATGGACTCCAGTAACCACTTAACACCAGGTGGACTGTGAAGCTCGTCCACACACCGAAGTAACAAAAATAAAATTTAAAATTAAATTTTTTTTCCGGAAAATCGCTTAGTTTTCTTACACGACATCTAACGTAAGGGACAATGTATATCAGACACACACATCACACATCACATATTATAAAACAGATACTGGCACGGATCCGGAATCAAGTTCCAATCTTGCAGGGGTCATAAAATATGGGGTCAACAATCTCCCAGAGCAAAATATTTTATTATTATTTATATTTAGTTTAATATATATTTAATTTATATTTAGTTTATTATAATATCAAATTCTGCAACCTAGAATCATTTATTCAAAGTCATCTAACATATTCATTGTAAGCGACTACTTGCGAAATTTAAATAAGTGTCATGAATTAATCAACAAAAGTAATCATCACAGTTATATTTCATACAATGAATAGGTATACGAATCACGAACCGGTTCGGTTACTTCGTGAATGAGAAATCGGATTAATACGCATCTCAACTATTTGTTTAAAGCAATACGTAATAAGTATCGTTGCAGATAATGATATTTAATGATTTACCCAAAACGATTAAACGACGTAAAGGTATTTACAATGACGTATACTTTTATTCATTTGTAATGTTTTAAACATAAATATATTTTATTAACGCAGCTTGTTGGACCACTAAAGTGGCGGATGAAAGGCGATTGCATGCAGCAGAGATGCGAATGTTGCGATGGATGTGTGGATTAACGAGAATGGATAGAATACGGAATGAATATGTTAGAGGAAGTCTGAAAGTGGTACCTGTGACAGAGAAGCTGAGAAGTGCGCGTTTGGGATGATATGGACATGTGATGAGACGAAATGAAAATGAGGTTGGTAAGAAAATGTTAACTATGAATGTGGAAGGATATAGACGAAGAGGTGGACCTAAGAAGAAATGGATGGATTGCGTAAAAGACGATATGGGTAAGAGGGGAGTGGGCGAAGAAATGGTATATGATAGAAGAGTATGGAAGGAGAAAACATGTTGCGCCGACCCCAGGTAACTGGGAGAAGGGCAGGATAATGATGATGATATTTTATTAACGCAGTTTTTGTATATTTGACTCCAAAACCAAAGTAGAGGTCGAGATTGCGCTTCCTATCTTCCACAGCTCTCCTATTAACTCGATACAGTAATAATAGAGTTGAATATGGGTCATAGAGGAAATATATCGTCAAACCTATTCTCATTCATATGGGTTTATTTTACCTTACATACGATACAGGTCAAGCTAATAAAATGCTAATCAACACACATATACGCAAATTATTTAATATTTATTTGCTTAAATAAGTACCCAATCTTATAACCTGGTGGCTACTAAAGTTCTTAAAAAATAATCTAAACTTTTTTGTCGCGACACAATCATGTGTACAAGTTTGAAGGTCAATCGAATGTCATTGTAATGCTCCAATAACCGCTTTATATCAGGTGAATCATGAGCTTAAAATAATCTTACCGAGTAAATAAATAATTTTAAAAATTAAGCCCTGTTTACATATTTTTTTATTTAAAAGAAAATGGAAGGAATCCTTAAAAAAAAATTATTGCTTAGATGGGTGGACGAGCTCACAGTCCACCTGGTGTTAAGTAGTTACTGGAGCCCATAGACATCTACAACGTAAATGCGCCACCCACCTTGAGATATAAGTTCTAAGGTCTCAGTACAGTTACAACGGCTGCCCCACCCTTCAAACCGAAACGCATTACTGCTTCACGGCAGAAATAGACAGGGCGGTGGTACCTACCAGTGCGGACTCACAAGAGGTCCTACCGCCAGTAATTACGCAAATTATAATTTTGCGGGTTTGATTTTTATTACACGATTATTAATAGTAGTTGCACTATAAGAACGTTTTACAATCAATGTGATAGTTACCAAATATCAGCAACTATGCACAATATTCACGCCGAACGGCCTACATCTATTACAAGGAAGTTAAAACCGGTCCGAGTAAATCCCAATTTTCATAAGCCCTCAAAGATTTACGTAATCCTGTAATACATCTCGGTAGTTGTGGAATCTATGTAGATTAACGAGTTTTGTCGAATAGCAATTAATAATATCGTGTTGCCGGCCCTACAAGGAACTTAACTTTCGCTGTGAGTCCTGACGAGTATTGGCAAGATTAAATGTTCTATATACGGAGTATTAACAATAGACAGTCGTCATCTAAGTAACTAGTTATTTTGTACTTAAGGGCTTAGAATATGTTTAATTTATGTGCTTGTCTATTTTGTCTTTTACTAGTTTCGTACTAACCTTGAAGAATATAATATAATCTATATATTAATACGCGAAGCAAAAACTTTGTATCCCTTTTTACGAACATTGCGCGGACGGAGGAGTATGAAATTTTCCACACTTACAGAGAATATAGAGAAGAAGTGCACAATGCTAATATTTTTTAAAAATAATGCATAAAAGATACATTAAATCAATAAAGAAAACATTACACACACTACATACCATGTACTTGACGCACACACGCATGCATACTATTTATTGTCAAACTTTTGTTCTTGACGTCTGTTGTCAAATTGAGATTAAATATTGTTTGTCTTTGTTAATATTTTTTATAGTGTAGTCTTGGTGAAATTTGTGATTATAGAAGTATAAAATACAATCATAATAGTGTACAAACTATTCCAATTAATTATAGTCGAATTTCGAGTACGGCGGGACCTCTAGTTAATGTAATTAAACAAACGAAATGAAGTGTAGCATACGAAATAAAATATGATAATGAAAAACGAAATATTTAATATAAAAAGTATTTTAAACTATTTCTATTTATACTACACTCGTGCGAACTCTATGTGTCGTCAGCGTCAGTGTGTGTGTATGTGTGTGTTTAAATCAGCTGGCGTCGATTGCAAATTTTCGAGTATGGAGAACCGGCCGGATTAGGGCGGTCCCACAACTTCCGACTTCCATAAACCGAAATTCATGGGATTTTTTTACAAAAAAAATTTTCATCACTTAAATTTTTACAATATTTTTTGCTCTGAGACGAGTGGTATATAAATGTAAGTGATTCAGTTTATTACTTCCGTATCCTCGATCTAGGAATCAGAGATTGTTCACCACGCGCCAAGAGAGCTTAATAAAAACGATATCATAGGAACAGTGCCTATTTGACCCAGTACGATTTAATAAAATAATAATATTGACAGTATTAATAATATAAAGATAATATGTAAATATTGAATAAACAATTTACACATAAATTTCATATTTTACATAAATACCTAAGAAACATAAATGCAACATTATGTATACACTAATTAGATATTTTAAGCTAACACCAATTAAACAGATGATAACAAATTTTATAATTAATGCTCCTCAATCAGTCGTTTGAAACTATTTAAAGTTTCAGTATATCGTATACGTACTAACAGTGCATTCCACAAACTTAATATCTTAACGAAATCTTAAGGAAATTCATATCTTAAGAATTTCCCGTGCACGTTATAAATAGTTCTATCCATGTCGCTAAACTCACATCACTCAGCCTTAATATTATTCTAACATCCTCTACAATTGATTTGCTTCAACAGATAATATTTTAGTACCGATAAAATACCCTAGACTGCTCGCGCAGCGTCTCAATGAGACTTAAGCGGATGTTATCAGAATAATGATACGACATATCCTTCGGAATACATACGAATAGCACATTCATTCTCCCAACGAAAGCAAAAATGGGAGGTTTTTATTTTATTTTTACTCAAACACACACAAAGTATTAATAAATAATCCAATACCAATCATGAGAGTGAAGAGAAAGTCACGAAAAAACATTAGGATATCTTCTTGCAAGAACATTAAAAAATGTAGACCATAACAGAAGGTGGGGATTCATAATTTAAAATATAATCTGATACCTATTATTTAAATCATCATACTAAATGACCCTTTACAGTTTTCAATTATATTTCAAAATTAGCCGATTCAGAGGAACGAAAAAAAAAATCCTCTCACTTATTGTCAATTTTCGATACACGTTACGGTTATATCGCTTATTGCGACATTTGATAATGCGATCAGATTGGTAACGCTGCAATTACTATGATCCGATCGGATATCGTCGGGAATAGGCCCCCACCACGACACCGTCTTATTTTTAGTTATATAAAAAGACAGCACTATCAGACTAATACCAGTTAAGGCTTTTGTGTCCAAAGCAAAATGTTCTCCAAAGTAAGCTTAACTCCTTTCCAAAGATCAAATCGAGAGTACATTATATAAGCGCGTAGGGCAGTCCTGAAACTACTTTAACTATATCGAAATTTCTATTATTAACTCAACAATCAATCTGCTTATATTTTATTGTACTTTTAATTTACATTGGATAAGTAAATATGTACCGAATTTTCAAAATGCTGAAAAGCCTTTGCTCTCAAATGAAATTTTCGCTTCAATACTGTATCTCACAATTTTTTCTTTTCTGTTATTTTAGATTGTGCTAATTTGCGCTGTTGTGGCCGTAAGCCACGCAGGCCTCCTACATCATGGCCCAGCGGTATCGTCTCAGAATATCGTGCGCCATGATCAAACCATCCACCACGAGACGCCCATTCACTATACTTCTCTACATGATGCTCCCGTGGCACAAGCTGCTCCTGAAATCCATGCTGCTCCAGCTATCCACACCATCCAAGAAGCTCCAACCTACCATGCAGCCCCATCAGTCCACGAGGCTTCTTCCTACCAAGAAATCCACTCTGCCCCTACCTACCATGTAGCTCCAGCAGGCCACGAAGCTCCTACCTACCATGCAGCTCCAGCTGCTCACTCTGCAACTACATATCATACAGCTCCAGCAATCCACGCTACTTCAGCTATTCACGAGGTCCCTGCCTACCATTCAGCACCAGCTGTTCATGCAGCTCCAGCTCTTCACGTTTCCACCGCACTTCACGCCGCCTCGGCTGGACATGAAGATCATTATGTTGACGAATATGTAAAGATTATTTTTCACTAACTTTTTCACTAATTTCACCATATTTTAACAATTATTTTAATATTTCAATATCATATTCCAGGCCCACCCTAAATACGGATACTCTTACTCGGTTGAAGACCCTCACACCGGCGACCACAAGTCTCAACACGAGACCCGTGATGGTGACGTCGTCAAGGGTGAATACTCCCTCCTGCAACCTGATGGTTCATTCCGCAAGGTCACCTACACTGCTGACCACCACAATGGGTAAATAAGCAGATATGTCTTGTCAATTTTTTGGCCAAAAACTACCTGATGTGTGCTTATTTTAATCTTATTCTAATCTATTTTAATCTTAATCTTTGAATGTAATTATATATAGTTTTTTTTTTTGTGTCAACAGTTTCAACGCAGTCGTCCACAATACGCCTCCCGTGATACATCATCATTAGGACTTGAAGTCTGCTCGATCTGTGATATTAGTGTTAATTTGCTCAAGTACCTGTAGTCGCGAACACCCATAAAGCCTTTCATTTGTTCTCATGTATGTTTGTATCTTGTCGAGTGTTTTAAATGTTTTTTCCACGTCCTAAAATAAAAACTCAAATCAATTGTGAAAAACTATTATCTCTAAACTGTCTCTTCGAATGTGTATATCTCGTTGTGTTTTGATAGCCTATAGAATAGTTTAATATCATCATAACCAAGCTTTCTAATGGGGATGGGCAAACAGATGTAAATAGGTTGGCTTAAAAACAATAAATTAAAGTTTAGAAAATTACATACTATTTATTTCAACCCGATATAAAATCATCTACACACCGTGAAGAGCTGTTCCATGCGTAACTTCATATTGTTACTGTTTCAAAATTCATTTCGCAACGATCATTAATTTCTGAAATACCAATTAAATATACGACGTAAGCCAAAAGACGAAAGGAAATACTGCAATCTCATATGCATTAAAACAAGAAGTGTTTATTTCACTAACAAGTCCGGTGGACCGTGAGAATATACAGATCTCAGCCAGATTGCACTCCGAATATTACCATACAATGCTGTAATGAGGAGTGAAAGCAAAACGCAACCACTGAAGTGACCGATCAAAAACTAGTTCATGCAAGAATCTCCTAAAATGCAGATATTTAATAAATAAAGTGGACATATTTTTTAAGTTGTAGCAACGATTTTGTCTTCTTCATAACATGAGATGTATATGAATAGTATGAACCTTCAAATCGAAACGAAAATTACTAATTTAAAATTAAAATTACAAAGCAATCATTTCATAAATCTATATAAGTCTATATGTGTAGGTATATAGAATCTAAGAAATATTACTAAAACACATACACAAATAAAAATAATGAATCGACGGCAGAAATAGGCATGTTGGTAGTACCAGGCAGGTACCACTGAAATAGAGCTATTATTAACATAATAGCTAATGCTACTATTCCAAAATTTCTTGGCACTGTACGGTCTAACTGATGGAAAGTGGTCATCGTCGCCCATAAACGTCAGCAATGCCAAGCCGAGCTGCCGCCTAAGCCCGATTAACATATTTATACAAGCATTATAACGAAGGCTTCTTATTTTATCTTATTTCTCCTCAATTCCTTATTTTTACTCCTACCCTTAAAAACTGACTATTACTATAACAAACGCTATACGAGCATTCCGAGATCATACGTATTACATTAATTAATGAGGTCGTTAATAAGGTATTATAAATTTGAACACCGTCCACATTAAATGCTCACAAATCTCTCTATTTGTTAGTGCCGTAAATCAAATGGCTTCATGGCTGCATCGACGCTACGTAAGAACAAAAAGTTCTACTCTAGTTTAACTGATTTTTCTGATAATAAATCAGTAAAAGTATAACAAAAACTGTAAGAAATATTATAAGAATATAATAATTTGAATTAATCACTCTCTAGATTTCGACTTCACGATGCTACCGATTTCTGCCACAAAGACATACATAAATAATATCAGTCAAATTGAGACCTCAATATCATGTTTCGCAGCGGATGCACTCATATTCTGGTAGCTCTCATTTTCCCATCCGGCGTCAAGAAATAGAAGCTCCATAAAATCAAGATTTATCTCGGTGTGAACAAAAAATCAATTAAGAATTAGCATGTAGCAATAAAAATGACATTGGTTAAAACGCGGTTGCGTGATATGTTACCAGACAAAAAGTTTGTATGTAATAAAACTGTTGTAGTCAAATACTAAGATTTACTAGTAATGACATTAGTCCGCCATCGTTCTAGCGGAAAAGCTATGTATAACAATAATAGATACAATTAAATTATTAAAAAAGGATTTACTCTTAACTAACCTACACTAACTAACTAACAAAAGGTCATAAACAATATTAAATTTACGTTTAGAAATGATAATGTACGTAGACGAGTGGCCGTAGATGTGAATTTAAATATTAAGTGCTCGGTATTTCCTGTTTAAGAATTTGAATCTTGACTTGTTAAAAGTGACAGGCACAGTTTTTTATTATTTAATTTCAGATTTGTATTTCTGTTTTTTTTAGCAAACTCTGTCAACTAAACGATCTAGTAGATTTTAACATATACAAATTATAAAGCGACATTCGTTAATTAATTTTAGTACAATCGTTTAATTGTTTGTAGTAAATAATTGTTTTTCAGAATAATTTAATTTATATTATGTACGCTGTTTAATGGTGGATTGGGTATATTCAAGTGTCTGTTTAGTGTTTTATTTTTAAGCTTTAATGTCTCCATGTTTGGGTAAATGCGCGTCAATTACCGTTTATTATAAAAAAAAAAAGAACACAATATTCCTAACCTAAAAGTACATGTTATTATCCGCAACATGCTTCCTCAAAAAGTACAATACTTACTTTCAGCTACAAGCGTCGTCATAAGTAACATAATATAGGTCCACTATCCTTGGGTATATTGTAACCTCATACAGATCGATACCACCATCCTGAATATTTCTGCCGCAAAACAGTAATGTTCCGGTTGTAAGGTTAGGTGAATAGTCTTTTGAAATTTGAAATTTTTGAAATTTGAAATTTGAAATTAAATTTAGAAATCATGTCTCCACATGGGCGGTCGTATTCACTTGTGTCTAAGTCAATGATTACCCACAAGTGGGTCGTGAGCTATTTCACCTACATAGGTAATGGAAAAAACAAAAACGAAAAACATATTATTAGGTCTGAAGATCTTTATTTATTATAATAATCTGCATGACATTGAAATTGCATGACATTGCTGGGCTTTGTACTCTTTACGATTAATTTCTTATATTGTGTTCTAGGAGTTTGAAGACTTAATCCAAAAAGGAGATTCAAATTCTAATATTATCTATTAAGTACGTCAGCGCAAAAAATTGTTTTGAGATATGTTACAAGGTACAATTACATCCATTCTTTAAATGTATTAGGCAATAATCCAGAGATGCTTAAGCAGTATATTCATTATTTCAACATTACACAAGACTTGCCTCGCCATTCATGCACGTTATCAATGTAATAAAACTCCGAATCGATGTCTGCACAATGAATATATTGAATACACGATTACCAAAAAAAATATGAGCACAAAAACGTCGGTGCCTGTAAAGGTTTTCATTAAAAAATTAAGATTATACGGTGACCTTCAAGTGAAGCTCTGTCCATTTACCGCACAGGCAAGCCGGTTGAGAGAAATATGCGGAGCGGGCTTTGCAAGCTGTCCGCGCAACGTAATGTTGATGTTACACCGAGAACCGCTACAATAAAATAATGTTATTACGTTACTCGTTTGTAATATGTGCGTTCGGCTGAGCGGTCTCACGTGTTTTATCCTTTTTTTTTAATTTATGAAGTAATTCTTCCATTACTTTATTTAGTTTAAATTTTAAATTTAGTACCATTACCATAAGGTAAGTATCGTATGAGTACTTTAAGAAAATGCCTTTATTTAGCGATAGTTAGAGTGGAGCAGACGCGGGCGTCACTGGTTCATACCAATTTGAGACCACATTTTTCATATAGAAATTCAAGATCACTGACAATATATTGGCGAGCGTTTACCATAGCGTCTAGATAATATAAAGTGAATTCTGCCTTCCACATAGAGGCGTCAGTTCTAGTAACATTTGCATTCAACTATACACTATCCGCAAAATTCGCAACTAACTAATAAGACGATATATAACCATGACCACTCCGTCAGGAATGTACGACTGAGAAGAAAAACCACTATCCTTATAAATGTTACTTCAGAATGTTAATGGCTATTAAAATTTTAAATTAAACGTTAAATTTTGAGGATTATTAGCTCGGCTTTATGTTTGAATATTATTTATATTATTATACCGTAATTTACGTACTACCGCCCAATGTGTCCCAAACCTGTCGTTGTGTAACAGTTTACTGGAGCAACCCAGAACGCTACTTTCTTACCGGCTGCTATGGTACAGCTTTGTTCATAATGGACAACAATACGGAAAGATAAAATTGTAGTAGGGTTTTATAAATGTATATAGTAAATTTGCTTTGAGCTAAATACCAACCTTGATATCTCCTTAGTTTCTATCTTCTATAGGTAATAAGGCTTTTCTTTATCTTGCACGTACTACACAATACCAACGTCTAGCCTATTTTAGCAGCAAAATTATAATCTCAATGGTATAAATAAGGTTTCGAATCCAAGTGCAACATCTTCCAGATAAGATCTTTTATTATCTAAGAATATTAGACTTATAATTTCAAAAGTAACAAGTGATTTCAAGTCGCCTAAGAACAAAATATCGACTACATATCCGTTGTTTCAACATAAGAATAAATATGGCTTCGATACGAAATATTTGTTACATTTTGAGTTTTTCAAATACTTTTTTAACTAAAAGCCGAAATATGAATCGTGTGAAAAGAGCTTTATAATAACCTTGAACAAAATAAAAAAATCACTAAAATGACGTAAGGTAAAGGTGTAAAGGTGATCGTGTTCAGTGGTGTCATATTATGCTGGGCCGGTTTTGTTGTATCGGGTGACATACACCCGAACCGCTTCCTCACTTGTATAAAACCCACCACTGCACTTGGGAACTTATCAAACGTACCCCACGCTTCAGTAAGGCATCTCAACATGTTCTTCAAAGTGAGATATCCTTCGCCGGAATTAATAAATAATATTTATTACGCACTCTTAATTATATTTAATTGAATTATTCGTCTTACAGATTGCTGTAGTCTGCTCGATTTTGGCTATTTGCCAAGGTGGTGTTATAGACGAGGGCCACGGCCATGCTGTGTCTTCCCAAAGCATCGTTCGCCATGACGAGCCTTCTCATCAAGCAACGGCACATTATACCCCAGTATTGAGTCATGCTGCTCCAGTACTGACTCACGCAGCCCCTTTGATTCAACATGCCGGTCCTATTGTTCACGCCGCCCCCGTGGAACATTCTTCGTATATACATGCTTCGCCAGTAGTCCAACACTTCAGCCCTGTGCAACATGCTCCAGTCGTGCACCACGCTGCGATTCCAATTGCCGTCGAACACTCCGATCATGTCGAAGATCATGTAAGTAATAGCACACATGTAATAACTCACACATATGTCGAAGATTATCCAATTAGGTTATCCGATTTTTTATATTGCTTAGATGGGTGGACATGCTCACAGCCCACCTGGTGTTAACTGGTTACTGGAGCTCATAGACATCTATAACGTAAATGCACCACCCACCTTGAGATATAAGTTCTAAGATCTCAAATATCGTTACAACGGCTACTCCACCCTTCAAACCGAAAGGCATTACTGCTTCAGGGCAAAAATAGGCAAGGTGGTACCTACCCGTGCGGACTCACAAGAAATCCTACTACCAGTAAAAACATAGCATTCTCATTCTCTCTAAGCACATTATCTCTAAGCAAAGTATTGAAATGTATTTTCTGTGCACCAACATTGTATAGATCTTTCTAGTATGTGGTGATTTCAATCAAAATTATAATTGTATAGTTACGGAAGAAATATTAAGTTTATCTTCGCTACTTCCGATAGTTCTTGAAAGATTGATTAAGCATGAGGGATATACTGTGGTTCCGTACAGTACATTCCTTTACTAAGGTCAATTAAAATCAATTATATCGAAAAAATACTGAATGAAAAATAATACGAAATTATAATGCCTCATGTTATTCGAAGGCTCTAACTGGAATTAAACTCGGACACCACATAACGTTACACGAAACAAAATTCACCAATACAAAGAAAGTGAAAGGCATCTTAGATACTATTATGATTAAAAAATGTGATCAGTTAATACAACCCAATTAAATATTTTATTGTGTAAGCCCCTTGTCGTTATTAGTCTACAGACGATTTTGCAACTATTTATGGGCAATCTATCAAGCGGTTGTTTGAATCGTTCAACTATTTATCAAAATAACCATTAGTTTGTTTACGAATAAAACTCTCGACCTTAACAGGTCAAGCTATGCGTGATTGTTTGTTAGTGAAAGAACTATCAGCATAATATAACATGATAAAATGACTAAAAGGTAAACTGATTTTTGGTCCAATGATGGAATATGTTTGAATTGAATTTGTAGAATATATTGCAACAAATTAAACTAATAAGTTTGTTCATTTAACATATTTGATTACAATTACGCTGGTAACGAATATATTACATATGAACTGGATAATATTCTCCAGGCTCCCGCGAAGTATGAGTTCTCATATTCCGTCGAGGATCCCCACACCGGCGATCACAAGTCCCAACACGAAACCCGTGATGGTGATGTCGTGAAAGGCGAATACTCTCTACTCCAGCCTGATGGTTCCATCCGCAAGGTCGAATACACAGCTGACCACCACAACGGGTAATTTTTCTATTCAGCTTACGTCATATCTAAAACAATCGTGTAATTACGAAGTGTTGCGAACATATAAGTAAGAAAATTAGTTTACATCAATTTGCGCCAACAATTGTCCTATAGAGTACTATAGATGACTATAAAATAAATCTTACACAAACTGTTTTGTAGTAAAATTGTGAACAACGATTGGCGTTGGTCGGATAGTCCTCGAATTATTTTAGAACGTAGATAATCTTAGCATTGTGATGACTTAGAGTAAATCTTAATTCAATTTGTTCAGAAAACGCCACTGCAATAACTTACTAACTTATTTCGTAACCGAATTAGTAACGATTCTGTGATTCTGAATAGGAGTCTAATTGATTGTTAAACTTTTTTTGTAGTAATGTATCTTAATTTGTTACATCAGATTCAACGCTATTGTACACAACTCCGAGCCTGACGCACACGCTGCACCTCCATCGCCGGCTCCTGCTGTCCACGCCGTCCCCGCAGCTCATTCCGCTCCAGTAGTCCATTCTGCCCCTGTGATTCACTCTGCTCCAGTGCTTCACTCTGCCCCTGTAGTTCATTCAACCCCTGTGGTTCACTCCGCTCCCCTAATTCACTCCGCTCCCGTGGTTCACTCCGCTCCCCTAGTTCACTCCGGCCCCGTTGTCCACACAGCGTCTCTGTACCACGCCACTCCTCTTGTACACTCAGCTCCTCTCGTGCACGCCGTACACGCTGCACCAGCACACTACATCGCCGCTCATCATTGAATAAAATTTTCGAGAATCCAATATTTGTAATCTTAACTTCTATTTAATTATTTAAAAAAAAACTGATTAAAATATTTCTGATTGAATACGTATTCTTTGACATCAATTCCCTTACTATCTCCCTTACAATACATTTACCTAATGGAGAAAACGTTCGCTTGTTGTTCCGTCTTGAACAAAACATATCGGATGTATGATGTTAGGTAACAGAAAATCGTTAATTACCCACTATTCATGTTCACGTAATAACAAAAAAATATCACAACACTATATAGTGTACATTCTTGCGCTTGACGTTTTTAATTGGCAGTGAATAAAAAAACATGCTTCGTGCATTCATACCAAACCTAATAGCACAGAACAGAACTTGAATTTCGACTAGCACTAGAACATCAACGTATTTAGCGTTATTTTTTATTGTTTATGAGCTCATAGCCCATCTAGTGTAGTGGAGCTCATAAACACAGTAGCCCCAGGAAATCCATCAGCTTGTACCTGTATAATACAATAATATTAATACGTGAAGCAAAAACTTTGTACCCCTTTTTATGAAAATTGCGCGGACGGAGGAGTATGAAATTTTCTACACTTATAGAGAATATAGAGAAGAAGTGCACAATGCTAATATTTTTTTATATAAATAATGCATAAAAGATACATTAAATCAATAAAGAAAACATTACACACACACACTACATACCGTGTATTTGACGCACACACGCATGCATACTATTTATTGTCAAACTTTTGTTCTTGTCGTCTGTGGTCAAATTCAGAATAGATTAAATATTGTTTGTCTTTATTAATATGTTTTTATAGTGTAGCCTTGGCGAAATATGTGATTATAGAAGTATAAAATACAATCATAATAGTGTACAAACTTACAATTTTAATTAATTATAGTTGAATTTCGACTACTGCGGGAACTCTAGTACAATACAAAAATATTAGGACAAGCAGTTCAATCATTATTTTTCGGAAAGCCACAGCATAATTTTCATACAATTCGCGATAATCACAGCAGAACGAGATCGAATCTCACTTGTTTAAAATACATGTAAACTTACTCTTCAAATCCATTATTATATACAGTATAAAAACATTGAAGATCACATTAGTTTGACACAGTGTAGTTATTAGTAGCATCATAATATGACGGAAGTGCACAACGCTATTTGTTATCTTAATGTTATAGTCGTATCATGGTAAAATCTGGCCCACGATTGTACAAAACAGTCACGAAGCAAGGCTTTCTTACATTTTGTAATGTCCCATGAATGCTATATGAAATTAGCTTAAGCAACAAAATTTATATACCTTATATTTATATATCTTTAAATGTTTGTATAAGATGTCTGTTGCAATATCTCGTATTCTTCGAAATAGGTGCTCTGCATAATTATACATTGTTTTTCATTGCGTTACAGATAAGAAATACTTTGGTAGGAATTATATTAGTATTTCGAGCTTATTTCTAATGTAAGTGCTTGAGACAATACTTGGAACTCCATAAATATTATAAAATGAATTGACTCCACCAAATTACACCTTTAACAGTTCGTTAGTTGCAGTTTTTAATCAGGCCTACAAATTACTTGATTAGGTTTTTTGTCCGCTTCCTAATGATAACTAAACTCCATGGACATAACTCAGAAACGAGCTTCTTTTCCTCTATATTTTTTTTTTCGAATTTATTAAAATATACTAGCAAATATATACATTTCAATAAAAGAGAGTCAGTGAGACAAACTCATAGTTTGTCTGTCACTGACTCAAGTTGATAACCTTATTATACTTATGGTCCGAAACAAACAATATATTTTGGTTTAATATTATCTAAGTACATAACCGAAGCACATCCGAATTCTTTTCTTATGGAGATTAACGTCTTCTATGACTTTGTGCAACACATTCTTCGAAATATGCGTATCAGCCCGGCACATACGAGCCTAATCAAACCGATTATTCTGTTTATTTAACCTCTAAAATTCAATAATATACAGTTCACTGTTATTTCAAATTATCTAAATGTCAATAGCGTACGGAAAACAACAGACAATAAATAAATATTGTTGATGATTTTATATTATGTATGTATACATATTTAAAAATATCTTGAAGCGTGTCCAAGAAACAAAAGATGAGGATGCTTGCGAACCTTTTTATTTAATGATCAGTGCAAAACCAGTGCTAAGAAGCAAGGTTGAATAAATTATATGGTGTGTTATATTGCACTCAGCGGCCCACATGTTGGGGCGCAACGCTCTACTTATCAACCATAATTAAAGCTAACGAGATAGGCCGGCGAAAATTTAATAAGTGTGTAAATAATTATTTAACGATTAAGTAACCAAAACAGAGAGCGGCCGCTTGAGAACAATGCTAATGCATTTCAAAAAATTATAATAATGTATAAATTGGTCAGTAACACTTTGGTCAATAATCCGCTCCAAAATATTTAGTAAAGGTGGACGGACGCATATAGACATTAGAAGATGAAATTGAATTTATCAATAGACTCTTGAAATTTCACCCAAAATTGCATTCGTTTCATTTTATTTAGCAGTTTTGATCATCAGTTTCTATTGATAAGAGGCCTTGCGATCCCGCTCGATTGAGGACCATCATCTGGCTTATTTCTGCCGCGAAATAGTAATAAGTTCCGGCGTGAATGGTAGGACAACCGTGATACTATACAATTATTGGTGGTGATTACTGGTGGGGATTACTGATGATAGGACCTCTTGTGAGTCCGCACGGGTAGGTACCACCACCCTACCTATTTCTGCCGTGAAGTAGTAATGCGTTTCGGTTTGAAGGGTGGGGCAGCCGTTGTAACTATACTGAAACCTTAGAACTTATATCTCAAGGTGGGTGGCGCATTTACGTTGTAGATATCTATGGGCTCCAGTAACCACTTAATACCAGGTGGGCTGTGAACTCGTCCACCCATCTAAGCAATGAAAAAAAAATATTGGAACCTGACTTCATATCTCAAGTTGGACGGGACCATAAACGTAATTATGTACTATATTAGGTTATATTAGGTTATATTACTATATTAGGTTCTAAAAACCATTTCACACCAGATAGCCTATTCTTATTAAAGGACTTAGGACAATAAAATGTTTGCGCAATTTTATGAAACTTATTAAATAGGATAAATTATGGCTTTTACTAAAACGAAGTTATCTTAAAAAATCAGAAAGCCATTAGAAAGTACACGTTTATGCTCTGCACTAACTTTAAATTAAGCACGAAATCCTAAAATGTAATTACCAGCCTACAAAACGAGCGCCTACTTACACTGTAACAAAATTAACATTTCATGACATAATAATTTTTGCATGTTACATAATTTTCATTAAATGTTTCTCTTTTAACATTACACATAATTTTCTAATTTAATGAAATTGCTTTATTACTTTTTTTTACTTTTCGGCTACAGGAAAAATGTATATCCGTTAAGCATTTTAGGGATTTAAAATATGTTTTGTGAAAGTCGGATTTTTATCTATACTAATATTAAAAAGCTGAAGAGTTTGTTTGTTTGAACGCGCTAATCTCAGGAACTACTTGTTCGATTTGAAAAATTCTTTCAGTATTAGATAGCCCATTTATTAAGGAAGGCTATAGGTATATAACATCACGCTAAGACCAACACAAGCCGAGCACCAATAAAGAATGTTTCAAAATCGGTTTTTTTTTCCATTTTGAGAGCTTCCGCTGCGTGCGTTGCAGAAACTGTTAAATTTTCGCTAAAATAATGTATGACAGAATTGTTCCCCTGTAAAAGATCTAAAAAAAAGTCCGCGACAGCATGTCTTTATGTTAAGTTTGGCTCACTATAATCTTTTTTTTGCTAACCAAGTTTGTTCTAAAATAAAGCATTATTTGTATTACACGGACGAAGTCGCGGGCAAAAGCTAGTTGTTCTAAGTAACAGTTAAACAAGCTCATAGTTCACCTCGTGTGAAGAGATTAGAGGCCATAAATATCACGCAGCAACAGCTGTTATATAGTATTGTGAACTCGCGCAATTACGGAACGAATCGTCCAACTATTCTGCATACTTCTGCAGGATTTTACTGGTGGTAGGACCTCTTGTGAGTCCGCGCGGCTAGGTACCACCACCCTGCCTATTTCTGCGGTGAAGCAGTAACGCGTTTCGGCTTGAAGGGTAGAGCAGCCGTTGTAACTGTACTTGAGACTTTAGAACTTATATCTCAAGGCGGGTGGCGCATTTACGTTTTAGATGTCTATGGGCTCCAGTAACCACTTAGCACCAGGTGAGCTGTGAGCTCGTCCACCCATCAAAGAAAAAAAAAAAAAAATGAAGCGATCATGAGTTCTGGCTTGAAGACTTGGACAGTAGTTATACACTAGAATTGAAGTCTCAACCCTATCTCAATACACAGATGTAGGTAGCGGTGCTTCTATTTTGTCTATGTTGTCTGGTCGATCCAACTTCATAGCAAAACACCATGAATACTTCCGCGCGTTTAGACGAAAAATATTTAAGACGTACTTTTAAATTATTTGAAGAACACGAGCTGAACTATATCAAGTTTCTATGTTATTTAAATGAAGATTTTTTTTTTAAATCACGCCACGTTAACTGGTCCCGTGATAAGTTCGTAAAGAACTTGTGTTACAGGTACCAGATAACGGAAATAAATGTAAGATTTTTATTATACACACACATATATTTAATATACATCCATAACCCTGGAAAAGACATTTATATTTATCATACAAATATCTTCCCTTGGCGGGATTCGAACCCGCGACCCCCTTGTGTAGTGACCATGTAACTTACCACTACACCAGACGGCAAATTGATTTACGTACTCGAAAATTCATTTCCTCATTGCATTTAGTCATAAAACAAGAGTCACGTAGTTACTTATCTGATCATTACAATACTCTGTGGAGAACAGAAAGGGTCGTATAACTTTCTACATGGAAATCTCTTTAAATGTTGATTTAAAAAGGAAAGTTCAGAAGAAATTTGTGGAATAGCAGGTGATGGTAATGTGAAAATTGGAGTAAAATAAACTTAGGCGAAAATTTTCAATGAGAATATTAAAATAATATGCAAAAATGTAGTTGAAAAGAAAATAAATATTTAAGAATTTTATTAAATCCAGAATTAGTTGAAACCAAAAAAATCATTAAATTTTAAATTAACCTAAGTTTTAAATTATATAATTTCAATGATTAGATTTAAATAAAATTAAGAAAAGCTATTATTAGATTAATGCTATGTTATTTAATAACTTTAACTTTGAATTCCTAATTGTTCATAAAAATACTTATAATTTTTCTCAAATAGAAAATAGTTCTCACCTTGAACCACGAATGATATAATTTTACGTAATTCTTGTATCATTGTTAAATTACCGTATACTTGCGTGGTGGTCGCGTGCATCGCATCTCGCCTCGATACCAATATAAAAGACAGACAGTTCGACTCTTCAACACCAGTTGAGTGTGGTCGTGCAGACGAAACAAACCTTATTCAAACGCAAAATGATCGCTAAAGTAAGTGGCTCCTGTGGGTTAATATCCCGATCATTAAGTGAAAGGATTGTCAGCGCATTGTTGAAACTATTAATATTTATTTATTTGATTTTTCTTTTGATGCACTACAAGGGTGGCTCTGTATTTACATATTTATTTTCATGTTTGTTTTATATAAAAAAAAACCTTTTTTTTCACGTTGATTTTTTACTCTTGCAGTCCACTAAAAATCAAGTCTCCTGATGATCTAATCTACCTTCTTCCAGATTACTTTCGAATTTCTGTTTTTCCCAGGCCGCAGTAATCCTGTCCGTGGTAGCACTAGCAAGTGCTGGTGTAGTCCAACTAGCAGGCCACGGATACGGCGGTGAGGAGTACGGCCACGAAGCGATCGCGTACGCCCCAGTAGCCGTTGCGCCAGTCGCGCATTACGCCGCACACGAAGACACGCATGTCGATTACCATGTGAGAAAATCATAAATTAGATACGTCTAGAAACATTCTCAATGTTGAATATTATCGATAGCACAATATCTGATAATAATCAAATTAAGTTACTTTCGAGATGATTTTTAAATTCAAATAATACGATTAGTACCTATACAATAAAAAAAAACATGACTTAAATACGGATTATGATAAAGTTTGTTACAAAAAACGTAGAACTATTGATAAAATATTAAAAAATTCCATGGTGAATTCTCACGTAAATGCAGAACACAAAGAAAACGTACGGTCAAATAATTTGCGTAAACAATACATTTCACAACATCCGCTAGTTTCTGGTAAGGGACTTATAAAGTTAACAAGAACCGAAAGCTACAATGTATTCATGCAATGTATCGTTTTATGTTAGTACTGATCATTAACCTCTATAAAACTCTAGGCTATTGTTAGCTTGCTAAAGTTATAGTCTGTTTAGATCCAAACTTGATACAGGCGAGCTTAATTTATAAGCTAATTCGAATAAAATCATGAAAAGAGGTTCTACTCGTTTAGAGTCAAAACAAAAAAACAGTTGGTCTAAAAAAATACATAGGTTATTTAAAAAAAGAAACTAACCTTTACATTTAGGAATCAAAATCGTTTTTAGAATTAAAATCCAGTCAAGGGATCGTAATTCAGTGAATTGTAACAGCCTTCACTAATGAACATTATCCGTTACGTGTAACGACGTGTAGACACAGTAATCGCCTTAAAACTCATTAGTGATGCAATTCTGTCACACTAACATTCACAAACAGTACAAATATTGGTCAAGGATACAGAAAGAAACAATGGGAGGACGAGATCTTTCTGCACAATGATCTGATAACGTTACAAACAATGCGAAGATTTCAATTCAAAGCAAAATTTTCGTATTGCCATAGAAATTTGATTAACAACAGTATTATTACCACCGTCTTCATGTAGTAAAAATTTTAATAGTTTAAAGTTTAGTCTTTATTGTCATACTTACATAACGAAGACTTTCCATGATTATATTATATACACGCAGAGAAATAAGCGCACATTCTAATTGACTAGAAAAAGCCTGGTATGTAAATGACAGTGCATTTTTTCCCTAGTTACGTTACGCTCAAACAAATATTAGAATTTATTAAATACGTTAATTAGAGTATTTGTAATTGTTTCCCTGGGCCTATATTACAAGTTGTTTCGTAATATAATAGTAACAGGTTAATAATTGACAGCTTGCATAAACTGCTCGTGCCGTTTCTGCACTATCAATGTTTCCGGGTTATGATACCTATCAACACAATAATTAAATAGGCACCTGACTTATTACATCACAAGTTAAATTAAATCGACATTTAAATTTTAATATGTAATTTCACCTCTAAACACAACAAAATAATTACGCTAAAACCATTGTAATAAGTTTTCGTTGTTGATTTTATATGATTGCTTTAACGGATGAGCAAGCTGGATGCCCACGGCAATAGGCCGTAAATAGTTAACTGACTAATGGAGACATGACAACGTGAGTATTCACGTATTCATCCACTTTGAGATATTAGGTTGAAATCTCAATTGTATTGAATAATGGACCCTTCAAACAGGAACACATGACCGCTTTGTGACAGAAATAAGCAGGATGGTAGTACCAACGCGTGCTTACAATACGCCCTGCACCACTAGTAATTACCCAAATCATAAAATGTTGATGGGTTCGATTATTATTATATAATTATGTATTTCACACCGGACGTCTACCATTTTAGCTACAATGGCTTGGCTTGTTTCTCACTGTTCATATTCGGGCTTGTCGTACGGCATTGGTACCAAACCGAAGAAACTCCTAAAATATTGATACATAAATAAAAATACTCAGTTAAATTTAACAAAATTACGCGTTAAGACAGCGAGCGGTGTTACTTCATGACGCATATTAGCATTTGTTAAATAACCAACATATCGCATGGCGCATTATACAGTGTAACCGTTATACAAAATTCAGGTTCGATTTGTTGTCGTGTTGTCATAAATTGAACGCCGTCGGGTAATGATTTGAGGTAATCTACATTTACTGACGCAACATAGAGTCCTAGTCGTGATTGTAGGGCCGATAGCATGGCTGGTGGAGTGCTTGCAACACGAAACCGTCCAGAAAGTAATAATCCTTTGGATAAAAGCTGTTTGCATGTGTTGCATTGTATCGTGGAGTCGCACGCTCGCTTTATTGTCCCTTGTCTAAGCAAATTACAACTTGACAATAACTTGAGCCGGTTGCTCCACATAATGCGAATCTAGATTATATAGTTGCGTATTCTGTATCTGCTATCGCAATGCATTCTTAAAATATCATCTCATGATTTATTCGTAACGCAATTTTGGAGGTCTTGGTTTTTATATTTATCTTAAAGCGATAAATAATTTGTAAACTTTAATTTAAATAAGTTTAACTATATCATTTAAACTAACTACTTCCTAACTTTTTAAAAATACTGGTAAAATAAAGTATTTGTTGCGATGTATTGAACGGTCATAGTAATCGTGTTTTGTATTTAAATCGTAGGGATAGGATAGTTTCAATATAATTGACTCAGTTTTGTCAGAAGGATTTCCAGTGTCTTTGGAATTCAATAATCTTTTACCAGTAGGTGGGCTAGATGAGCTCGTGTGATCCAATTTCAATTCGACAGGTAATTTGTAAAACTGAATTTTATCAACAGGCTCATCCCAAATATGACTACTCCTACTCAGTGTCAGACCCTCATACCGGCGACCATAAGACCCAGCATGAGGCCCGCGATGGTGATGTCGTAAAGGGAGAGTACTCTTTGCTCCAGCCCGACGGCTCGTTCAGAAAAGTTACATACACTGCTGACGACCACAATGGGTGAGTTTTTTTTTTAATCTTCAGTAGTATGTATGTACTATTATTTGCCGCATACTACTTTAAATAGAAAACTGAAAGTATTCCTAACATATGTACAGGGTATTAATGTAATATAAAAATTTTAGTTTAATTTTATTCAAAATTGAATTGATGTCGCTTACCAAAGTTCGTTTGGGCTAAAATTAGGTTTTTGCCGTGAAGCAGTAATGCGTTTCGGTTTGAAGGATGGGGCAGCCGTTGTAACTATACTTGAGATCTTAGAACTTATATCTCAAGGTGGGTGGCGCATTTACGTTGTAGATGTCTATGGGCTCCGGTAACCACTTAACACTAGGTGGGCTGTGATCTCATCCACCCATCTAAGCTATAAAAAAAATTAAAAAATTATTTCATAAATTTTTTTATATTTTTCAGTTTCAACGCAGTAGTACACAACACCGCACCCGCTCATCACGAGTACCACCACTAGCGATCAACGGCAAATAGCCCCTTCTAATGTGATATTTAACACTTAAACCTAATTTAGATAGTTTTTAGTCGACAGAAAATTATTGATATAAAACTGCGGCGAAAATAAACCTGTTAAAAACATTGTTTTGTAATTTATTTATTCCTTCGAATGACATATGTACGTGCTTGCGAAATAGTGGCAAATACTATTATACCAACACAATATTGAGAGAGAGTTTTTTAATGATTTAATTTTAAATATTTGCTAGTGCTAGAGCAGTGCGAGCCCACGCGGATTAATACTAATTTCCTATAAAATTTAGCAGCAACAATAACGGTTTTCGAGTTAAACAATACAATCGTTATACATTACAAATTAAACTTCTATCTCGAGTCACTAAATGGGTAGCGAAATTCACATTTTAATCTCAATGGACTCCAAGAAAGTCTTCATTCCAAGTAATGTCAAATAGATATTTGTTAGAAAAACACTGTAAGTACACATCACATTTGGTGCTCATATGTTACCTATCCCTAAGGAGATCCCAATGAAAATGCCGCAATTCACATCAGACGTAGGGGTGAAGTTTCAATTGTGTTGCATAAGGATTAGACCCTTAAAATCGGAATGCATCAGTGCTTCAAGGCATGAGGCAGAAATAGGCAAAATGGTGAAGTAGACAAAGATCGAAGAAATGAGACCGATCAATGCGTTTTCATAAGTATCAGTCTATAGCTAAAATAGCAATAATCACACTGAATATATGCAGACAATCTAAGTATATGTATAAATGAGCCATAAGAAATAACTATATGATGACCGAGCTTTGCTCGTTTTTTTTTTTTGATAACGCCATCTTGATGTGTCTTTAAAGCAGTTAGTTGCCCTCAATTAAGAAAAATAGTATTATTATTCGCCAATAGATGTCGGGAATAGTTGATTATTGAAAACACGAATAAAACAACATTTTCTGAAAATAAATCGTAGCTAGATCGATTTATCGCCCCCGAAATCCCCTGTATACTAAATTTTTTTAAATCGTTGGAGCCGTTTCCGAGATTCAGATTATATATATACATATATATATATATTAATATACAAGAATTGCTCGTTTAAAAGTATAAGATATACTACTTACTATTTTTAGCGCCCAATGACCCCAGATTAGTGCCTCGTGAGCTCACTTACTCGTTCGGCGAATCTACCTACGAAGTCACTAGAATAGGTAAAAAAAACCAAAAGCAATAACAGTATCTATAAAGCACTAATTTCTACCCAATTTATAGAAAATTTTAAATGTCTTGCGATTGGTCTCGACTGCTTTAACGTGGAATCCAAATTTGAAACCCGGCCGGGGCTAGTGTATTTCGAATATTTATTATCCGGTGTTTACTTTTTCTTGTTACATGTTTATAATTCAGCTGCAATGTGGCTCGGAGGTGTTGAGGATGGAAACGTTTTTGTTCTTTTTAACGGCATATACCGCACTTATTTAACCAGTTGACAATTCCGTGAGTTTTGTGTGCGCAATTGTACTCCAGTTCCAGAATTCGATAAATAAACAATTTCGTTTTTATTTTATTTATTACATTTATGCACACATCTTTTACTAAATGAGTGCAACATTTTATCACAGCATACACTTTTGTTAGAACCAAAAATCGGGCCTAACGTAACGTTTGAACGTATCGTAACGCCAAAGTTTTATAATAACATAAACAATCGTGAATCCTTGACTTCATATAAGAATATAGGGACTAAGATCGATCAAAATTTGGTTGTCACTCTGTATCTTCGAAAGAATCATTTTGAAACCAAATGTATATTAGAAAAACATATTAGTTAGTATAATTTTAAATAATTTAATCAAATTCATAAGGTTTGGCTGCTTGATGAATATGTCTCGTTTAATAAGACAAGAAGCAAAGAATATAAGGAAGAAAGGTATAGGAAGCAAACGCATCTATCTTTTAAATAGAAAAGTAAAAAAAAACGAATAACAAATTATCATTTATAACTTATAAATATCAATTGTATTTACCACTCACTCATGAGATCTCCGAAACTGATCTTCTGATAGACTAAATTTGGCACAGACACTCTTTTGCCATGCAGAGACTTACTAAAAAGGGATATTAAGCAAATTAACAATATTTTAAATTCATAACCATAATTAGAAAAAAATATACCAAGTATACATTTTAGAGAATATGGCCTAAAATATTTGTTTAACGAATACGATGCTACAGGCGAGCTGTGTCTTTGAGGTACATATGTTAATCTCAAAATGTATAACATGAAATTTATTCTATTATATCTGTCAATAAGAACCCGCTTAAAATCGGCTTAGCTGTTTCGAATATCAGCTCCGATCAATCAACAGCTGGGCGACAGACTTGTGAACAGAGAAAAATATGCGTTTAGAGAAACAAATAATAATATGTAACAAGTTTAACGCGGGTGAAATAGCGAGCAATGTCTCTAATGCTTATGAAGCTAGCTAATCTATTTACTATACTATAATATAGTACTATACTATATATACGTTAGAAAGATATTGCAGACAAATTATAACTTCGTTTATCGTTTGGTACTATTATAATTACGACTTGATACCTCTGAGATAACTCGATGCTCCTGAGAAAAATGGTCATAGCTGTCGCACATAGAGACAGACGGACGAACAACAAATATGTTTTGTCAGCGGCTCTTATATGTATCATACAACGATTTTTATATCTATAACGATGTGAATCAGTAAAATGCTATAATTGAGTTCATCACAGTTCGAGATTAAGATTTGAAATTTGTATCAAGAGTAAGAAATTTAAACTTTAATTATTGGAAATTTGATCTTTTGTATTATTCCAAAACTCCAACTTGACTTGCTGCTTTTGAGTGAACTATTGAGCAAAGCATTCGTAAAAATATTGCTACTACCAAAACTGTAGGAGAAACATGAATTGACATTCACAATTACCGTTTCTGAGACTGTAAACTAGAATTATATTCTGATTGCATGTGGAGTAGCTCTCGCGCTTCTATTCGTGGATATAACTTAATCAGAGTTATTTTTAATGTTTATTGAGATGGATCAGAAGTAAAAAAAATACTTAGCATAATGTGACATGTACATATATAATTCCAAAAACCTTTCTTCAAACAAGGCTTGTGGAGAGTATTTAACGGTGGGCAGGAACTTGGCTCTGCCCCTGGCATTGCTGAAGTCTATGGGCGATGGTAACCACTCACCATCAGGTGGGCCGTACGCTTGTCTGCCTATAAGGGCAATAAAAAAAGTTCTAAAATCATCAATAATCGTTATTGTGATTTCAATACATTATGTATAATATTATTTTTTTGTGCTTTCTTGAATTCGAAAATGATTAAACCTATCTTTGCAACTTAATATCTTCATATTTTTTTATATTTCCCAAAGTTTCGGTAGCCTTTACGTAATATGCCGGTCCGGCGTCTGTGGGACGCGGGATGGATCTAATATGCTCTACGTCAACCCTGTTCCGCCGTCTTAATAGCCCCGATTGGGCTCCGGCCCGGTCCGGGGTAGGGCCCCGGCCGTGAGCGGCGGAAGTTTATAGTCATCGCGGCGAGTGGGCTATCTGGGATCAACTCCCACATAGCCCACTCGCCGCGCGGGTGGCGATCCGATGATTCTCACCTGTGAAAAAAAAATCCTTTATACGCCATACTCGTATACTTTACAGTTGTCATATTTTTACGGTCCACTTTCAATCAATCAAGTACTAAGTATTCGTGACGACAGAAATATTGGTAATAACTAGTAATACTATAGATTCTTCTTCTTTCTAAGTCATAAATAAGATATAATCTTAGTTTAAATATTTTAAACTAAGATTATATTATCTTATTATATAATTTTGCTTGTGAACATTGTATATCAACATTTATAACATCAATATAACAAAGAACGTTCCATTATACTTAATAATAGCCCAGTACACAAAAAAATTTACTAATACCAAGCGAATGGAGAGGTTAATAAATTGTTTTAAAATTATTCTACATATTTTTTGTAATCACACACACAGCAATAGAAAAATGTGTAAACAGGCGAGGGAGATCACTGCCCACCTCATACAGTGAGGCCAACCTTAGGACATGAGGTCTGAATCTCAATTGTACCTTCAAACCGAAACATATTAGTGCTTTATGGCAGAAGTAGGTAGGATGGTGATACATACCCATACTCAAAAGATATTATACCATCAGTAATAATATACATGTGTATAATATAACATCACAAGAACATTTAACAAAGAGTAGAACACTAATGTGAAAAAATCCATAAGAATATTGTACCAAATTCAAATCTAATGCAATTTTTGCTGTAGCAGTATTTATGGTCAGACTATTTAAATACGTCTAATGATCACCAAGCTCCATAACATTGCACGAAAAGTTCGCAGTTCATACTTTCAACCAAAAGATTTTCAACAGAACGAGTCCTACTTCCATTCAAGGTGGATATTTAGAGCAAAACTACGGCAGCTAAATCTATGTAACTTACTCATTTTTCTTTCTTGGTTCAGTGCACACGGTAGTCACGTAATTAATATTTATAGCTTTTGGCAATAAATAGGAGTCTCAGGATAAGAAATTTCACAGAATTGGAAAATTTGTGTACGCAAAATGTAGAAATGTAGAGCTCCCTACAATTTTGCAAAAGTTACGCACTGGTTGGACTAAAGAAAACAAAACCGATTTTCATGCTATTTTACCTACTTTTGTGTATCACGTGCTCTGAATACAAGAAAGAGAACACGGTGCCTGTTTTAAATCTTCATTAACATTTTAATTGTCCTCTTCTATTCATCTAGTCTGCGACATTGATGGTTTGTTTCGGTATTACCGAACAGCATATTTTGGCACAACAAAGCGCCTTTTATAAGGCGTGCCACATTCTGAAAAATATCAGTTGTCTTCCATCGATCACCAGGAAAGATGATCGTCAATGTAAGTCATTGTTGCATGGTTTTTACTAAATAATAAATTGTTATAATTTGTATAACAATATTTTTGTTTCAGATTTTTGTGGCTGTTTTTATCTTAGGCGTCTCCGCAATTAATGTTGTAACTGGTGCTTCATTCTCTAAAGTATTCGTACAAGGCGGACGAGAAGTAGTGCCAGTTGAATACTTACAATATGGCGCTCCATCAATCGCCGTAGCAGGATCACAACTAGCCCAAATATCTGCAGCCCCTGTAGGATCAGTAGTACCAAATCTAGTCGCGCCATGTGGAACGCCCTGTATATATCCGGGGCAATCAATAGCCCCGGCCACTACAAATGTAGTAACATATAAGTCCAGTGTTCCAGTAGTTGTCACAAATAAAGAGGTAAGTACTTTTTCATAAAACGATGGGTCAGTTTACTATTGCTCGTGATTTTTGTAAAGTGCGCGCTTATTTTACAGGACGCTACCGGTTACGAATATTCATATTTAGTGTACGATGAGAACACAGGTGATCATAAAACACAACACGAGCTGAGCGACGGGTCAGTGGTTCGCGGAGGATACTCCCTTATTCAACCTGATGGTTATATTCGTGAAGTAAAATACGTAGCTGATGATCTGACAGGGTTATAAATTTATTGACACTTAAATATTTGAAAATGTTATTAAACGGAAACAGTATGCTAACTAAATTATGTTTCTCCCCCAGGTTTAACGCGGTTGTCAAAAAGTTCTTGCCTGTAAACGTAGAAAAGAAAATAGAGCATCACGAAAAATCGCATCCAGACCCACCGTGCCATGAAGTGAAAAATGAACAATTAAAGGTTGAAACCAAAACAGAACACAGTGAGAGTCATCATGCCCCAATCGTAGAAGAGCATCATGAAACGAAAAATGAAGAAAGTTCTGAGTCATCAAGTGAAGAATCTCATGAAGAGAAACCTACCGAAAACAACCATGAAGAAAAAGAAAGTTCTGAATCCGAATCAACTGAAGAATCACACGAAGAAAAACATAGTGAGGAAGCCCACCATGAAGTCGTTGCTGAAGCACCTCACGAAGAACACAGTGAACCCTTAAAAGAATTATCTACTGAGAGCCACGAATCATCAAGCGAAGAACACTCATCAGAAGAACATCACGTAGAGCCATCCGAGCATGAAGCTCTTCATGACGCACCGGCGCATATTGAACATGTAGAAGAAACCTCACACGAAGAAGAGAAACATGAAACGAGTCCGCACGCCGCTGAAGAACATACCCATGAACATATCGAAACAGAAACGCACGAACACATTTCAATAAATGAAGCAGAACACAATGCTCAACCGCAATACAACGATATCCTTAAATGTGTTAATGCAGCGATTAATACTGCGGCCGGAGTTGCTCCCCAAAGATCTGAGTCTCCTCTGACGTACATAATACTGAACAAGCCGTGCTAAAAATGAAAAAATCTTTACAAATCCTAGTCTTTATATTTGAATTGTCATTGAATTCTTAATGAAAAAAGTTTTATAAGACTTGTGTTTTAATAAATTCGCAAGACTAAGCTGTGTATTTTTTAACCTTAGTGATTTATAAAATATACAATTCTACATTTTACATTTTAATTCTACATTTTTGCTCCTCTTGTTAGTAGGCTACATGGAAACAAGATAAATATAAGTTGTATTTTAAATGTGAACCTTTCCAATGATGTCAGTAGTACAAAGCTAGGTCTAGTTTAAAAACAAAGTGAAGCTAACATTATTTTATTTCAATACATTAAAACAGTATTTCGACCTAAGAATAAGCTTTTCAGTTTTTCTTGTCAATGCCGTAGTAGTGTAAAATTTCTATGGTCAGTTTTTGTATGCAGCTTTATTTTTTGTATATTGTACATTCGTTTTTTTAGTAATCTCCCAGGGAAAAAATTGTGGTTATTGTTTCAAATTTTATCTAAGAACATTTAAAATTTATTGTAATCGAGATTTTCAAGTATAGATTTTTAATTATATTTAAATGATTGGGGTTCGTTTTGAAATTTATGGTAATGTTGCTATTTAAACTGAGCGTTAAAATTAATGCAATGCGCCCATGAATCTGTGAAAATATTTGGGAAATATATATGAAAGCCTTTAAAGAAAAGCTCTAATTCAACTGATATATAGATTGAGATTGAACCGAGACTATATACGCTAAGAGAGATGGCCGCCGAATCACCGAAGCAATGAGTGTTAACGCAACCCGTGGATTGGAAGTGCAGCGAACCAATTACATTTAATGATAAGCATACTAGTGGCATAATATCTTGATCAGCTGTTGTTCCCTAGTCAATAAACAACATCAAATTAATAAGCTATGTCTTGTCGACGCTTGAATGACCCAAGATAGAGGTCGATGGCTCAGGTCCGTCGAATGTGACTTATACTCTATCTATCGACTTCTGCAAGTGCACCATCGCGCGGAAGGGGGCGACGCAGCAGCGGGGCGATTGAGGCAAAGGTCTCTCACTGCACAGAAATCCGCCGCCGCCATGGGTCGGGACCACGGAATAGATAAATAAGGTCGGGACCATCTGTGACCGGCCCCCTAAAAGCTTCAGGCGCCACCCGCTTTGTGCGAGGATGGACCCAGGCGTGCCGTAATAGAAAGCCGGGTGATGGTAAACCACATTCCCCTGGCCTCTACGGGGGAAGATGCAGCGCGGCGCCATCAAGTCGGGCTATCGGCCCGTCGACCAAGGGAACCGATAATGGCGTTGCCGGTTCCGAACCGGTGGTTTTCTCCGGTATAAAAAAAAATCTGCTTCAAAGCAATTAGGCTTGCCAATTATAATGATGAAATAACCGTCGTAATATACATTTTTATAACGCTATTTATATAAACAAGCTCAAAGCCCTCTTAGTGTTTATTTACAGGAGGCCATGGATATCAGAACGTGAATAAAAGAGGTCCGAGGTCATCAAACGGCGAAACAAAGCCTCCGGTGTGACCCTGTCGAGATTACAACTATTTTTCATGATGAAAGACGTCTCCCGGGCAACGTCCGATATGCCCACTAAATATAACAGGGCTGGTTAGTGATTATGCGTGCCAAAAAGACCAAAAGATCAGCAATCCGACTGGCAGTTTGTAGACAAGGGTAAGATACCTGAACTCTCTTTTTTTAATATATGTAATAAGGGAGGTGACCAAGGGGCACGTCTAGTAAAAATAAAATTAACTTGCACTTTCTACCTCAGGAGACTTGTTGACTCATCAATTGGATAAAATCTAAAAATATTACGTTGCGAAGCCCGTCAAAGCCTAATAAGAATGCTCAAATGGGACATCTTACCCTATAATATTGTCATATTGCGTCTTCCGATTAGATGTTATTTACTCCATTAGATTCTATTAGATACTATGTAGATGGCACAAAGTCTGGCTGATCAGCAGCTCCGGTCAAATACAGACGAATGGCTTAAGGCGTGAAAAACTTAAAATGATATACACCTCTACCGTCGAGGTATTCGAACTCTTACAGAAAGATGGGAAAAGTTGTTGCGTCTTGGACAATGCCCAACACTTTGAATAATTCAATTCTGAGCATTTTTTTTTAAATAAAATTGCTTTTTCATTTTTTTAAGCCGCGAGACCACGATTGGGTACCTTATATTATATTTTTCTGTATGGTTTATTTATTAACAAAAGAAAATGTACAAAACTGTTTAAACAAATACAATAACACAAATTTAATTTCGTTCTCCAACATAAATCAACTTTAAAATCAAATGTCGCCATTAATCGATCGATCACAATCATGTGAAACCTTTTAAAATCGTTCTCATTTAGATTGATAACATAATCTCTTTGCTTTTGTTGGCAAATACTTCCAGTTAAATATTATTGAATAACCTTGGCCTTAATTGAAAGGCTATTAAAGCATGAAACATAAAACATTGTTTAATTATATAATTTTTATGACAATAAAATATTTTTGTTTTATTGGAATAACAAGACTGTAATGGATTTGGCTACATGTACTGTAATGCACTACACCAGGCAACTGACCGGAACCGATGGAGGCTGACAGTCGACAAGCTAAAACGGAGTCACGATCCTCAGCAATGAGGGAGCGATGGAGAAGAAGAAGAAGAATGGATTTGGTTTTTTTTAAGCACTACGCATTCTCTAACGGTATTCAAAATAACAATTGAAATTTAAATCTTACATCAGCTGCAATCATGAAATAGCTTCGAGTAATTAACGCATTATGGACTGTTAATGCTTCAAACTAGGCTAACTCAGTTGTATTGCTTACCTAATAGTTGTGCCGAATGGTGATTAAACGTTAACGATAAAGCTAGAAGTATGTAACTACACGTTGTATGTTTGAATATGCTTAGTGTAGATAAAAATAACTTTCAACAACGAAGGCTTTGTTTCGTAGAAAAAGGCACTATTGTAAAGGCCTTTTTTTTTTTCAAATAAAATCCAAGAGTTTATATGATTTTCAATTAACTTAGAACTCAATCTACTACGAATATATTTAGAAGAATTTAATCAGTTAATGCTAATTGAAATTCTGGTGAATCCATGAAAAGGATTTAATTTGGGATTTCAATTCATTCATTCGGGATTTGTGAAATTCTCATGTTCCGCCTACAGTGTCAACATTATCCTTGTATCGCAAGTTTGGTGGCGCCTAGCTCAGTAAAACCTCTTAACGTTGTGACCTTGAGACGCTCTACCTGTCTACTTTAGTAGCGGCAATGTAAACAAAATCTTTTATTACATACGTTAAATTAAATAAAAAATCTTAATTATAACTTATAATTAAAGGTTAATCATTTTGTAATCCCACCAGATATTCGATTTTAACAGTATTCATAAAGTACCGTTTTATTACTTAAAAATTTACCTACAATATTTAAAGATATGCGTTACTTGAAACTTCATGTTAATACAATAAATTAATTGCATTTTGATCTCAATATTATTTATTTTATGAATATTTTCAACCTTTCAATACTGTCTCTTGATATGAATACAAAAGGATGAAACACATGTTAAATAATTCGTAAAGTACCTTCTATATAATTATTTGCCATACCATTCCCTCGAAAGAGGAATACAAAAAATGTGTCGCAGAACATTTTTAGTTTCAACTAGGTTTCACATGTTTTGTTGTAATACATTTGCGTTACTTTTTTACTTGAGATCTACATTTTTAATCCAGAATGTATTACTGCTTCGCAGTAGAAATAGATTGGGTAGAATAGGTTACCTACACATGCGGGCTCACAAAATGGTCTAACACCAACAATGACATAATTTATCGATTTTATTCCTTCATCTTAAAAATCATCGTTGGACATGTATTAAGTGCCTATTAAATGGAAAAATATGTGCTTTCCTGCGGTATTTTAGACCTTTTAGACAATAATATAATATTGTATATAATGTATGTGATATCGCAACAATAAAACCAACAAATTATATATTTAGATCACGACAAAAATGACATTAGAACCCATCCTAATATTCCAAACAAAATTTATAATTTGAAAAAATTTAATCATGTATATTCCACCTTATAAATTTAGACCTAGAGTACAGCTATGTTAGTTTAACCGAGTGCCTTATAATAAAAACTAGCGGAACGCTCCGGCTTCGCTCGGGTCTTTAACAAAAATTTCAACGATATTTGACGCTGTTTTAATTATTATTTTTTAAAAGAACACTTATTGCGGCATAACTATAATAGTTAGACATATGCTGTCACGACAAATTTTGTAAATAATAATGTGTTCTACAAAGTCGTAGTACATTATTTTATTCTATCATCAATAGTTTTCGCAGGGCACGCGATGTAAATAATATTTTAGGTATTTTTTTTACACTTTGGGTTACATTATTGGCGGCTTAGTAAGGATCCCTAATTTTTTTTCAAAAAACATTATGCCTAGCCTATGACACTCGGGAATAGTGTAGCTTCCAAACAGTGAAAGAATTTTTCAAATCGGTTCGGTAGTTTCGGAGCCTATTTGTATTGACAAACAAACAAATCTTTCCTCTTCATAATATTAGTATAGATAACAAGCTACAACCCAATATGTGGCCGTTACGTATGCCTGACATTCTTTGCAATGATTTCGTGAATGAACTAATTATGAAATCGATGTTCTGTTACGGTTCGTAATCGGACTGTTGTTTTACTTTTGATAAAAATAGAAACCGAAAACCATATATATAGTAAAACTTACGTAATTATTTCCTATAGGCAACATTAATTTCGGTAAAAAATTCTTAACACACGTTACATTAGATCGAAATTCAAATGTTCACAATAGTTTAAACGCATTGAAATTGAAATAATCGCTATTGTTCTAAAATATAATAAATACAAAGTATTAAAATGGTTAAATTTTTATTTCTCACTTATATTATGTAATATTTCGTATATTACGTAATACGCGAGACTCAACATTTAAAGTAATTTCAATTACGTTTAGGACTTGTCAACTCATCGTTAGTAATAACTAATATAATATTCTGTAATACATTTTCAGTTTCCCTGGGTTGTGGAGATAAGTATAAATAGTTCATTTTATAATTTACAATGTTTCTAAAACTGCACAGTTTTCGTCTTTGTAGACGATTAATGTGCTTATCATCAACATTGGAATTTTATGCCAACAATTATTTAATTTTATGAAATATCTACATACATACATGACATTAAGGTTTCTTAACATACATAAACCATATGTTGAGGTTTGGCAGTTTGTTTGTATTGAGTTTTCATCTTCACGGTAAGTACTGGTGTAAAAACTTCTTACTGATGGTAGGACCTCGTGTCAGTCCGCACGAGTAGGTACCACTACCGTGCCTATTTCAGCCATGAAGCAGTAATGCGTTTCGGTTTGAAGGGTGAGGCAGGGTGGGATCATATCTCAAGGTGAATGGCGGCATTTACGTTATCTATGGGCTCCGGTAACCACCACAGTAAGCTGTGAGCTCATCAACCCATCTATGCAATACAAAAAAAAATTACCCATATATTAGATAAGTGCAAGCTATTTTTTTTATTAAAGTTAGGGTTTTTTTAATTGCTACGCTTATCATATGTAGCTATATGTAGTGAGTGTCGCGAGTATTTGGCTTTCGTTAAAAATAAAAAAATAGTTGGATAACTAATTCGTTCTGGATGTAACAACATTTCGAGCACTTAACGAATATAGGGATCTTCATAAGTAAATATAGAACAGTTATAATCGTGTATTATATTGGGAAGATCTTNTCGTTTTTTACTCCTAGTCGGTAGGCGTTGTTGATTTCTTGTGGGTTGATTTGAATGTTCATATTTTTTTCTAGCAGTTTTATAATGGATTCGATTGGCAGCTCGTTGTTCTCTTCCTCTTTCATACCAAAGAAAATTATATTGTTTTTTCTTTTATGGTCTTCCATTGACTTTATTTTGCCTTGTAAGGTCTTTATTTCCATCTTCAACTTGTTATTTTCCTCCACAAGAGCAGTTAATTTTTCGTTAATACTCTCAGATACATTTTTGGTGACGGCTTCGGTTATCTCTCGCGTTTGCGCTGACATTTCTTGCTTCATTTTTTGCCAAAAAGCATCCATTTGTTGTTCCATGTGGAGATGTTTTTGTGTGGTATACTAGATCAGAGTTGGTAATATTGGTTTATTATTGGTAGTTCAAATTGGAATTTGGCAACCCCGGTTTCAAGTAAGCAACAATTGCTTCAAGCTGGCAGCACTAGTTTGGAGTCGGCAACGCTGTAAGGTTGTTAACAGCATGTAGGTGTACCAAATATAGTCTATGATTGGAAGGCTGTATGGACTTAGATCCCCTTGCCTTTCCTAATAAGGAAAACTCGTACCAAAAATCTATGATTGGTTTTCTTGGTGTGTAGAGTGGTAGGAAATGGAGGAGGCCTTTGCCAAAGTTGGGCAAACAGACGAAGTTGTCGATGTCACCGACTCGGCAGAGTCGTTAATTTAAGTTTATTATTTGTAAATATCCTTTGCGTCTGAATAAAGGCTTTTATTATTATTATTATTATTATTATATTAAATAATAATTTTGTCATTTATATTACTAAAAAATGAATGCTGATAACACTTTTTTTTTACGAGTGTACATGCGCAAAATTCACCTGCGGTATAGCCGCCAGACTCAGACTCGCCAAGTTACGTCGGTCGTATTGTAATGAGCGATTTAGTGGGCAACTTCATTCTGTTAATTTTGTGTCACGGTGCGCGCGCATCGTAAAATTTCACTCTCATAAATTTTTCATAACGCGCCTAAAGAAGTATAACTTCAAAAAGAAAAAAGTTTTTAATACACGTTACGTAAATATTGTCTCGCAAACTATTTGCATCCATTTTAAGAAACACATTAAATAAAATGATTGCCGTCCTTGAAATACATTTTATTACGTTTCTGCTGTGCAATGTATAACATAGTATGCTACTATAGTTCGTAAGTACGTACCCAATAGTCGAAATCAAAGAACTGTCAATATCCTTGAGTGAGTATTGATACCGTGGAATGCGTTCACAAGTAAATCACGATGTAATTTTATACCAATACGATATTCGATTCTGTGGGATTAATGAATTTGAGATATATCTCTAAAGTTCTATGTGAGCAAAACCAGAAAATTAATTTGAAATTAATTGGATTTCGATAAAATTTCGAAATGATTTCCGTAATTTCGACCGTAACCGATCGACAGCTAATGTCCGAATAAACGATAGCTTCGTTCATCATTGAAATTGCCACCCTTCATCACCTGGTTCATGTTTTTGTTCAACACAATAACAAGGAGAAGGGGTCGTCTATATGACTTCTAACCTTCTTGACAATATACAACGAATTCACCAAATAGGATATATATAAATAATTAACTATTAACGTGTAGGTACTACTACAATGGATACTAGGGAAGTCGTAGAACCAGCGGCCAAGACCTGTATCTAGAAAACTGTCGTCCAAGATCTTCTGACCTCCAAATAAACAAATCGAATTTGATTAAAATGATTTCAAAGTTGAACACTAAAATATGTATTAACTAAAGTTTTTAACTTTTTACACTGAAGTGTCGTTATATTATTTTAAACGAAAGTTTTATGATGTGTATAAATAAATAAAAATGTTTTTATCTTTAACCACTTTATTGAAAAAACTATAAAATATAGTTCTAACGCTAGTTGATTACAAACAACCAGCGTTGGTTTTTAGCCGGAACAGGAGATTATTGAAGTCGTCGTGGCCTAAAGGATAAGACGTCCGGTGTATTGGTATGTAGCGATGCACCGGTGTTCGAATCCCGCAGGCGGGTACCAATTTTTCTAATGAAATACGTACTTAACAAATGTTCACGATTGACTTCCACGGTGAAGGAATAACATCGTGTAATAAAAATCAAACTCGCAAAATTATAATTTGCGTAATTAGTGGTGGTAGGACCTCTTGTGAGTCCGCGCGGGTAGGTACCACCGCCTTACCTATTTCTGCCGTGAAGCAGTAATGCGTTTCGGTTTGAAGGGTGGGGTAGCCGTTGTAACTATACTTGAGACCTTAGAACTTATATCTCAAGGTGGGTGGCGCATTTTACGTTGTAGATGTCTATGGGCTCCAGTAACCACTTAACACCAGGTGGGCTGTGAGCTCGTCCACCCATCTAAGCAATAAAAAAATTGATAAATAAGAACATGACGATATACTCGTAGGCTTGAACGGGCGCCGTGGTTAAATATAGATACAAATATGTTAAAGTAATTGTAAATTCAATCAAATATCACTGGCGTTTTTTAAAACAATTTTATTAGCTTATTTTGTATCGATTATTGATCTAATTGATTATTGAATGTTGATTATTTAATCTTCAAATACTCAACATTTTCATCTATATATATGTTAACGGAAATGTATGTAATCCGTCATTGTATACAATTCCTAGGAAATGTATGTAATTCCTAAAATCGCACGGAAATGTGTGAAATAAATTATATTATACTTACACATTACACATTTCCTAGGAAATCTATACATTTCCTAAATAGCAATCGGAAATGTAAAACATTTAAGATATTGGTGGGTACGCGGGGACAGCGGGACGAGTCTTGCACTACGGTCAGTTGCCAACTTGCAATCCACTGGAACCGGCCAGGGATTTAAGAAGTGCCTTTGCAAGAAAAACTGTGCTACATCAAGATGTATGTGTTTTAAAAATAAAGTATTATGTACTTCCAAATGCCATTCGAGCTTACCCTGCAAAAATAAATAGCTATATGGACTGAAAAAGTATTATCATAATATAAAGATTTACTTTTATACTTTGACATTTATAATTACTTAATTATCAGACTGATTACTTGCCAAATGAAAATTTTATTTTATAAGAATAAATATAAGTTGATTTTGTGATACGTTAAAAGTTAATAAATAGTTGATTTTAGAAGTTTTAATCAGTAAGATAATATGAATATATTATTATTATTTTACAGTATGACTGTTACCCGATTGTCTCAATAAGTGTTATAATAAAAAATATTATTAACAACGTGTGTTATTACAGAAAGCATTTACTTTATACATTTCCTAATACGATATTGGAATTATATACAATTCCGAGGAAATTTATACATTTCCTAGGATATCTATGCATTAAATAGTTTTTCAAATAATATTTTATACATTTCCTAAATAGTATCGAAATTGTACACATTTCCTAGGATTTGTATACAATTCCTTGATTTCATACATTTCCGGTAACATATATATTAATACGTGAAACAAAAACGTTGTACCCTTTTTACGAAAATTGCGCCGACGGAGGAGTATGAAATTTCCTATACTTATAGAGAATATAGAGAAGAATGCTGCAGAATGCTAATATTTTTGTTTAATTATGCATAAAAAGCACATTAAATCAATAAAAAAAGCATTACGCACACTACCATGTATTTGACAAAACACATACATAAAAATATACTCTTTGTTTACTGTCGATTGTGAAACTTTTGTTAATGTTTAGTCTGTGGTCGAATTGAGAATAGATTAATATTGTATGTCTTTAATATTATTGATCTAAAGTGCAGTTTTGTCGAACACGTGATCATACTATCGAATTATAATAGTTTTTGCCAATGGAACCATAACAATGTTTAAACTTATAATTTCAATTAAATATATGTATTTCGACTACTGCGGGACCACTGGTGAAAATTATTTGACGTTTTCCTATAAAAATAATTCTCAAATTTTATATCAAAAGAAAATTAATCAGAAACAAACATATTCTTTACAATAAAATAATTTATAATCATTGACTCATGGCAGCCGGATAAAACCCAGATTGTTCTAGTTCCGCATGATTTCCCAAATCAATACAAAAGTGACCGTAAACAATTAAAGCGACGCCGTTAACCAATTAAATATTTAGATCGAGCCGGACATGTTGATTTACGGCTTGGAACACGTATTATCGGCATCGAAGGCCTTCTGTGTCAGAGTCAAGGTGAGTGCACGCATTTCTTTGCCCCACCGCGCGAGCGCACATTCTTAATGACTTCTATAAAACCAAACTACGGCACTGTTAATATTAATCAAGATTTGATTGTAAAACAACACACATATCAAAATGTTCAGTAAAGTGAGTAGGACCCAAAGATATTATGACAGTATTTCACTAAATAAACAATAATTAGTAAAAAATCTAAGAAAAGTATATTATTAAATTTGTAAAAAAAAAATCGGACTAAAATAATTTTATTAAATATATATTTTTTCTTTTAACCCTTAGATCGTAGCTTTTGGTGCCCTCTTGGCTGCAGCCAATGCTGGCCTTTACGGTCACGGACATGCCGTGTCCTCCCAGAGCATCATACGTCATGATGAGGCTCCCCTGCACTACGCCCACGCTGCCCCAGTGGCGCACTATGCTGCTCCCATCGCCCACTACGCCGCCCCTATTGCCCACTTCGCCGCCCCAGTGGCTCACTATGCCGCTCCTCTGGCCCACTACAGTGGTCATGATGAATACGTAAGCAATAATTGAATATTGTAACGATCTTATTTTTTATTACTAATTATGTCAGTGGTTTTTTTAATACTGACCGACTTTCTCATTCCAGGCTCATCCCAAATACGACTTCGCGTACTCAGTAGCTGACCCTCACACCGGCGACCACAAATCCCAGCATGAGTCCCGCGACGGTGACTCCGTGCACGGCTCCTACTCCCTCGTCCAGCCCGATGGTTCTGTCCGCAAGGTCGATTACACCGCTGATGAGCACCACGGGTGAGACATAATGAGAGTGCAATGACCTAATAACGACAACCTTTTATTTAGTCAAAAAAAAAATTAGCTAAGCATCTCTTTGTGTTTGTTTTTCTAAGAAAGATCATTGTATTAAAGGCGAATGAATGAATAATATTAATAGTATTTATCTCTTCTTTCAGTTTCAACGCTGTAGTGCACAACTCCGCCCCCTCCGTGCACCCCATCGCCGCCCATCATCACCACTACTGAATGAACTTACTTGTAACTCGGCATTAATTAGACGTTAGTTAAAACGACTATTTATAATCGTGTAAAAATGTGAGCATGTGTGTAAATAAAGAATGTTTGAATGACTTACAAACTTATTTATATTTATTTATACTAAAAACGCAACAGCTCAGCTATGCCGCTAGCATAGACCGAGACTTCACATAGATATTTTTTTAATCTCATCTTCACCGCCACTACTTCACTACCACCATTATTTAAATAGCCTTCAAGAGTGAAACATATACACAGTATGGCCATAAACACTGAAAATTAATTTAAAACTAATAATATAACTTTTAAATTAGGAACCCCGTCTATTTCATATTGGGTTTTTTTTTTATTGCTTAGATGGGTGAACGACCTCACAGCCCACCTGGTGTTAAGTGGTTACTGGAGCCCATCCACAACGTAAATGCGCCACCCACCTTGAGATATAAGTTCTAAGGTCTCAAGTAAGTTACAACGGCTGCCCCACCCTTCAAACCGAAACGCATTACTGCTTCACGGCAGAAATAGGCAGGGTGGTGGTACCCACCTGCGCGGACTCACAAGAGGTCCTACCACCAGTAAGCAGAAATAGACAGAGTGGTGGAGGGTGTTCTAATAAGACGTTTAATTTTAAATAGGCCGCTATTATATTATGTATTGTCATGGGTCAAGCTCTCACTAGTTGACAGACTACAAGTAAGAACTACACCATTAATAAAAATAATATGACGTACGCTTCAATAACTCTCTGAAACTTTTAAAATCCACTACAAAAAAGCTGAAAATTTTACTGTCACAATTCGCCAAACTTAAGCATTTTTGGCTCGTCGTGAAGCCCCTTCTTGGCCAGCAATGGTGATTGTGGTGAAAATTTTTGAAGTGTGTGAGTGAATTATGTGAACAATCGAACTCACGCATGTCACTCAAGAACAACTGAGAATATTGCTTTTGTTGCCCACAATGTTGAAAAACTCTGATATGTCCATTTCTCGATCTTTGTCGATCTTTGGAATTGAGTTTTCCACAAGTCACATAACATCGTTTTTAGCACAAAAACTTCGAACTTAAGACTCCGAAAGTTCATTTAACAAAAATAGCTCACTATTAGGGACCTTCAAAATCAGATCCGGAATTTCATCGAATAATATTATTAAGCGAAGTGAGCCAATTTCCTCGAAAGCTACTTTTAAAGGCAAAATTATCGCATTTGGGGCTCGGAAAACTCATGAATTGTTGTTGAACAGTTTCTTCGGCGTATTAGAGCTTAGTATGATTTTTAATCTGGCGGAAATTCTACGAAAATAATATAATCCTGCAAGCGTAACCGTGGCAATAATTTGAAATTATTTTCTATTACGAGTATATGTTATAATGTTTTTCTCATTTTCGCTGGAATTTTCGTTAATCACTCTTGACATATTATATTAAAAAATGTTGAATGACATAAAAGTTTCTGTGATAGCATTATATACAGCATGAATCTAAAATAATTGCTTAAAACTCTTCATCTACTCAGGTCACTCCGTGGCCATCACGGGCAGGAAACTGGCTCCTCGTAGGGGCCGGAGCTGGACGAACGCTCTCCTCCAACACCCAGTTTGGCGGCGGCGACACAACTCGAACCTATAGTTATTCCTAAATCAACTGAGTCAAATAGTCTAGTAGTCAGTTCTATTGAACTTCTAATGAACTAACTACTGACTACTTGAATTATTATTCAATCCAGTAACCTCCAAGAACACTACCCCTACTCAGTCAGCCAAGATCATGTCCGGTTAGGAGACTACCCTCAAGCCCATTGTGTGTGTGAGAGGACACGTCGATACGTCGATTCTATTACAACATAATGGCGTTACATATTTTTACATCATTTATGACCAGACTGTGCATAAATTAAAATCAAATTCTTTGTATTTTTGTTCTAAATGCATTCATTCATCCGAATGTATTGAAATTTGACGTTGTTTTGACACTTCAAGGAAGGTTTATGTATATGGCTATTAAGGTAGCGCGTGTAGCGTGTGTATAGTTTTAACAATTGGGCGATGATCATAACAAATACATATTTAGCGATAGTTACAACGTTACTAGCTTCTAAGTTTATGATAAAATGTAATGCAATTAACTGAATTTTAAGTTAATTGCCAAATTCATACATATGTATTAAAATGTAAATGAACCTGTGTGTGTTTTTTTTACTTCATAAAGAATCAGATCCAAATTAAAATAATAAAACTTAATTCTAAAAACAAAAACCCTGAAGGTATTTTTTTTATGTTACCTTTATTAAAGACTATTCAATAATAATATTGCATCCATTGCATTGCTCATTGCATTGCCCAGGTTACATTCTTCATTTAATAACAAAACTGGGCATTATTCTTAGTGGCCCAAAACTAGGCTGAAACATAAATTATTTGTTTTGTTTGTTTAATTTAGTCCTCTTAGATAATAAAAGTTAAACCGAAATCATTGTTATGGAATAAAATGTAGCATTTAGCAACAGCTATTACTTCATTGAAATACAATGGTAACTATAATATAATGTATTCTAGATAGATAAAGGAAATAAGAATAGAGTACCATGTTCGTTACCCAGCGTTAACATGCATGTCGCTACGCCAGAGATCACAACTTCGAATCTGAGAATATCACTCTATGTATCTAAATTATGTGTAATGTAATGGGTGTACACGAACATTCACCGTGGCAGCATTTTAGGCTCGACTAACATTGACAATGACAAAGTCGAAACCTGTCCCTGAACTTTTTCTACTATAATTTATCACACAAGTGTACTAGTAAACTGACTTATTTAAAGATTTGCTAATTTAAAAAAGTTTACACCTTTTTTGTTGTTGTTATTGTTGTTAGGCGGACGAGCTGACGTCTCACCTGGTATTAAGCAGTTATCAGAATCCATACATATAATATAATTGGCCTTTTCTTTTAAGGGGTGGAAAAGCCTTGAATGCTTGAAGACAAATAGTCGAATCCACTATCTTATCAATGTATGCAGCTAAATAGCTATGTTATTCAGATTAACGAATACGACAAGATTTTAGGAATCTTCGAACTCAGCCTTAAGGGGGCTAGAGGCTTTAATTCGTAATATTTATGGAGTCTGGTAGCCACTTATTAGGTGGGCCATGAGTTTGTTCACTCATCAAACACAAAGAACCAAAATACGTTAGTCGATTCGGACCAACGACTTACACATTCCGTTAGCGGGGCGATGTCAAAGTTAGACTGTACAAGGTGAATGAATACTTTTCTTAACCCCACCTCGCCCCCGGTACCTGCCGTCTTTTTGGCTCTATAAAACCAAGCTGCAGGACCGTTCATGTCAATCAACAGTTAGACATAGAATAACACGCAACAAAATGTTCACCAAAGTGAGTTAATTATAAAAAGTATATATTACTAGAGTACTGTAAGATTTTCTAGAATGATACGATAAATTGAGATGAAAACAAAAAAAAAATTATATTATTAAAAGTATTTATAAAACTTTCTAGATTATAACTTTCACCGCACTCCTGGCTGCAGCTAATGCTGGCCTTTACGGTCATGGACATGCCGTGTCCTCCCAAAACATCATTCGTCATGATGAGGCTTCCCTGCACTACGCCCAAGCTGCTCCAGTAGCGCACTATGCCGCACCCATCGCCCACTACGCAGCCCCTATTGCCCACTACGCCGCCCCAGTGGCTCACTATGCCGCTCCTCTGGCCCACTACAGTGGTCATCATGAATACGTAAGCAATAATGGAATATTATGACGATCTTAATTTTTATTACTAACTAGCTGACCCGGCAAACTTCGTAGTGCCTCAATCGATAAACAAAATATCTAAACTTTTGTATAAAAAAAACTTAAAACAAACAAAAGGAATCCCTCCGACGGGGGACACATCAAAGGAAAAACAAAATTGTTATTTTTATTTAATTCCGAGCATTTTCATATTTATCTACCTTTTAAAACTTCTCTGGACTTCCACAAGTAATTCAAGACCAAAATTAGCCAAATCGGTCCAGCCGTTCTTGAGTTTTAGCGAGACTAACGAACAGCAATTCATTTTTATATACATAGATTATGGCAATTTTTTTTTTAATATTGTCCGATTTTCTCCTTCCAGGCTCATCCCAAATACGACTTCGCGTACTCAGTAGCTGACCCCCACACCGGCGACCACAAGTCCCAGCATGAGTCCCGCGACGGTGACTCCGTGCACGGCTCCTACTCCCTGGTCCAACCTGACGGCTCCGTCCGCAAGGTCGACTACACCGCTGATGAGCATCATGGGTGAGAAAATTATGATAAAAATGTTACTCACATTCAAATGAAAAATCCAACAATCTTCAATAATTTTAACAATTTTTTCTCTGTTTCAGCTTCAACGCTATAGTCCACAACTCGGCTCCCTCCGTACATCCCATCGCCCACCACCATCATTACTGATTGATAGAGCTCCACATTAAATCAATAAAATAAGTCAAGATGAATGCATGTTATAGGATGTTGTGTTGATGTGTATTAAAATGCATAAGTGTTTGAATGAATAAAAAATTTAAAAAAAAACAATATTTTTGCTATAACAAATACTAATGCTCTAAGCATGTACCTTAAACAGCTCTACAAGTAGCATTAAAATGTTTTCAAAATATAAAAGCATTCATATATTCTAATGCAATTTTTATAAGAATGATTGAGCTTTCATAAACTATTCTATGAACGGCAAAGGAAAGCTTTTTGATTTTCATGACACTCAGATTTTTACCAATACTAAAACTTAGCAGTGGCTATTAATGAGATACCAAAGATGCCGACTTCAAAATTACTTCGAAATTAGCTATTGAATTTTTCAAAGCACCTACTATAGTAAATAAATGCTATTGAAGGAATTGCCTAGAAGTAAAAATGAAATTAAATAATAATGTTCCGGAGAAAACACTTTTATATCATTATATTATATAACATAGTGTATGTTTTATCATTGCCTGTTGAGATAAGAGATCGAAATCCCAGTTGCATTTTAAATCGGCTGTCTCTTTCAAAACGGAGAAGTCCGTACCCTCGCGGTAGAAATGCGATCGTTCACAATACCCCTTACCACCAACAAATGTGATCGCAGTACGTTGGTATAATATTCGGAAAACGCTACAGTACATTTTCCGGTAAATACCTAAGTCACCTTTACAATATCTCCCGAAATATATGCAGTTTTTCTGTTCTAGACCGACACCATACAGACTTCGAACTAAGCTATAATCATATTCGAACCATAGAATTCACGAAACTGTGACTGTTTTAGTTTTCTGCACACTGCACTTAGTTTAATAAATGTATCGTAGACTCGTATCGAGCGATAAGATTATGCTGTTTTACAAACACAGTTTTTTTCTGAATATATACATAGTAACGTATTTACACATACACACATACACATCACTAAAAATATTCACAACAACATTTACAAATAAGGAATATCTTCGTACAAATAGATAGAATATAAATAGAGCAAGGGAGCTATGCTTGGAGTTACCCTGCGAGATCAAGTCAGGAGTGAGGAAATATGCAAGAGAACCATAATAACTGACATAGCCCAAAGGAATGGGATGTTGCAGCGGCTATGGGCAGGTCTCATTGGTCGTAAAACAGACAGTCGCTCGGGTTAAAAAGTTCTTGAGTAGGAACCGCGTACCGGAAAACAAAGCGTAACCTTCTATAAAGTGGACCGAAGACTTATTGAATGTTGTGGGAGTCCGCTGGATGTAAACAGCGCAGAATCGGTCATTGTGGCGAGACTTGGTGGAGGTCTATCTTCAGCAGTGGAGATCTGTGGGCTCATAAATAGATAGGACTTATAGGTTGCTCGGGAAAATGTTACCACCCATTTTATTTTTGCAGCGAAAGTAGCGTTCCGATTGAAAATGTGTGACAGCTATTCTAAAAAACAATTCGGACTTCGAACTTTTGTCTCAGGATATCTATGTTGCTATGTTCATACCACACAGAAGGTCACTTAATATTAGGAGGTAATCGCACGGAACTTGCGCATGTAAGTGAAATAATAAAATTCAAAAAGTATAATGAGAGAAACATATCATTTATGCAAGACACGTGTTTTATTTAAAAACTAACTACCCGCTCGCAACTTTTCTTACGTGGATTATGCTGTATATCGCCTAATCCAAGTGGGATGAAAGATAGCCTATATTCATTCCCGAGGTTTAACTATTTCAATGCCGCTGTCGTCATATTTGTTCAGTGGCTTGGGCATGAAAATGTAACAAGCTAACAAAGTTGCTTTCATGTATAAAATTATTATTAACTTTATAACTTGGAATTTTAAAGTCGAACTTAAAATGAAATAATATTAAAATAGTATTTTTTGCAATATCTAAAAGTTATAATACAAAACACTTGCTGCCTCTGCTTTCTATTAATCTGTGCACACTACACAGATTTATTTATTGGTTCCGGAGACATGCGCGAACAAATAAACAGAGAAAAAGTTATATTAGAAATTGCTGGTTTATGTTCCATCATTTTTCTTCTGTTAAATTCATTCTATTTTGATAAGTTTTCTTCAATATATAGATACACCGATTTTTGCTGATTTCATATTAAAAACTTCAAATGTCATTTTAAGGGGTCTGACAAAAATGTGTCTTGAAATGTCTTTAAAAAGTTTAATTTAGATTTTAGCATGTTCTCATATTGATAGTTCACAATAAAGTCAATGTTAAATGAAAGAACATAATTAAAATTAAATGTTCTACCGCTGTAACGGTCTATTTAATAGTGCAGGAAATAATGATTTACACATTAATTCATACGTATGTATTTCGGCACCGGGGCTGTCGGTGTCAAAGTTTGAGTCAAGGTGAACGCGCACATTTCTTTACCCCACCGCGTAAGCGCACGTTCTATGTTCTATAAAACCAAACTGCAGGACTGTCGATATCAATCAACACTCAGTTGTAAAATAGAACACACGACAACATGTTCAGCAAAGTAAGTTTTATTGTGTCGGAAACTATTCTAATGAAAAAGTTTCTTTGAGCTCTTTTTTAAGAATAAAAAAGTACGAAAAAAATAGTCCTAACAAAAATATGCATTAATATAAAAAATCAATCATGTTTAACTTTTTAGATTGTAACTTTCGGTGCTTTCTTGGCCGCGGCCAATGCCGGACTCTACGGTCATGGACATGCCGTGTCCTCCCAAAGCATCATTCGTCATGATGAGGCTCCCCTGCACTACGCCCACGCTGCCCCAGTGGCGCACTATGCTGCTCCCATTGCTCACTACGCCGCCCCTATTGCCCACTACGCTGCTCCAGTTGCCCACTACGCCGCCCCAGTTGCCCACTACGCCGGTCACGATGAATATGTAAGCAATTATTTTATTTATCCCTATCTTAAACAGAAAACCTAAATTTGATTGTAATTTATGCTAATTAGATGCACCAATCATACTTTACTGTTTCCAGGCTCATCCCAAATACGACTTCGCATACTCAGTAGCTGACCCCCACACCGGCGACCACAAGTCCCAGCATGAGTCCCGCGACGGTGACTCCGTGCACGGCTCCTACTCCCTCGTCCAGCCCGATGGTTCTGTCCGCAAGGTCGATTACACCGCTGATGAGCACCACGGGTAAGTTATCAATCAATTCTATGTTCAGAATAAGGCAAGATAAACATTTATTTAATCGTTAACAAATTTAAAATAAAATATTAACTTTTCAGTAACTTTTAATACATATTTTGTTTGTTTTTTTTTTTCAGTTTCAACGCTGTAGTGCACAACTCCGCCCCCTCCGTGCACCCAATTGCTGCCCATCATCACCACTACTGAATAAATAAATATAAATAAACATATTCGATATTTCCCGATTATGTTGTAATGGAAATAATATTCTTATTGTAATATTTATGTATTTTTTGCAATGTGTGTGAATGATAAAATGTAAATAAAGTATGTCTGTACGTTTCTAAATAATATTTTCTTTCCTTTTCAATATCCTACTGTAACTCTTCATTCCTAAATTATATTACAAACTAAAGATATATTTGGAGTGATTGAAATGATAAAGTGATCTTATTACTAACGAAGAAAGATTAATGATGAGAATAAAATATTATACAAGAAATGTTTTGTAGTTTTAAGATTCCAATAATTATCTATCAATCTCAGAGGGATATACTTAGTCTGGCCATAAATACTGTTACAATTAAAAATAAACAAAATTGAATTTGAATTTGGAATCTGTCATTTTTATATGATTGCTCATTGAGTTTTCTCATTTTGGCGCCAATACATTGTACAATATTTTACGATATTAAAATGGAGTGGGGTGATAAAGAGAACCGAACCGCTGTGATTGCATTACACAAAATAGGTATGGAGCCAAATGCAATTTCTAAAACTCTCCATACGCTTGGTATTAGTAAAATGTTTGTGTACCGGGCTATTAATAGGTGCAACGAGACCTTCTCTGTTTGTGACAGAAAAAGATCTGGCCGTCCACGTAGTGTTCGTACGAAAAAAGGGGTCAAAGCAGTAAGGAAAAGAATTCGAAGAAATCCTGTCCGAAAGCAAATATTTTATCTCGGGAGATGAAGATAGCACCTAGAACCATGTCGCGTATTTTAAAAGATGACTTAGGACTTGCAGCCTATAAGAGACGTACTGGTCATTTCTTAACTGATAATTTATAAGAGAATAGGGTCAGTTTTAGAGAGTACGGCTTGTTCTAAACGCCATGATAATTTGGAGTCCCTAAAACAATACGTACAGATAGGCAGTGAAAAATTTTGCCATGGAAAAAATACGTGCTTCTATTGATAACTGGCCTCAACGTTTAAACGACTGTATTGCAGCCAATGGAGACCACTTCGAATAAGCTTTTTATACTTTAAATTGCTTTTCTTTTCTATTAACTATTTAATTTGCTTTTCTAATTTTCGTAAAAAATGTCATAATTATAATATTATACAAAACAAAATCCATTGAATTTATTGAGTCAGACCTTCCCTGTAATCGATGTTTTACGTTGTTTTATTTTTTTAAATAAGAGAACACTCATTGCGGCATAACTATAATTGTTAGACATATTATGCTGTTGTGACACTTTTTGTAAATAATGACGTGTTCTGCAAAGTCGTAGTACATTATTTTATTCTATCTTCAATAGCTTTCGCAGCGCACGATGTAAAGAATATTTTAGGTAATTTACACCGTTACAATTTATTTTAGGTATTTTTTTACACCTTAGTTTACATTATTGGATTTTTAGTAAGGATACCTATTTTTTTTTTTAAATATAACATTGCCTATGTCATCCAGGGATAGCGTAACTAATAGATAGCGTATCTAACTGTGAAAGAATTTTTCAAATCGGTTCAATAGTTCGGAGCTTATTCAATGGAAACAAATTAACAATGAAATCTTTCCGCTTTATAATAGATAACAGAATTAGAGATTAAATGATTTTACAAACTGACTTCAATACACACAATCTGTAACGCTACAAATATTTTATATTATTAATGCTAAACGTCATTAAATTTATTAAATTTATTAATAATTATTAATGTTAAACTTACCATCAGGTGACCCGTCTTGCTCGTTTGCCTATTAGTTGTTATAAAAAAAAAAAAAAAAAACGTCAATTATTAAATGTCAATAATAAATGTTACGCTCGCGATAACTGAACCCAACTTCCGTAGAAACAGGTTGTCGTACGACAATTTTTTTGTTTATGAAGAATGGATTATTATTGGTGTCCTGGAGGCCTTTCCAGTTTCACCAGGACAGATGTGTGAACACGGGCTCAGCCAGGAGGTACGAGGTTTGTTAACAGCTGCCCGAACTCCTGAGGAGAACTTACAGGTCAAAAATAGCTGCTTCGCGAATTCCACAGGACTGCTACAGCTCAAGTTCAATTCTAGGTTAACGCGCTGGGTGCGTTATTGCTTACTAAGGTGTTCGGTCATATTACGTCGAACACAGTCATATCTCTATTAATATAGGAAAACAATAAACTGGTGGTAGGACCTCTTGTGTGTCCGCGCGGGTAAGTAACACCGCCCTGCCTATTTCTGCCGTGAAGCAGTAATGCGTTTCGGTCTGAAGGGTAGGGCAGCCGTTGTGACTATACTGAGATCTTAGAACTCATATCTCAAGGTGGGTGGCGCATTTACGTTGTAGATGTCTATGGGCTCCAGTAACTACTCAACACCAGGTGAGCTGTGAGCTCGTCCACCCATCTAAGCAATAAAAAATAAAAACTATGTCCGTTTCACATCCTTGCGACAGAAAGAAAAAAAACTATTGTATTGAACACAAATAAACCAAATTATTCAACCAATACATATCAATAGAACGATTCCATATTAATTCATATAATTTCAAAAGCAAACTACAATTTAAGATTCATTCTTTTTATTATTCCATTGAATGTATAGGGTCGATGAATACAGTTAGAATTCAGTGTTCAAAAACACATGCTATAAAAAAATAGAAAGGTTTTATTTCTACCGTGACGTGATTAAAAATATACGGCAACCTTCAACCCTGTATTTCGTGGCGTGAAGTGCCAAATTTTACATAGTCCAACTCACTAGCTCCCCATAAACTTCCGAATTCGGACTCGAGTATAAAATATGTGGGAAACCAACGGTAGAATAGTTCCGTATATTTAACTCACCTGCAGAAATATATATAGACTATGACTATGACTATGGCTATAGACACATGAAAATGCTGAAAAACTTAAACAATTTTATTATCGCCTTCATACTCGTTGCATGCACGATAATACGACAGATTTGATCGAAATTCACTGAGAAGCTCCTTTTTTGTGACGGACATGAGGAGGCGTTAAACAGGAAACCAAATTTCTCTAAAGCTGAACACAAGATTGTGGGCGTAAAGCACTGAAACCTTTTACCCCAAACCTATAGATTGAGACGAGTAAGTCTGCGGATGCTTCCCAGCCGCCCTTCTTCACGTCTATTCATGATCATGACGCTTGCAACAGCGACGACATATGAGAAACTTACTAAAAGTAAAAAATGTGATAAGAACCAGCTCAGTAATGTCTGTAATGCGGATAGCCGCAAAATATAGAAAGCAATTCGTAACCCCATAGATTGTAATCAATTTTAAAACTGCTGATAGAAGAGTTGCTAATGTCCATGCAACGTGTGTCGCAGTATCTGATGTCTAGTGACCACTTACAAAGTAGTGGTCCTTGAATTTGTTTCAACTGTACTGAAAATTATATGAATTATATTACGTTTTACTACCATGATCGTTTAACACAATTTATTTAAAATCAACATATAGATATATGATACAACAAACGCAATATCTTTAATTATTTATTTCGAAGAAATTGCCGTAGTTTAAGGATAGGACGGCCGATGTACTCTTGTCGATCAGCAAGTACTAATCTTTCTAAAGAAACACGTAGTTTAGTCATATTCACGAATGACTTCCACGATATAAAAGTAAAATCAAACCCGAAAAAAAATTTAATTTTCGTAATTACCATACAATGGAGACATACTGTTTCAGTGTCAAGGTGATTCACATTGATAGATGATATCTATGAGCGCCGCAAATATTCGTAAAAACATTATCTTAATAATAAAAAAATGGAAGATCGCTTCTAAATTGTTTTCACATTCATAGTCGCGAAATGTTAAATAGACCAGCATAATTACAATATAATTAAAACTGAGCTATAATTCTCTATTAATAGTGCAGGAAATAATGAATTACACATACGTATGTATTTCGGCACCGGGGCTGTCGGTGTCAAAGTTTGAGTCAAGGTGAACGCGCACATTTCTTTACCCCACCGCGTAAGCGCACGTTCTATGTTCTATAAAACCAAACTGCAGGACTGTCGATATCAATCAACATTCAGTTGTAAAATAGAACACACGACAACATGTTCAGCAAAGTAAGTTTGTTGTGCCAGAAACTATTCTAATGAAAAAGTTTCTTTGAGCTCTTTTTTGAGAATAAAAAAGTATAAAAAAATAGTCCTAACAAAATATGCAATAATATAAAAAATGAAACCTGTTAAACTTTCTAGATTGTAACTTTCGGTGCTTTCTTGGCCGCGGCCAATGCTGGACTCTACGGTCATGGGCATGCCGTGTCCTCCCAAAGCATCATTCGTCATGATGAGGCTCCCCTGCACTACGCCCACGCTGCCCCAGTGGCGCACTATGCTGCTCCCATCGCCCACTACGCCGCCCCTATTGCCCACTACGCCGCACCCGTTGCTCACTACGCCGCCCCAGTTGCCCACTACGCCGGTCACGATGAATATGTAAGCAATTATTTTATTTATCCCTATTTTAAACAGAAATAATAAGTTGCATTGTAATTTAAGCGAATTAGATATACCAATCATACTTTTCTGTTTCCAGGCTCATCCTAAATACGACTTCGCGTACTCAGTAGCTGACCCCCACACCGGCGACCACAAGTCCCAGCATGAGTCCCGCGACGGTGACTCCGTACATGGCTCCTACTCCCTCGTCCAGCCCGATGGTTCTGTCCGCAAGGTCGATTACACCGCTGATGAGCACCACGGGTAATTCATTATTCAATAAACCGACTAGTGTGCTGAGGGTCATACGTGCGATTCCCAAATCGGGCACATATTCTTGTAGTCAACCGATGTCTTTGGCCCATCGTCTGGGCGATTATTCCATATTTAACTATTTATTCAAATGTATATATTGTATGTAATTATGTAAACCACTTTTTCGGTTTTTATAATCTAGGGAATGCTAGTTTAAGGGCAGATAACGCTGTGTATTATGGCCCCGCTTGTTTATTAATTGAATTCAATCCAGATAGATCGAACAGATGTTCTGAATAACTGACGGGAAATTATCTAATATAATTTTTCTGTGGGAATCATATGCTGTTTATTCGTTTTCAGTTTCAACGCAGTAGTGCACAACTCTGCTCCCTCCGTGCACCCCATCGCTGCCCACCACCATCACCACTATTGAAAAAAGAAATAATAGTAAACTAACTCGAAAAAGAATGATAAATATTTAAATGAAAATAATACTCTACTTTATAATATTTATGCTTTTGTAAAATTTTGAATGTGATAAAATGTAAATAAAGTGTGTGTTTCCTAATAGTTTCTTTTTCAATTTATAATGTAACAAAAATTATTTAAAATTACATTAAAAACAGAGCCTGACCATTGTATTGGAGCAACCGATGATGAATTTATTTGAAATGCTCCTTCAATTATTAGAAGACATAATCCCTGAACTGCATGACTGTAGAAATTTTTTATATTGTACTTAATATTGATGAAATTTGTTTACACTTCTTCTCTCCTTTTTCTCCACCTTATACCAACCACTATGTGGGGTCGGTACAGCTAATTTTTCTCTTCTATTCTCTTCTATCAACCGTGATCTCAACACTCACTCCTCTCTCTCTCGTTTCATCATTCACACACTCCATCGATGTCTCTTCGGTCGACCGCTTCCCCCTCTAATGTAGAGTATGTTAAAGTCATAATTGTTATCACTTTTAAAAATAAACTAAATTATTGCTAAAGAAAAATTAAAATATTAAAGCTTGTATAACTTCTTTTTTTATTGCTTAGATGGTTAAACGAGCTCACAGCCCACCCGGTGTTAAGTGGTTACTGGAACCCATAGACCAGTCTCAAGTATAATTACAACGGCTGCCTTATCCTTCAAACCGAAACGCATTACTGCTTCGCGGCAGAAATAGGAAGGGTGGTGGTACCTACACGCGCGGAGTCACAAGATGTCTTACCACCAGTAATTATGCAAATTATAATTTTGTGGGTTTGATTTTTATTGCACAATGTTATTCTTTCACCGTGGAAGTCAATCGTGAACATTTGTCGAGTACGTATTTCATTAGAAAAATTGGTACCCGCCTGAGATTCGAACACCGGTACATCGCTCAACACGAATGCACCGGACGTCTTATCCGTTAGGCCACGACAACTTAATATACAAAGTGACAGTCACCGTAACCAGTTCGTAACTGGTGGGCTGGATTCTGTTTACCCATAGACTATATTAAAAGGTTTTATATTTAAACAGTAATCATCTTAACGCAACTTAGATTTCATGGAAATCCTTTCATGTTGTGTATATCATGTTCTCAGATATTTAGAAACAATCAGACACAATTTTTTCAAAACTATATTATTATCTGAATTGAAATTTTTGATCTATCCAGGATCCACTCCCGACTAAAAAATTATCATAACATGCAACATTAATTCCACGAGTAAACACTAATGAAAACATTTGATGCTTAGAAGACGTTATAAAAACTGACCTTCATAATAAAATTACTTTATTTCATTTATTTGAATAATGCTAATTTATTTACGTTGTTAAATAATTTGAGTGAGCAACATGCATTTTTAGTTTAATTTTGACATCACCGTAACCGAATATATAAATACTATTGTTCAGAAGTACCGTTCATGAGCAAACTGACGTAATTGTCTAGACATCTTAGTGAAAATTGTTAGCTAAAAATAATTATTTCAGTATTACAACTGATCCATAAAATAAAAGAGGTAAATTTAAATTAGTATTACTATTCTTTTTTTTATTGCCCTTGTAGCCAGACGAGCATACGGCCCACCTGATGGTGAGTGGCTACCGTCGCCCATGGACTTCAGCAATGCCAGGGGCAGAGCCAAGCCGCTGCCTACCGAAAATTTGACATTCATCAAACACTAGTTGTGGTATCATCAACATTTTTCCTACATATATTTACTTTGTTTTATTCTTACAGACGAGTGGACGAACTCACAATCTGCATGACGTTAAGTGGCTTTAGAACTAATTTATATTTTTTATAGCCGTAATAGGTGGACTTACCAGCTAAGCCACTGCCTACTGCTGAGGACCCCATGTTGGCAATCGCAATGCACTCCTCGTATGAAAAGATGTTTCCAGGCAGCCATATTTCACAAAAACAGTACAGTTTAACCATACAGGAAGAAGAATATTTTGTAGAAGTGAATACAGCAATAGCATAGTAATGCAAGCCTTGACACGCATTTAGGATACATTATAATTACATTATAATTTGCGTAATTACTGGTGGTAGGACCTCTTGTGAGTCCGCGCGGGTAGGTACCACCACACTGCCTATTTCTACTGTGAAGCAGTAATGCGTTTGGGTTTGAAGGGCGAGGCAGCCGTTGTAGCTGTACTGATACCTTAGAACTGATATCTCAAGGTTGGTGACAGCATTTACGTTATAGGTATCTATTGGTTCCGGTCACCACTTAACACCAGGTAGGGTGTACGCTAGTCCACACATCTAAGCAATAAAAAATATAGACTCGTAAATACATGCCGTTCAAACTAACAAAGACGTGTTAAAAAAGTACAAGTTTATCGTCTTAGCGAAAAAAACACGCGCGTTTGAGCATGGCATGACCAAAAGCAATAGATACCGATACCATGACATATATTGCGATTCTATAATCGATTTTTAGTTCGACCTTTGTCTATTGTCATTGTCGTTGTCGAGGTCCTCATGCTGCGGTCAGCCCCACTTGTTCTTGTTCTGTGTTTAATATTATAAAAACCAATAGTCAATAGCAGTTGACATCAAACAACACTCAGCAACTTGTTCGACAATACAAAATGATCGCAAAAGTGAGTTTACTTTAAATTTTTATGTAATTATTTACGCAGCGTTGTGAAGCCGTCGCCTGCTTCAAAATTGTGATACCGAAATAATAAGAGAAGTAACAGTTTCTCAGTTTAGACAACAGTTCAATCTATCTAGAATATTTTCCATAATTTATCTATTTTCACAGTAAATCATGTCCATCCGCTGCCTGAAAGAAGAACAGATAAACAAAAAAAATAACTTAAATGTACAAATTACTGTGTTACAATTTTATAATTCCAAATGAGAAACAAATCCGAATTGGGACTTACTGATAATGGTTTTTTTATAGATATAGAAACAGCGTTATAAATTAAATTCCATGACTCTCTAACTTTACAATAAATTAGCAAGATGTTAATATAATGAACAAATAATAATCTTCATTAACGACCATCGCTTTTTGCAGCTACAACTTCTAAAAGTACTGTTATGATGTACGTTAAAAAGAATTGTGTGTAATCATTAATTATAGATCGTAATAATCGGCGTCTTCATAAGCGCCGCTAAGGCCGGTCTTTACCATGGTCACGGTCAAGCCGTCTCCTCCCAGAGCATCATACGTCACGACGGAGGCTACGCTCCCTCAGCTCATTACGCTCCTGATACCTATGTTGTTCCTCTCGAACAATACGCCACACCTCTGGAATACGCCGGCCAATATGACAGTCACGATGAATACGTGAGTAAATTAAAATCGTACGTAACGTAATAAGAATTTTAAGCTTTTGTCAAATCAAAATTTATTGTATTTTCTTTTGTACGATTCCAACAATGATACGACTGCTCGTCTACTTACAATACAATGCGATGTACTGAGCATGAATGTAATAAACTATATACATGAAAGCAAACAAACGTTACAACATTCACCGTTTTTGCATCGTGTAATCGAAATTCAATGATAATTTTTATTATGTGAATTCATAAAAGATATTAATCGTATTGAGCCACACTCTTTGTGTGAAGTTTAATTTTTGATACTGTTTGTTTACTATCGCTGCATTGACAATCAATATTTTAAGCTTTATGAATTTTCAGGCGCACCCCAAGTACGACTTCGCGTACTCAGTAGCTGACCCCCACACCGGCGACCACAAGTCCCAGCATGAGTCCCGCGACGGTGACTCCGTACATGGCTACTATTCTCTTGTCCAACCAGATGGCTCTGTCCGCAAAGTCGAGTACACTGCAGACGACCATAATGGGTACGATCTGAATAAAATAAACAAATCAATTAAAAAAAAAAACATTTTTATCATGGATGACATGTAATAATTGAACATTTTATTTTTCAGATTTAACGCGGTAGTTCACAACTCAGCCCCGTCTATCCACCCCTACTATCACAATTATTAAGCATTGTAGTGTAAGTATCGATACAAGAAGTGCCAAATTATAATGAGAACTAATAAATTATTTATTTTGATGCGATCGTTTGTTAATGATAATAATTAGCAATTTTAGTTTAGTTCCATGAATATTTGACGGATTTCCACGTTGGTTATGAATATTTATGATTCCACATATTGTTTAGTGGGTCGAACATTGTTCAGCTTGCTATATAACGAAAAATTATTACGACTACAACAATCAACACTATTATATAAATGGTAGATTTTGGCAACAAATCAATAACTCTGTTACTTCATTCCAAGCCCTTCAAATACGAACCACAGATGATTACGTGTCAAGTGTGAAGTGTTTTGAAAGTAATAATTAATAAGTCATTGTCATTTGTGGAACAATTACCTGCTGTGACGTTGCTAATGTTATTGCTCTAACCTAATTGCTAAAACACAATGTGTACGCTGTGATTATTCATTACGGACTGTATAATTGCATTAAAATTATTAGTTTCGCGAGGTTAAAAATCAAATAAAACGAGAACCATATTCGTGTTGAAAGATTTGGTGTAAATTAGAGTTAGACTAAAACAGGAACATTTTGTTTAATTACTTTTTTATTATTATTTTATCAGTTCTCGAGTGCAAACATTTGAAATGTTAAAATTGTAATTTTGTAGTAAATAAAAGTAGTCTATAAAGATGAACAATAAAACTACTATCTGAAAAGTATTTGTGTGATTGATCTAAAATTGACCTCTAAAAATTAATTGGTGTTTTATTATTAATTAACCTATTTATTAGTAACAAAGATGAGTAGGGCGTATATGGGCGTGTATGATGAAAGGGCGTATATCAACGCTTTAGTAACGCCGCAAAACTCAATTGTGCTTCAGTCTGAAATGTGGGAAAGAAAGATTCATAAGAGTCCAGTGTAATTTAAATTATGATTCTAATAAAATATTAGGAGTACTGTACGCCCCATGCTATATGAATATTCTCTAATGTTAAGCGACCGTAAACACATACGAAACAAAAGATCCACTAACGAACATTCAATATCTTTAATAAACAAAAATAACTCACTCTTCAAATCGATCTGTACCCTCGTTCAGTAGCCAGTGCCACTACCGAGTACCGCTTCAGATATTATCAACCTAAGTACATATCCGCATACAGCTTTCGGACCTTAATAAATTAATAAATGCGTACAATGGACATTGATCAGCAAAGAACACGGACTTCTTTGATACAATCCATTTGTAGCAAGGCTGTTGCGGTTGCGTGATTCCGGTCATAAAAATGAATAAGTATTTATTTTACAACTCATTTATAAGTCGTATTTAATACTTTGGGCGTGGGGGCGTGCACGACTCATCTAGTGTTAAGTAGTTGCCAAATTCCATAGAATAAAACCATTAAAAGAAGTTGGTTGTTTGAAAGCACACACACAAAATAATATGGTTTAACAGCATTTATTGTTACAAAAATTAAAAGTAAAAAATATAATGAGAAAGCTAAATGCATACATAATAACAATTAAAGCGTCTAAATTACACTGATCATAGACATCACGCAGTAGTGCCGTCGTCATCCAGCTTGAAACATTAAGTTGAAGCCGCAATTGTATTGCATAATGGCTGTCCCACCCTTCAAACCGAAACGCATGACTGCATGTAGATAGAACGGTGGTAACATTTTTTTTATTGCATGGATGGGAGGGCGAGCTCACAGCCCACCTGGTGTTAAGTGGTTACTGGAGCCCATAGACGTCTACGAAGTAAATGCGCCACCCACCTTGAGATATAAGTTCTAAAGTCTCAGTATAGTTACAACGGCTGCCCTACCCTTCAGACCGAAACGCATTACTGCTTCACGGCAGAACTATGCATGGCGGTGGTACCTACCCGCGCGGACTCACAAGAGGTCGTACCACCAGTAAATACGGAATATTTACATAGAAACTTTATTAATAACTCCCAAAGCATTTGAATTCATACTTGCATCACTTACAGATACATCGACTGGTTTGTTCCTGACAATATTGTCAGAGAAAAACGTATTCTAAATTTTTAATGCACTAGTGGAGATACTCATGCAGTGTCGTTTACATTTCGGATATGTAATATGAACGGCTTTATAACTAAAGTACGACAGCAGAATAATCCATGCCAATTATGTCAAAAACACGGAAAATTATGGCATGCATGCACTTTACAACATCGACTGCGCAAATGACTGGGAGAGGCCGCACTTGAAAGAACAATAACATCTTATCGTTGTCCGCATTGACCTACTATAACAAAAGTGTAGTATCGCAGTTCACAGCTTGTTTTTATTAAGTAACAATCGTTTAACTGATAATGTAACGCGAGAATGTATAAGACAAAGCGCGATGACCTTGCGTCCGCGGGGACGCGCGGCAGAGCGCTTTCGGCGCCCCACCGGACCTCCAGCATCAATTCTTATAAAACGCACCGGTGGTTATCAAATCTATGTCAGTTACGCACTGCTATACCACAGTAAAAATGTTCGCTAAGGTAAGTACGGTGCCGTGCTTGTTTGGATGTGAGGTCGTGTGATGGAGTTAAATAAGTCGACTCTCTTTGGTGCAGATTCTTACACTGGCTGCCATGGTGGCGGCCACCCAGGGCGGTCTCCTTGGCCACGGCCTCGGTCACGGAGATTACAGCATCTCATCTCAACACAATTTGGTGCACCATGACGCTCATTACGCCGCAGCTCCCCTAGCTACCCTTGCTCATGCCACCCCTCTGGCTTATGACGGACATTACGACGCTGGACACCTGTCTCATGGTGCTACCCTTGCACATGCCGCCCCCTTAATTCACGCTGCTCCCGTAGTTCACGCTGCCCCCGTAGCCCACCTTGGAGCTTACTCCGGACACGGTCATGAAGATTATTATGTAAGTACATAGAGTTTCCCAATTTACATACTTATCTTGCCAAATATTACTAGGTCGTTTCATACGATAAATGTAACCTTAAATTACATATATTTCCAGGCTCACCCCAAATACAAGTACTCTTACTCCGTTGAGGACCCCCACACCGGCGACCACAAGTCTCAACATGAGGTCCGCGATGGTGATGTCGTAAAAGGAGAGTACTCGCTCCTCCAGCCCGATGGCTCCTTCCGTAAGGTTTCGTACTCTGCTGACGACCATAGCGGGTGAGAATTATATAAAACTTAATACGCAATAAATAGATGACATTGCAACTTTCCCTAAATTACGCAAATATCCGTACAGAATGAGTTATATTTGCAATAGCTTTCGTATCGAAGTTCGTTTACATGTAACTATATGCGTGTTTACATTCGATCACATGGCAGTCAAACCGGTATGGTTGCGTTCCACTAACATATGAGTATTGACCTCTGCCGACCCATGTGCTCGACTCTATACTGTCAACGAGGTTCTTCGAACAGGTGCTATGAATACAAACTAGTCTGGAAACTAGTTTTAACGTATCAACAATACGTAATCAATTGTTTCTGTTTCAGTTTTAACGCGGTCGTACATAACTCCGGTCCTAGCCACCACGTTTATTCATCCCAACACCATCATTACTAGAAAATTGTAAAAGAGGCTTAGATTTCTACGATGTACCTTATATTTATTCTTGCTGTGATCTTCAGAACGTGTTTATATCTTTTAGTGAATAAAAATTCTTAAATGTAAAAGGACTATAAGAACTATTTCAATTTTTTTCTTCACATCTAGCATGCTATTAGTAAATTTTGGAGAAATAACACATAAGATCCCGATTGCCAAGTGTAGGTTAATTGATTAACCAGCTCTTTAAATTGAAAAATTCAACTTAAGACTTAATATAAAAAGCTTATTATAAAACCTATCTAGTCGTGCAATATCGAGCGCTCAAATCGAGTGCTTGCATAGTGACACCTGATTCACACATAGTTATTGAACAGATATTCATTTATCACTATCTTTCAGAAGCTCCTGTTTAAAGCTATTAACTAAATAAGAGCTCTACGTTAATCGGCTACAAGCTAGGAGTTTATCATGTGCTTGGCTTCACTAGCTCCAATGGAAGCACAGCTCATTTGTTTTTATTGTTGCGTCATTTTCAATCATAAAATATCTACAAATGACTGAAAAATAAAAATGTTATTATTCGTAAACTTCTACATATTTATTATTGAAAAACATATATTATTATTATCTATAAATGTGATACCTTGAGCCACGTCTTCTTGGCTCAAGGTGTCAAATACCTTACTGGTGGTTGGACAACTTGTGAGTCCGCACGGGTAGGTACCACTGCAACGCCTATTTCGGACGTGAAGCAGTAATTCGTTTCAGTTTGAAGGGTGGGACAGCCGTTGTACTGTAAAAACTGAGACCTAAGAACTCATGTCTCGAGGTGGGTGGCGGCATTTACGTCGTAGATGTCTATGGGCTCCGGTAACCTTTTAATACCAGATGGGCCACGCCCAACCATACAAGAAATACGTATATAAAAAAACCTACTTTTTTTCCAAGTTTTAATTCCAAGGTCCATAACCTTCTGTCCCCATATAAAGCAGTTTCGCAAATAAACAGTGTTCTGTCGTAAAAAGCCATGCCGGATGATCTGCGAGTGAAGTTAACAATCCCATCACAATAAGGTGACACCTTACAAAACATCCACAAACATAAGACTTCCTCTATTACAATTCTGGAACTATAAATTAGCTGTCGGAGCACCGTGGTACGTGGCAAATGTAGTTCTTCACGACGATCTAAATATCGAATGCATTCAAAACTATATGAAGACATCACCGAAACGCTACTTCGCAAAAACGATCCAACACGATAGTTCCTTATTATAGCCGCCTTGACCCTGCTGGTGCATAACACGTCATTACGGACCCTCCCGATCCATTAACGGTGATTTTAGGTACCTCAAACACCGGTCACTGTCCTCGCCGAACCCGTTGCTTGTAACGAAGGGCTTGACGAATAATTTAACCCATAGACACAGCCCACTGAGTTTCTCGCCGGATCTTCGCAGTGAGTCGCGTTTCCGATCCGGTGGTTGATTCTACAAAGCACTGCTCTTACTAGGGCCAGTGTTAGCAACATTCCCGGTTGGAGCCCCGTGAGTTCACCTACTCGCCCGGTTACGCTGAAATAGCCTCTCAAGGTTATCAGCTTAGGTAGGCAAAAAAAACTTGTGGACAAGCCAACCACTATTAGCGTCCTAAATAGATACAGGTACTTAGCCCATAACAACATCCTGCTGAGGTTTTTTTTTATTGCTTAGATGGGTGGACGAGCTCACAGCCCACCCGGCGTTACGTGGTTACTGGAGCCCATAGCCATCTACAACGTAAATGCGCCACTCACCTTGAGATATAAGTTCTAAGATCTCAGTATAGTTCAGTATTTTGCCGGATCTTCTCAGAGAGTCGCAATTTTGATCCTATGGTAGCGCACTCGCAAAGCAAGCTGCCATTGAGCTGTTAGGCCATCTTCGGAAACTTTAAATGTATTGCAAGAAAGGACGTAAAGTTTCGAAAAACCACTAGCCTGCTGGTGGTAGGACCTCTTGTGAGTCCGCGCGGGTAGGTACCACCACCCTGCCTATTTCTGCCGTGAAGTAGTAATTCGTTTCGGTTTGAAGAGTGGGGCAGTCGTCGTAACTATACTTGAGACCTTAGAACTTATATCTCAAGGTGAGTGGCGCATTTACGTCGTAGATTTCTATGGGCTCCAGTAACCACTTCACACCAAGTGGGCTGTGAGCTCGTCCACTCATCTAAGCAATAAAAGAATAAAATAAAACTTCCTACCTATCCCTAAAAATGCATGTCTAAACCAAACAATAAACTTACCAGACATAAACTGGTACAAATATTGGACTATAAATAAATATTGTATTATATAGTTTTAGTGTTTCGTATGAACTAAGCTCGACACCAATCTAGGGTTTCAAAAACAGAACTGGCTCGTACATTACAAAATTTCCCTATCAGTATTGATTTCCTTGCAAAGTATGGGTTAGTACTTGTAAGTTGAAAGCAATTTGTGGCGTTGAATATTTATTGCGACCCACTATTTCAAGAGCACAGCTGTCACTAACAAAAATCAATTACATATTATTATATAGTCATATTAAATAGCCGGTACCAACGATTATTTTGTGGCAACATGTCTCATTACGAATTTAGCAATACTAAATTTGTTATATTTAAATATTACTCTGAATATTTAGTTTTAGTACATTATTTCGGTAATAAAATAACTGGACTATGAAAGGACATTACTTGTTTTTGCTTAGACTTTAGCTACTAACGCAGATAATGGAATCTATTATTAGGCTTTATTTTTATTGCTTAGACGGGTAGACGAGCTCACAGCCAACTTGGTGTTAAGTAGTTACTGGAGCCCATAGACATCTACAACGTAAATGCGCCACTCGCTTTGAGTTATAAGTTCTAAGGTCTCAGTATGGTTACAATGACTGCCCCACCCTTCAAATCGAAACGCATTACTGCTTCACGGCAAAAATAGACAGGGCGGTGGTACCTATCCGCGCGGACTCACAACAGGTCCTACCACCAGTAATTACGCAAATTATAATTTTGCGGGTTTCACTTTTATTACACGATGTTATTCCTTCACCGTGGAAGTCAATCGTGAACATTTGTTGAGTACGTATTTCACTAGAAAAATTGGTACCCGCCTGCGGGATTCGAACACCGATGCATCGCTTCAACATGAATGCACCGGACGTCTTATCTTTTTAGGCCACGACGACTTCATACCACCAGTTTTTCTAGGATTTTTTTCACTTATTCCTATAGAATTTCAAGAATAAAATATATTAAGCAGGTATCTACATAGAAATAGCCTCTAGTATAAAGTTAATATGACCAAATCATGATATTATCGTGATTTTTTGGCCAAAGTCGAACGTCGCACCAATAATAAGTCACTTCTCTTCTGCTCTTTTCTTACAAACTACCCCAAAGATGCAATATAGTTGTTTTTATGGAATTGGCCAAGTTCCTTAAGGTCCACGAAACAATGGCACGGCTACTTCGGACATGGTAATACAAGTTATTATAAAATATCAAAATTTACTTTGTGGATAAAATATTCTCGTGTGTCCATAATGCTTTATAATAGGCAAACATTTTTCATCATTTATCATTATTCCATTTGTAAAATCAATATGACAGTCGAAATCATCATAAATTATAAAATTGGATAAGATAGTTCTACTAGGCTGAACATTATAACTTTATTTTAAAACTGGTTATTAAATAATAATAAATGTTACAGCCATACATTTTTCTTAAATCAATTAACACTATTCAATAGAAATCTAACCAAACGCTCTTCTATTATATTGTTTCTAACCAAATCTAATGTAAAGAGCCGATTTATTGTAGTGTATCTCAAGGTTGATAGACACATACAATATAACTATCAACGTATAAATTCATTCAAGTCGATAACGTCAACTAATTAACGTAATAAAAATATCGGACTTATTAATTACTACCTACTTATATTATATCCTGTTAAATGTTACACATTCGTATCAACAGCTGTCTTGGCCGAAAGTCGACGACAAAAGGCTTAGATTATTATTAATAGTAATTTCCGAGTCACGGTCAGACAATTTGCAGGTGACTAACCTCTGAACTATCGAACTTAAATTGTTCCTTTCGATCTACTTATTTTTGCGTATAGCCTTGCCAATAATTATCATGAAATACGTATTTCGCTTCCGTGACGATAAAGATACGGGCTCACGACAGCCACCCACTGCATGCCATGCCTTTCTGGTCCGAGGGACAACCCGCGGGCCTTTTACTTATTGTGTTTTAACCAAACAATTAATTCGATATGCAACGGTCGTGAGGCCCTTTCAAATAGTTTGAATAATCTATTTCAATACGGATTCCGGAATTTTATACCCCAATCAAAACGGATCAAACAAACAATGATAATGTTGTGACGACACAAGTTATGGAGAACCGGCCTCATTGTCTTTTTAATGTTGGCGTTAATGTTTTAATTAACATTGGTATGTAGATGCTCTTGCGTAAAGCTTATTTAATTTTAGCGTACGGACACGCGGTCAGCGTTTTCGGAGCGTTACTAAAACAAAAACAAACTAAAAATATAATAACTATTAAGTAAATTTTGTGTTTTATTCAATTTCGTGCTATTATACTAAATTTGCAATATCAACTTTCTGTGATCTCGTTACGATCATGGAATAGGAAATTAAATCCTACAGCTCTGTACTAGTAAGTGACCGCTATGTGGTATAGTAAATTTGATATTGCGATGTAGCAATCACAAATGCGTATTAATAGTAACGTAATCACGTCTGTTTATTTGACAAGGTATTTTTAACAAGTTAATTTTAGCGGCCGCGTTTAATTATGTCTAAATAACATAATGAAAACAAAGCTATAAGTGTCATAAATTTGAGTGAATATGTAATAACAAATTTGAATTTAATTTACATAAAAAGGTTATCTATTTTAACTTGACCATCTTTGTTTGACACATTTTTTTTTTTAATTTGCACACTTCAGAAATAAACGTAAAAAGCAATTTACTATTTTAAAAGCAACAGAAGCTACCTAACTGTCGTGAATTATTTTATATTTTCATGATAATCTGTTATAGATTATAACAATATCTAACACT